GTGGGGCTAAACAGCAGGTTGCATTGATGCAGAATTCTGTGGAGATGGAAATTACAAATGAGTTAAGAGATGATGGATCCACAATCAGCTGTTAAATCCAATAGTCACAGTGTGCCTTAACACTCTGGAGCTCGGGAAAACTCTGAACTACTGCCAAATGTGAGATTTGTGTGATTCTGACTTGTGCTTGCATTCGCCTAACACCCTGTGCTGATTGCTGAGTACAGGAATCCCGAGGTTAATTTGTTTCATCACATCCACCAGGAAGGTTCTTAACAAACATCTGCTTGCAGCACATGTGCAGGAAGCACAGCGTGAGCAGTGCTACAGAAACCAGCCTTGGAACCAGCCCTGGGGGAACAGGTGGGAAGTTTCAGCAGAGCATTCTTGGATGTGTTTCTCTCTCCTCAAGTGTGAGTGTCCTCTGTGGGCACAGACTCCTCCTTCAGCCAGGGTCACTTGGGGCAGTTCAGGGCAGGATGTGGCTGCGGGGCCACTGCAGAGCTGAGGCTTCCAAGAGCAAAAGCTGTAAGACATTGCCAGGAGCAAACTGCTGCCTTTGGGGCAGCAAGGGCTCCTCAGCTCTTCACTCATGTTCAAAGTTACCTTACAAAGAGTTTGGTGCCGTATGAGAATTGCTGCTTTAAGTCATCAAAGCATGAAAAGATCTATCTTATGAAATAATTTAGTGAAAATACTCGATTGCAAGTTTGGTGTCTTTGATGAGTAATTATGTGGCTTCATGTAAATTGTCTCCGTGAGGATGCAAAGCTTGGCAAGTACAAATGCTATAGAGCCATTTCAAACCAGCCTTATCAGCCTTAAACCCAGAGCTTTAAGGGAGTTTTCTTTATCAAAATTGTAAGACTTAAGCACATGAAGTGTATTGTTTCTGATGCACTAAATTATGTAGGCCTACTTCTTTTTCTGCTAGTAGTTTGGGGACTGAGCATGCTTTCTTGCTGAAGAGCATTTTACCAATTTCTGCCTATGACATCCTTTGGCAGTGTTGGGTGACAGCTGTCTGTCTAGATGTTCTAAATAATTGTGTCACCAGCAAACTATCTGCTCCATTACTATCCTTTCTTTCAAAGCACTTATATCTGCTATGGAACATATTTTATCAACATCTTCACATGGAAAGATCTATTGGTAAGTTCATTCTGTTCTGAAAACTGACCATTTTTGCTGTATCTGTTTTCCTGGTTTTAATCTGAAAACTTTTCTTGCATATCATCTCCTTTAAGAAAATGAGAGAGATCATTGTAGGATTTTGAAAATGTCTGTGTTACATAAATGTATGACTTTTAGCTGGTTATTGATGCCTCATGGAGCTCCAGGGGCGTTGTGAAGCATTACTTGACAGAAATAACATCAAGCCTTGAACAGACACACCAGATCTGTAGTACAACACCTCCCAGTCTGACACAGCAGCCACATTTAATGGTATGTTCTTTGGGTCACTCCGGAATTCTTTATTTTTTCCTTTTTTTATTCTCCTGACATTCAACATAGTTTAAGCAATTAACAAATTCTCACACGTAATTGCAATTTCAGAATTTCATAGGATCTGTTTTCTTTAAAGTAGGGATGAAGTTTCTATCTCTTTATACTATAAGAATATGTACTTTTTTCTATTTAGCAAGGGGAAATAACTGGATTGTCAGTATACATTGTTCTCTTCCTTGGAAAAATCTCTGATTATCTTCAATGTTTTTCTTCCAATACATGTAATGAGTGAGTGCCATCACTGTTGTCTTCTGGATCAAATAACATTTTGGATTTTAAAAGAGATTAGCAATTCAAATCATATGAAATGCTAGTTATATATGTAAAGTTATCAACTCCTTAATCTCACTCAGAACTTGGAACTTCTAAGTGTAATACAGAATTGCACTTAAAGTGGAACAATTGTCATTGAATTTGAGTATCAGAAATAGCAAGGATTTGATATTAAATTCCACTGTAATGTACAGTGGCCCCTATGTTAGTAAAAAAAAAATCCTCCCAGATTTACTGAGAACCTTTAATGATGCTCCTTATAGATATTGACAGTGTTAGCATTACTGATTGTTTTAAGCACAGACTTGTGGAATTGTTTAGATTGGAAAAGCTGGCACTACTGAGTTCAGCCCTTCAGCACTGTTCATGGCTGTACTGTGTATAAGGCCTTCACATTGCAAAGAGATTTCACAGAATACATTCAAACATTTTTTTTTGTTTTGTTGTAGGAGGATAGACTTAGGTGAACCATTACAATTCTTTTTAACAGTTATCTATGATTCTCCGTTTGATAAGGTTTTAATTGCACAAGACTGTACTTACTTTTCCACTGGGATTCTTGCTGATTCATTCAGTAAGAGTTCACTGGCAAAAGCTGCTCTAAGGATGAATTGGCTGTATGCCTTATAGGAAGCCTCTGTCTTTTGAATATTGCTTCACTGGCAGCAGAAGTTGGGCAGTGTAGAGTCCATGCAGCAGGAAGAATGGGGGAATAAATCAATAAAAGGGTCTCCTATTCCTATACTTGCGGAAATTCAACCGAATATTCAGACTGATGTCTTTCTCAAGTCTTGACCTCTGGTCTCAGCAAAGGGTTTCAGTTTTTAGGGACAGAAATCAATAGAAAGTCAGGAGCCCTGGTGGGATTTAGGAGTCTCAGCATCTATTTGGATATGCTTCAACTGCCCCACTACTGCTTCTGTTTAAATTAATGATTAGCATCTATTGATTCCAATGAGGTAAGAGCTACTTCAGTGTTCTTACGTGATCGTGAGCGAGCCACAGAAAATGAACTTTTCTACTGGCCTGAGTAATTTTTGGGTAGCTTCAGGCAGCTCTCTTCTGGAAACAGTCAGTGGAAGTGCTACAGCAGAGTACCCTGACCAGAGCTGAGCACTGAGAAATCATGGTTTGACTTCTGTCTTTATCATCTGTCACATGGAATTTGTCAGTACCACTTCTCAGATGATTGAAAACTGCACTTAAGGACATCATAGGAGTGGATTATATCTTACGATTTAAATTATAAGTGGGGCAGAAGGTATAGGAGTTGCACATTGAATGATATTAAGGGAGATGAGTAGTGCACCACTGTTGTTGGAGGGTGTTGGAGGATCTCCCCAGGCTCAGCTGTGGCACCTCTGCGTGGGGATCAGTGACACACTCCGAGTGCCCAGGGAGGGATGGTGCTCTGGTTCTGCTCATGCAAGGCAAACATGGCCGTGACTGTGGAGGAACTGAGGCTATGGCAGGTCATTAGAAGAAGCCATAAATAGATAGGAATAACATTAGAATCAGGGCTATAAACCAGTAAAATAGCAAAGGTCAGTCAGTTCCTCTTTGACTGAGGGGCTTGGTGCCAGTGAGAAGAGCAGCAGATAGCAGCATGCCGTGAGACAAAGGGGCATTCCTGCAGCAGAGGGGGTTTGCACTGGTACCTGTCCGCTGCTCTGAGACATACGGGGAACTGCGTCATTTAGCCAAAACAAAACTTTCAGGATTGAGAGAATGATTAAAATATATCTGCATGTGTAGATGGTGTCCTAGCTGAGAAAATATATTTTCAACTGTCACATGGTAGTATTCTCTTGGGTTCATGGTTTTATGTTGGTATATTGCATTAGTAATTGTTTGTTAATGATATGGAAATTACCATGTACAAATTAAAATTGCCATTGTCAGAAATGAAGTTGACAGCATTACCCAGTATGAAATAGATAACAAATATTATTTCAGGAAGAAGCAAAGGCAATTCAAGAAATCAGTATTTCATTTGCTTTGTAAAACTGTACCCATACTAACATAGAGGGACTTGGTGTGCTCTAACTGTGCTTGCGTGTTTTGAAATGCATATATTTCTAATGCTCTTTTCTAAGGAATAAAATACCACATGAAAACATTTGCATAATATTTAGTATATTTAAATTATCTTTATTTATCCTTTGTAGAGTGACTAATACTGTTAGCTGTTAAGCTGCTTCTATTATTTTTGAAGCCAATCAATGGATCTTTAATCCAGTTGAACTTTTTGCAAAACCTGAGAGACTTTTTGTAATATTAATGATGTTGGGATGGATTTTGTAGCTCTGCAGTTTGCTTAATTTTTCTGAATTTCCTCCATTAACAAAAGAAGACTGTGAAGTGATGAAGAGGATATCATGCAGCAGCACAAAAAAAAATCTTTATGTTGCCCTGGATTGTATGGTTAGATATTTCGATAGTGTCTAGTTGCAGAGGCAATGATATGTCAGAGTACTTCATTTGTGTGCTGATTGAATTTTGATCAAGACACGAGAATTTTCATTTGTAGCTATTCTCTTGTTCTGTTTTCAATTTTGTTATCTTTGTTTGATTTACAATGAAAAATTAAACCTATCAACTCCAGTGGTCAGGTAACAAGAGTGGAAGATCTTCATTAAAGAATAACAGCAGTGCAGTTGCTGCTTTTGGTGCTGAGCTGGCTCACACCTTGGCTGAGCCCCTTGGAGCCTTTGGGTGTGGAAAACGTGCCTCAGTCAATAAACCATGCTGGTCCTGAGCCGAGCAGTGGAAAACTCCCAGTGGGTGCAGAGAGAACATGGATATCTGTCATCCAGGGCACTCGGCTTGGAAAGTGCAGAACCACCAGGAGTGGCTGTGAGACTGAAAGATGGTGCTCATTTGATTTTGCAGACAAAATTGAAAGCCTTGGGCAGCTGCAGACATGACACGAGTCCTCCATGGTTATCACTGCTTTATCATTTCTGCTTGGCTGCAAAGAGTGGAAGGATGGAAAATGATTCTAATTCCTTATTTGAAAGCACATTACAGGACAGATGAGTTCTCTTTCCCTAATTCTTTAAGAGACAGCCTTTTCCAAAGCATTCCTGTTATTGTTGCACTCTGCATACTCTTGTATGTATCACTGAGCTGTTTGTTTAGCAGCAGAAAAACATTGATATTTTGATGTAGCAAAACCATGTTGTGTTCATTTCTTTTGTTCTTTCATTACATTACAGGTACGGTAAGAATTGAAATGTTCAGGAACATGCAAAATGCAGAAATCATAAGGAAAATGACAGAAGAATTTGATGAGGTAGAGTATACAAATAGTTATTTGAAGCATTATGAAATATATTACCATATACTTCTGGTTTAAATTAAAAATGCAGTGGGCCAGTGGACAAATAATGTCTCAGTGTGGGAAACTGCACTCACAAGCAAAGCAGCAACTTCAGCTGTTGGAGGTGTGGTGACAGGACAGAGAGAGGTTCATCAGAGCAGGCAGGAAGAGGAACTGGAGAACCCTGCTCCCACTGAGAGTGGTGGTGGCATTCTGGGTGCTGAACTTCAGCTCTTGTGAATGCCTTCATACAACAGAGCTCCAGATCCCTGACACATCGAGACAGGATTTTACAGCATTCTGCTCTGTTTTCTCTGTGCAAATTAATGTTTTGTGCATTTTAAATGGCAATTTAAACCAAATAGAAACTTGACATGAAAATTACCATTTTGGAACAGTGATATAGAAAGAAATACTCTTTCAAAAGATCTGAGCATTTTATTTGAAACAAGTAAATTACAATTCAGAGTGGGTATCTTCTGTCAAAAATAAAAGTGTTCCTAATGGTGAATGCTTTTTAGTCTTGAGATTTTTTAACTGTGTTTTCTTTTATTTTTGATGTATAAAAAGCTGAATATTCTAAGCATTCATTTTGTTTAGTGAGTTAAAAAAGCTGGAGCCAGAACTTGTGTAGGACAGCAGTGTCTCTGGCCGGTTCTAAATGAAATGCCAAAGTTGTGATTCAGAAAGTTAAGCAGAAAAACAATAAATACAAGAAATGCTCTTTTCCAGGATGGATTTATACACAATTTCCTTCCTTACCACAGCCTTGAACAACAAAATATTTCAGTTAATGCCTGACTACAGCCATAGGGATGCTCCTTTTTTTGAGCGATTGTCCCATAGTTGATGAAGGAAGTATTTTTTAAAAAAACCTTTTTAAAAGCTGTCATAGTTTTTTCTCACAGGAGGAAAAAACCTCTTCCTATGAATGTACTTGAAAGCAACATCTCTCAAAGAGTTACAGTTACTGGTACATAGTCTTTCTTTCTCCATTGCCTAAAACTTTTCAGAACTTCTATAGTTCTAAAAAAAGTTTCAGTTCTAGCTTCTGCCTTAACATTTGAATGGATTTGTGAGAGAATTTGTGGGGCTTAGTACAAAAGCATAAAATTGTTAGTCCTCGGCTGCAACCCAATGAATATTTTGAAATCTGGAATAAACTGTTGGCCTGTATTACCTCCCCCAGTACCCCAGAAATCCCAAACTTCGCATTGTTCCATGAGTGCTGCAGGAATTAGCTGGCTGCTGGCCTGAATTTTGCATTTATGGCAGGGATTGAAGTATTGATTTTCCTCCTCGTGTGTGGAGAAATGATTGTGTAGGATTTAAACTATGGCAATAACTTTGTTCACAAAGTTCACTTTGGGACAGGGAAATCCATGGACATCCATTGGCTGCACTGTTTGGCTTAGGAGTACAGGTGTTTTGTAGGTGAATTCCCTCATAATTTTTGTGCTAGAGCTGGCAGGTGAACAAAGACTTGGTTTACTTTGAATTTTCTAAGCACTAGGTCATCAAGTATTGTGCCAGTGTAACAAATGTATGCCATTTTTATTGGTATTCAAGAATAAAAGATCCATGAAGTGACTTTATTGTAAGTTTATTCTTCCCATTTCAGCCAGATGAGGTGTTCATGGTACAGTCTTCATAGGCTTTTCAAAAGAGTTGTCTGATATGTACTTGTAGATTAAAAATGCACTACACAGAGATGAGATGAGTATTTACACACAGCACTTCAGGTTATGAGGTTCTGTTCCAAAAGACTGCATATACACACACCTGAAGGAGGCATATGTTGTGTACCAAAGTTCACATGTAGAGATCCATTAGGTTATTTTGGTGTGGTTGAAATGGGTGTGATTTAGTTAAATGTGATGGGTAAAGGGTTTTCAGTAGGGGAATGTTGTTTATGAAGTTCAGGTTCAAGGTTGTTTGATTGCAGCTCCTCTGTGCTGCCATTGCTGCCTTTGCATGTTTCAGTCTGGGTGGTAAATCCTGAGGAGGAAAGTGTTTGTTCCTCACAAAACCACAGAATAAATGTGTACAAATGGATGTAACTTTGCTACTACTGACTTCTGACCCTGGCTGAGAGTTTAAGCGTGGAGCGTTACTGCCTTGATGTTCTGGATACTCTGGAATTGGTTTGCAAATCAGGTAGTCAGGGAGATTTATATTCAGGCTTTTTCCCTGAGGGGGAAAAAGCATTTTCTGATTGTTGGGCGACAATCTCCCTGTAATGCAGTATATGCAGTGAAGGTGGCAGGCAGACCTGGAGAGGCATTAAATGAACATGCCTAGTCCAATCTTGTAATAATTTTCTGAAGATAAAGTGTATGAATCTGTAGTAAAACTTCCATTACTGCTATCAGAAGGCAAGTTTTACCACCAGAAAAAGGCTCCATTTACAAGATAAAACAGGGTGGTGCTTGCTTTCTGATAAGGAAACTGTAAACTTGAGTAAACAATACTCAACCGTAAGCTTGAGCAAAGCAAAGTTTGGGGAGAAGGGCAGCCAGCTGATTAGAATATTAACCTGAAGTGGGGATGGAGAACGACGCAAACTGTCAATCACGCAACCCTTTTTTCAGGTTTTGACCTTAAACACTTTGAAATATTCCTATATCATCCTTTCCTCCCGCTTCCTAACCAAGGATACAAAGAAGAGAATTGAGTCTTGGTACTTATTTTGGACTATATGGAGCCAATACTGCAAGCAGAAAACAGTTACAAAGATGTCTTTCCAAAAGTGATTTCATGCCAATAAGCCTCCCTGTTTATTGAAGAACAAAGTGTTGTTTTTATTTGTTATTTTCCCTTGGCTTAAAGGAAGAAGATGTTTGTTTTAGAAGCCCAGACCACAATGGGTACACCAACATCAAAATAAATTAAATGGGGACACCTTTAATACATGACCTTTTTCTTCTGTTCTGCAGGACAGTGGTGATTATCCCCTGACCATGCCTGGGCCTCAGTGGAAGAAGTTCCGCTCCAACTTCTGCGAGTTCATCGGGGTGCTGATCCGGCAGTGCCAGTACAGCATCATCTACGACGAGTACATGATGGACACGGTGATCTCGCTGCTCACCGGCCTCTCCGACTCGCAGGTCCGCGCCTTCCGGCACACCAGCACGCTGGCTGGTGAGTGAGCTGCTCTGTCACTGCTTCCCTGCTTAGCCACTGCCAGCAGTACTGTAATTTCGATTGAGGTGGACCTTGACCAGCGTTAAAACTGTGGGAAGCACTTATGACATCAAATCCAAGTGCCACATATGGTACAGCTGTAGTTAAAATACTCCTTTTTTATTTGGAAAGTGCTGAGGCACGTAAGGATTCCTGTCATCCCCAGGATCTCCAGGGAATCCTGACAATCAGGCCATGCTTATGTCTTGTATTTTGTTATTAATTGTTCACTTGTTGTACAGAATGCTGGAGTAATTATATATTTTAGAGTATAAATTTATTCTAAAGAAGTATCAGGACAGTTGTATTATCAAAGAGTTTCCATTCACCAGAAAAGATAATCTGTGCCTTAAATTTGGGGAAGCATAAGGTTTGGGATTACTGGGCCATGGTTGTAGGGCTCCCTGTCTTCTGCCTGCAGCCACACCACCTTCAAGTGCAGCTGCCTCACCTAAGGAAAGCCCTGGCTGTATTATTAGTTAGAAATGGGCTTTCCATGTGTATTTCATCACACCTATATGAGATGTCTCCTCTAACAGGAATGAATTGCTTTCCACAAGGAACTATTTTTCTCAATTACAAAGCACTACTGGAGTGGCTGGCTTGGATGTAGGTGTCTACAGCTGGTCGTGTCAGGTGATAAGAAATCCACCTTATTATAAGGTTCATAGATCATAGCAGATATTTGAAACTCTTATAGCAGACATTTGTCATAATCTGAATGTTTCAAGGGCCAATATTTATTACTATTTAGTCTTTCCACAATCAGCCTCATATACATTTTTTCAGTTTCAGTTGTACCAATACTCAGTGCTAAACAAATACAGAATTTATTTAAAATTTTATCTCTCTTTATGAATCAAAGAAAGAGGCAGATTTCCAATGATATTGAAAAAAATCTCCAGATTTGAGTGGATTTTGATTTTAAAACTGAAGCCCAAACCCTTCAACTCACAGTGACTGAACTCCTTTGGAAACACATTCCCTTGTGTTCTTCACCATACTTAGCAATGGGATGGTAAAACCATGAATTATGCAGGTTTGGAGTTTTCTCTTCAAATTCAGTATTCCGAGGTGAGCACTGTTTGAGCCTAGATAACCTGCTGGAAATCCATGCCTGTTATTTAAACTCTTCCCTTCCATCTGATGCTGTCTGCAGTTCTGGGTGGTTTTGATTTGCTGCTTGCTCAGACTGTGGCTGATTGGCTCGTAGGGAGGAGTTTATGGAGTGAGGTTTGCACTCCAGTCCCTGGGATTGATTGGTCCATCCCTGCATGGAGTGGTTGTTTGCAAAGTATGAGGAGCTTGATTAAAAGACAGGAAACAGAAGCACTTCTAACAGCTATTTCCCAAGACCTGTGCTCCGTAGAATAAGGAGTTTCCACTGTTTGGAATGGATTCTGTAGCTAGAAGCTTGCAGCAAGAATAAGCTGATGCTGAAGCTGAGGTTCATCACAACTGACTGCAGTTATTTCAGCCACTGCTGACTTCTTTCATTAATGACACATTTATCTAACATTGCATCACGGATGGGAGCTACCAAAGATCTCAGGATTTACATGCTATTTATGTACTTATTTGCTTGTTGTTACAAGCTTGAGGCTTTGCTTTGATTCTACAAATTTCCTTCAAGCTGTTTTTAGCATATTTAATTGTGTTGCAGTCCCAAAGAGCAGAGGTCAGCATGATGCCATTGAGCTCAGAATTGATCAAGTTTTTTGAAAATCTACCTGTAGACTGGCATTTCTGAAGGAATGTTTGTAGGTCCTTGTTTTCTGTTTTCCTCTCTTCTAGTCAGTTGGAATGAGAGATGATTCACTGTAGGAAGAAGTACCTGTAGGTTACCAGTTTTGAGCTATAGCAGTGTAATCAATCCAGGTAGCCTCACTTCTCCATCTGTGTGGTTGCTTTTCCACCTTGAAGCAATGCTGCATGTTTAGAGGAGCATGCAAAGAGGATGTGATAGTTTGTTGCATTATTTTGCTTGTTTTTCAATATTATAAAATGTTTTGTACTATGTAACCACACAGAACTGGGAAAGACCCTTATTAATGTTTTTTGTAAAAATAAATTTTAGTACCGAAAAGCAGACACGAACAATATCATATCCAGCAGGTGTGAAAATAAAAATTGCATTTTTATATGGCTGTACAGCTGACTTTAGAGCAGTGTCAGACCTGCATTCAGAGAAGCTGTGCTGTGGTCCCTTGTGACCTGAGCCATCCTCAGCAGCCATTGGTTAAGGCCACCCTTAGTATGGAGCCATCTCTGCTGGCACTCTCCTGTGCAGAAATGGCTGTAACTCCCCAGCTGCTGCCTTCTTGGTGCCCTGGTGCTGCAGGCTCAGGTGTTGGCTCCCTGGTGCACTCAGGGCTTGTCTGGAGAAGACAGCAAGGAGCACTGCCTGCACCTCAGTGTGGGGACTCTGCTTTCTGACCATGGGCCAGTGACCTGGGTATTGCCTGAGTGGAAGTGCCTGTCCAGATGGCTGTGCCAGGGTTGAGAGGCTTTTTGCTGTGAGTATGGATCTGCTGAGGAAATATTTTCTGAGCTCTGACTACAGGTAAAGAGTCATAATCTGTCTTGTGCCTTTGCAGCTATGAAGCTTATGACTGCTCTTGTGAATGTTGCCTTAAACCTGAGCATTCATCAGGACAATACACAGAGGCAGTATGAAGCTGAGAGAAACAAAATGATTGGCAAAAGAGCTAATGAAAGATTGGAGCTGCTGCTTCAGAAAAGAAAAGAGGCAAGTGAAAAGACAATTTTTTTTTCCTGGTTCATGTGCATTCCCTCCAACAGAAAGCCCAGGGTGGTTTGTGACTCGAGTACCACAGTGAGAAAGAGCTTAGTTCTGCAGTGGTGTTCGTGTGATCTCAAGCAGACTGCTTAAATCCTGTGCTGCCACATTCAGTTGAGTTTGTGGTGCTGTTCTGCACACAGAGGAGAATTCTGTTCTCAAGCTTCTATGAATGCCCAGGCAGGAAGAGTCTCAAACTGTAAGCAGTCACTGCTCTGGTGATGCAGAAAGATTCTGACAAGAGGCTCACACGTTCCCTCCCTGCACTGCCCAGTTTTCCCCTTGATCATTGCAGTTATTCCACAGTGTCTCATTACTACTTCTTTTTTAGCTGCTTTCAGGAAACACTGTGGAGTTGAGGCTATAGCACCTGTTCTCAGGGAGAAGGAGCTAGGGAGACATTAAAGTCGCCTTTAGTAAGTACCAGCCTGGCATTAGGTGAGAAAAACCATTAGAAGGTTGCTGTAATAATTCCTAAATAAAGTATTATATCACAGGAAATTTCAGTTTTAGAGGTGTACTTAAATTTAAAGATGACAAGTAGAAAATTAATATGCATACATTCAAACAAACATAATGTGTAAAGATGCCCGTGTAAAGATGCCCAGTAAAACTCATAAGAGAAATTGAAAAATCAAAGTTTGTATTAGATTTAAGTTTATGATTTTTAGTATATTAATTTTGCATTTTCTCCACCACTGTTTTACTCTGTGGCTGTTAAGATTGTCTGGGTGCTTAGCTTGTGTGCACCTTGAATTCCTTTAGGTGTAACTTTAACTCAGTATTGCTTGATTTTGTAGTCTTTGTCTGGGGATAATTACAATTACATATTTTTATTTTACCCCTATGATCTGTAGCACAACTTTGTTTAGTTTTCATAATTCTTGAAAAGCATGCATTAAGGTACAATGCAAGAACAATCTCTCCTGCCTAAACAGCAAGAGAAACATTTTAAATTAAATATTAAATTGCATGTGAGTTCTAAATAATTTTGAAAAGCAAAATAGCTGGAACACAGTTTGTATTCCACATTTGTTGATTGTTGCTTTGAATTTGCAGATAACAAAGGCACTAATTGCACTGATTACCTTGGGCTGGTGTATTGTATTTGCTGGGCCCCCAGACAAAGGAAGGAATGATGAATCTGACTCCATGTTCTCAGAAGGCTAATTTATTATTTTATGATACTATATTATATCAAAGAGTACTATACTATACAAAAGAATATAGAAGGGATACTTACAGAAGGTTAAAAAGATAATAATGAAAATTTGTGACTCTCTCCAGAGTCCAACACAGCTTGGTCCCTGTTGGCCATTGAGTCAAAACAACTCACAGCAGAAACCAATGAAACAATTGTTGATAAACAATCTCCCACCACATTCCAAAGGAACAAAACACAGGAGAAGCAAATGAGATAAAATGGTTTCCTTTTTCTTGGAGGCTTCTCAGCTTCCCAGGAGAAAAATCCTGGGTGAAGGGACTTTTCCAGAGAATGTGAGTGCCACACTGGTGGCTCTGTGGCTGGAACTCCTCTGTGCCTGTTCCCCCAGCTGCTCTTTCAGAGCTGCAGTACATCCTCTCTCTGGGGAGCTGTAGCCAGGATGCCCAGGCTGCACAGGGCTGGAGATCCTTGGCAGGAGAAGGAGCATTTCTTAGTCCTTACCTTTGGCTCTGTGTGTTCAGGGGCTCTCATCTCACTGCTCATGACAGCTGAGCAATGCATGGCCTGGGAATAGCCAGATGGAGTATGTCCATGGGGTTAAGCACTCCAGGGGCACCTGGGCAGAAGAGATCTGTTAGGATTAGATGGCTTAATGCTCTGTGGAAGGATTCCCGACAATAATACTGTGTATTCCCACTGTTTAAATAGACCGAATTGACAGTGGCATTCTGTGCTGGCGCTTCCTCAGTTGATTCTTTGATGAAGTGCCATCCTAACAACTCCTCCTGAGCACATACGTGTGCATGTGTTGGTCTTCATGAGCTGATAGAGGGACAGTTCACCAACGGAGTGTGGCAGGTTAGTCTGAAGCAGAGGAGATGGAGCTCTTCCTGAAGTGTCTCATGCCATCATCTGCAGGCCTGCTGGGAGAGCCATGTATGGAGCTCTGTCTTATCAATGAGATTTTCAGCTCAAGTGGATGATTTATGATGCAATATGCCACAAAGCAGAGAAAGTTGTCTTTTTATTATCTGCCTGTAGTAATTCAAATTTTGTGCTTGTCATACATGTCTTTTTGAGCTTCCAAACCTACTTGCAGAGTCAACAAGAGAATGTTTCCCTCATTTTTTACCTCTGTTTAAGAGGGAGAGTGTTAAATCATTTTTGCTTTGGTAAAAACAGGAATTCCAAGACACAGATGCTCTCTCAAGATACTTGAAATTAAGCACTCAGATTCAAGTGCATAACTTAAAAAACTTGAAAGTGTAGAAAGCAGCTGGAGTTTCAGAGAAAATTCATTACTGAATCTAAAATACATTTGAGAATTATATCCTTTAAATGTTAGTACACAGAGGTAAACATGATCTCACAGGGACCTGCTGAATCTCTGATTCTGCTTCCACACCAGCTGTGCCCCAGCACCTGGATAGCTGTACCAGATGATAATTTACCATGTTTACAGTGAACTGTAAATTCTGTGCAGAAGAAGAGGGAGGAAGCCATTTGTGCTGTCCCTTCATCTGTGCTGCTCAGGCCTCTACTGTACTGCTTCACTTTGCTCTCAGAGAGATGTCAAAGTACACTTTTTTCAGAATCTCAACTTTCTCATGGCTCAGAAAGTCCATCCTCTTCTACCTATCTTCTATGGTGTGGTTTTATACCAAGAAATCATTCCCTGAGTTCTCTGTGACCTCTGGTATTCTTTCAGAAAGCCTCCTGAGGCTTCTTGGTTCATTCCCATCCTCATTTTACTGCACTTGGCTGTCTCTACCCCCATGTTGCTGTGGATGTTTCTCTGTCTGTAGCCTGTGGAGTCATCCAGCTGAGTGATTGGGAACTGAGAGTCCTCTTTGGGTTATGAATTCTCAAACAAGAATTTAGTCTGTGCATATTTGGGTTGAGCTGATGCTGCAAATAGTACTTTTCCCAGAGGCCATGTCTAAATATGCTTGGTTCATGTGTGCAGAGCTGGTGTGGACCCAGCTCTTCCCTTGGTACATAATCCCTTTTACTGTGAAATTAGTTTCTTTGGTAATTTGTCAAGAGTCCTCAATGCCTTGGTTTTTCCATGTGCAAAATTAAGACAGAACCTCCTTACACTTCAGTGAACTGGGAGGCTTCACTCCCTGAGTTCTGAAGCTACTTCAGCTCATACCTGGAAGATGCAGTAGAAATATTTGGCTGGAAAATGGAAGCCCTTAGGTGAAAGTGTTTCAGAGCTCATGCCATGAAGGAGGTCAAACCAGCTGATCACGATTTTGCCTCTGGCTTCAAAACCTTTTATCTGTTAAACATATACATCCATAATTATACAAGTTTAATTATTTTATTCATATGTGCACTCCACCAGCAAGGCTCTGTTGTGGTTTTCCTACTGTGAGAGTGTGGGCAAATTTACATTCCCACATTGTGGTGCTGTGCTTGGACTGTAATGAACACCTTGATGGAAGAACAATGGCTGCTCCAAAAACTGATTGGATAAAATTGGTGTCATCTTATTAACAAAGCTGCATTTAGGTGTAATTAAGTTATACTTAGTTTAGTACAAGATCTGACAGTATGAGAATACTGTAATTAATTCCAAGTTGTGTTAACATATTAATTGACACAAGGTAAGCTTCCCATAATACTTGCAAAACGTGCTCATATTACCCAGGAAGTGAAAAGTTTTTTAAGAAAATGCTCTTATCTATAAAAGCATGCTTATAACACCTTTTCATTTGGTATTGGGTTTGGTTTCTTACAGGCTAAAGCCTGGATGTCAGATGTGCTCTAGTCCTGGAAATCTTCCTGCTTCTGAAACCCAGTTATTGTGGGTGCTGAAGTTCAAGCAACTGACAGTCTTTTACTTAAGATTGAGAATGTCTTCAACTCCTTTCCTTAAATAGAACATTAATTTTTTCAAACTAATCTGTCACCAGCTTTGTTTCTGCAGCTGTCATTCATTCAGCTCTGTGTTTCCCTGTGAACACAACACTGCTGAAATTACTACACACATTGTCTCTACTTGTCTCATTTTCAGTACCAAAAGTTTATGATCACTTCAAAGAACTAATTTGAGAGACTAAATTGATGTTTGTAGTGAATGTTAATTTTCTTCCATTAAGATATTGCATATATAATGTAAATATTTGTATGTATTTGCACACAATATAGGCATGTGCTGGAAAAGCAGAAGTGGTGAATTTACTCAAGTGCTCTTCCAAGGTCTTCTAAGGTTTCCCAATAGGGAGTTGTAGAATACCAAATTATACTAAACAATGATCTCTTATTTATTTTGTGTTTTGTTTTTCACAGCTACAAGAAAACCAAGATGAAATCGAAAATATGATGAACTCTATTTTTAAGGGTATATTTGTTCATAGATACCGGTAAGAAAATGCATGTTCCAGTAGGCTCTGCTAACAAGGTGTGATCATAAGGAAAGTCAAGGGCAGCTTCTGGGTTGATTTTCTTCTCATGTAATATTGTAGATGCTGCAGGATTACTGTCAAAAACGTTTGAAGTTGTGGAAGAATATACAAATTGTAACCTCTATTAATTACTCAGTACAGCCATCCACACAACTTTAATTCATTAGACAGCTTTAAACGGTTGTGGGAGACATGGGCTTTGAATCTTTGCATTTTGAAAAGAAAAGTTGTCCATGTTGGGAGCACAAAAATGATGTATCTTAAGAATAATCAAATCATTACTGCATGTCATAGGATAGCAGTTGTCCTCCAGCCTGCATTTCCTTTTGTATGTCTTGGGTGTAAACAGCAAATTTGGAATATGGTTTACCAGAGAGCAGTAGTCTTTTAAAATAGATTTAGGGTTGTTATGCATCACAAGATGTCTCAGAGCATCTGCATCACCTTGGTGCAACCAGCTCTTTAAATGTTAATTGACTTGCTGAAATCAAAAGATAAAATTCCAGGGTACCAAACTATGCAATTAACCTTTCAGACTTCAGTTCTGCTTTAAAAGTTTATAATTTAAGGAAGAGGGTTGGAAGGTGAAGAGGAACCCATAGTTCCGTTGGCCAGAGGGATGGATGATTGTAATTTGGAGAAAAGCACCCAGGAAACTGAGAAGGTGCTCAGGCTGACAAATGTGTGTGAGCAGCACAGTGGGGATGGAGAGTGTCTCCTCAGTACCTGAGCATGGAAGGAAAGTTCATGGTTTATGGCCAGGAAGCCTTGAGCTGCTTGGCAGCTGGAGGATGGGTATGCAGAGCCAGCAGGTATCTGAGTGTGCTAGAATAGTGTGGCACTCACACCATTTTGTAAGGAGAGCAGCTTTCATGGCATATGTCAAAAAGCTGAAGAAATTAAATTCTAAGAGTGTTTCCATTTTTATCCCTTCAGAACTTAGTGTATTATATCAAACAAAACATTGCTTTAAAATATCCTCTTAGTTGTTCATGCTCTTATGTGGGATTGGAAAAAGACTCAGCCTTTTGGTGGTCTGCATTCTGGTGCTTTTGCTTTTTCTTTTGAAGTCTTCCTTTTGTAAAAAAGTTTCTTTTCACGCCTCCTACCACCACTAGTAAAGACCTGATTTTGCTGATGTTACTGTAAAAAAGGAGAGGCCAAATCCATAAACTCCATTCAAGCCCTGGAAAGAGGTGCCCATGGTGGCCCTGTTAGATCCATAGGGAATTGACTGAAGTCAGACAGGTGGTGGCACCACTTGTGCCACTGTTCAGAGGGGTCAGGAGGACCAGGAGGAACCTGTTGCCACTCTGCAACCTGTGTGAGCTCGAGCTGTCCTTGAACTTTTGGGGAGCCCCAAAGAGTCTCTTAACAGCACACACCAAACTATGAGTAATGGTTCACAACAGAGAGCACAGAGTGACACTCCTGCACTCACAGCTGGATGAGAAAATAGAGGGGGAAAATGTCTTTGTGAAACCCAGCTAATTGACAACAAAGTCCAGGGGGGATAGAATGTAAAGGATTGTGAACTATTATCTGCTTTTGTAACTTCTTAATTTCTTGAACCTTCCTTCTCTCACATAGTTCAAATTATTTATAAACTTCACATGATTTTACAGGTCTTAGACCATGCACAAGTGGTGATGATTTCAAAAGAATGTTATTTTAATTATTCTCAGAGAGTAAGTCCCATCCTTCAATATGATTCAGACTCAGCCACGGTGATTCATGCTCAGTGACCTTTGTAGCTTAAATAACAAGTCCTTGACCTAAGTAAAACTCCCAAAACTGTTTCATTCAGAATGTGTCTTCTGACAAGTGTTGCAGGGAGATTACATCTTTCTGTAGATTGGCTTCCAATTTACTGGAAGATTTCAGTCCTTGCTTCTCTCATCAAGATTAAAAAAAAAAAAAATTGCAGAAATAGCTAAATAGTTTTCTAGGTTTAATGCTAGTCTAGTGTGAATAGCGGATTTGGTCAAAGCTGACAACCACTCCAGCAACCCTGAGGAGCACACTGCTCTGCACCTGATATTTCCCAAATATCCATCAGAGACTCTGTGACTCAGGTCCTGAATATGCTGCCTTTAATCACAATTATTTTGTGTACATGAAAGGTACACTGAAGTGGCACTTGGAATGGCACTGGTAAAATCTGTCTCTTGACGCTGCTGTGGTTTGTCCTAAGGTTTATGGGCCTGCCTTGGCAAGCCAAAATTTCAAAAGGAAATGCAGAATTTCTTACTTGAACCCCTTTTGTCAAATCCTTTCAGAAGTTGCATCATGGAGGTACTCCCTTTACCCAGAGTAGGAACTTAGGCTGTGAATTGTGCTGCAAGTATTTCCATCTTGTAGACCTTTCTTTGCATTTTGTGCTGAAACAAGGGTTAGATATATTCCATGTATAAGATCTGTAGATGCCACATTAGTTTTCATCTCTGTGCTGGACCAGATTCTGTTTCTCTCTAGAAGCATTTGGCAAGTAATACAAGCTTACATCACTAATTTATGATAATTAATAATGCATTCATTATTCCAAAAACACTTCCAGTGCAGGTATAATTAGTATTTATATGTTCTTGTGTCATCCAGAAATAATGTGTATTTTCAAAAAGCTAAACAATTCATAGTGACCAGAAGCAAAAATATATTTAACTGTGTAAAAATTAGAAGAAAATAATTATAGTTTAATGACAAGCAATTACCACATTAACAGCAAAGGTTCAAAGATTGTTTTGGCTGTATTATATTTGATACAGCATTGTATGGGCATGGAGTCTGTGTTAATGATTCCTTCAGGAGCACAAGTGATTCTGATCAGTGATGGTTGCCTGGAAGGTGATGTGGAGTGGGAAGTGGTGTCTCACAAGTTCCCTGCTTCTCTGGCAGCTTGAGTCTGCTGGTCTCACATCCTTGATTCTGTCTCATTTTTAGTTATACTGGAGATGTTAAATTCTTATTGTATTAAATCTCCTATTAAGTTGAATAGCTTTCTTCTTTTTTTGTTTTAATTAGCAGCTTGGAGTGTCTGTAGTGCTGAGGGATCCCTGAGAAGACTTTTGAATCAAGAAGCAGTTTTTCACTTTGCCTAGGGAAGCTTGAATGCACTCGTAGAGAAAACATGATTTTTCCTGCTTTTTGGCTGGCTGTGCTGCATGATTAAATAGTTGTTGACATTTAGGTTCTTTTTGGGATTGCCATTAAATCTTTCCAAATTCTCTGCAGTTAGTAAATTTATACTCGTGGTGAAATAACTTACTTGGATGTGAGGACTCAGGCTGTCATCCCCTAGTAAGAATGTCTTCCTCACTAGTTTGTGTTATTGCAGATGTGGCTTCCCATTTTTTCTTGATTTATATTTACTAGTCTTTTAGGTTTTTCTGTAAGTCTTGCATTCGTCCACCTATATTTTGCTTTTAAAATAGTTTACAAGTAACTCCATGTAAGAGAATTGCTAATCTAATTAAATACACACACACACACACATTTGTGAGTGTGTGACTCTAGTCATAGTTTTAACTAAAACTTGTCTTCATTATGGCTGCCTTTCCCATAAGGAATGCAGTTTTTAACCCTTGAGTGTGATATTTAGCACATTGGTCCTTACATTACTTAAACCTGTTTGAGAAATCCCTGGTAGGGGCAACGTGTTTGATGCCCTGCCCTGCTCCTAATGCACCTTGTCTCCATTGTGGATTGCCCCTTACCTTGGTTCTGAGGTTACAGAGGCTTCAGGAAGCTGGACAGACCAGGTTTACTGATGCTGTTGGGAAGTTGTTAAAATTCATGTTTCTCAAAAGCAGAGAGCCAGTGGCAGTGGTTTGGTGGCGTTCACACCGGTGTCCCCCTCATGTTATTGCATTAAATGCATTACATGCTGTTTATGCTTTCCTGCTGTTACAGCAGTACAGTTTCCTCCCTACAAGTTCATTTCAAACACTGAGACCTGCCTGGAGAAGTTCCCCTGGCCGTGTGTGATGCTTGGTTCATGGTCCCTGTGGGACTTGGGGTTCCAGCTCAGGGTCTGCAAAGTCAGGGGCGGGACAAAGGGACTGGATCAGCTGGGTCAGCCTGAGGAGGGAAGTACATGCTTCCAGTATGCAGTCACCAGGGGCTTGCTGCTCTGGGTTAGGGCTATGAACCTGTGCAGTGTCTTGACCAGAAAAGTGAGTGCATTTTGTTTGTATTTTGTAAAATTGATTACTTTCAGAACAGTGCAGTTTTTCGTTTTTGCAATTATTTTTTTTGCTTGAAGCTTGGAATTTTTATCTCCTTCCCATAAATTAAATTTCATTTTGGGGCTCTGTTGGTCTGGTTTAGAATTAAATTGATTTTTATTACTTTTCCAATAAGATTTTTTTTCATAAAAATACAAAACAAGGGTCTCAATTACAAGCAAGTTCCAGTGTTTGCAAAGCACCAGACATTCCCTTCTTCTGTGCAGTTACTCTTTGTGTTCTTCTTGTATTACAGCTGAAATTTGGAACTGTGAGGCAGTGCCAGCTGGAGTGGCACAAGTGATTTCTTATGGTAACAGATGTCCCAGAGATGGAATTACTGAAGGGACAGATGGCCCCAATCCCTTTTCCCGTTGTTTCATTATTAGTAAAGATGCCATGCTCCATGTCAGGCAGGCAGGAAAGTGCCAATCAGATGGAAAGCATTTCCATCCTGGTCTCCTTAGGTGACCTCCCAGTTTCCTGTCTCCCCTCCTCACTAAGCAGCTGATAAGTCTGCCTGAGATATGTCTTTGCTGACTCGCCACAGTCAGAATGTAGGATAAGAGCAAGAAAATGGGAAGAGGCCAATGCTGAAGTGCAAATCTCTCACAGGTTTTGTTGTAGGGGTGTTCATGAGGGATATGAAATGAGATCTCTTTGTGTAGCAAATTCCATTGTGCTCCTCTGGCAGGTGCCTTTGGCTAAACCAAATAGCTTCTTCCACCTTGCAATGGTTCTGCACCTCGAGCTGGAGACAGCTGGGCTGCAAAGCAAATGTCAGTGATGCTGTTTCAGAAATGATTGCCCAGAGGAGCTTTGTAGCTTGGGTTCATAATTCTCTTTGAAAAGGGAGAGGTTAAAGGTAGAGTAATAGACTAAGAAGCAAACTAGGGTGAGAATTTCTTTACATAAAGGAAATGTAGGAACATCTGTAAACACTGAAATTATTAGATCAGTGAGTTGAAGGATGTACAGGAACAGATAATCAGTGAGATGGCAGTAAGAACAGTGACAGGCCTCACTTAGGTTCATAACCAGTAAAAGCAAAATATTATAGCTATGGCAATGGGAATAAGAAGGATATTTGTCTGTAATCTGGCTAATCCTTGTTCTTTTCTTTTTCTGTATTAGTGATGCTATTGCTGAGATTAGAGCTGTCTGTATTGAAGAAATTGGTGTCTGGATGAAAATGTACAGTGATGCCTTCCTGAATGATAGTTATTTAAAATATGTTGGTTGGACACTACATGACAGGGTGAGTATTGTGTATTCCCACACACAGCAGAGTACACTGGAGACAGCTGCTGCTGTGCTGCCCAGAACAGCATTATCCTTGGCTTACAAAGAGGTTTTCTGTTTCCTCACCTGGTATCTTTCAATCAGGTCACTTCCAGGTATTGGCTTCAGTTAGGAGGCAGTACTCCCAGTCTGCTGGTCTGTGTGCTTTTCATGTGGTCAGTCTCTGACAAAGTAACTTGACAGAAATCCTTCCATAGGGCTTTTCTGTTGATTACAAGAGAAAGAGAAGTCTCTTCAGAGCATCCCTGAGAGCCTCTGTGTCTGAAGCAGAATGGAAAAGACATTTCCATGTGTCTTCCATTTACATTGCCCAAAGGTTAGAGGAAAAAAAGAGATCTCTGGGTCTTGAATAGACACCACTGGTTCCTCAAGTGGAGTGCTCATCAGTTCACTGTCCCTTCCTTTTCAAGGTTCTCTTTAGCTTTTTCTTCAGAAAAATGTTGAAACACCAGATGGAAGCAAGAGGTGCTTTTCTGACTCAGCACAGTTCTTACTACTGATGGTATCCACCTAGTTCTTGCAGCAAGAGGAGCCCATTCTGGGTGCTGACAGAGGACTTTGCACTTCTGCCTGGGGACTTTTGACACCAGCACTGGCTGTGCTCCCACTCACACCAAAACCACTGGAACTCTAAGCTCCCTTGCTAATGCTATGCAAGGAATACAACTTACAGTACTGTTGAAATGCTCATCAAATTCCAGCATCCTGATTCAGACTATTCTCCTTTTCTAGGAGCACTGCTGGAAAAAAATTGTCAGTCTGCAAGTTCATTTGGATTACTTGCATAACTGATAGTTAACAGCTGATTCTTGAAAAATATTACTTTTTTTAGTAATTTCAAACATCATCTTAATATTTAGGATCTGACTTGGTCACTCTTGTGCTGAATTCTGAACAACAAGAGTTATGCAGATGTTGGCTTACACTAATGATAGAAGTCAGCTGCTGGTGCTGGTTCTTTTAACTACAGCTACTAGGAATCTGCATCTTGCCTTCATTTGGATGAGCAGTTCACTTGTTAAGAGTATCCTCTAGACATGGGATTTCTTTCCAAACCTGTAGTTCTCAAGCTTTCCCTTTACAAATTTTCCCCAAACTATTACATTAGATCTCATTGAGCAAAACTTGGTCAGGAGGAAGATCCTGCTTACTGCTCCCATGAGCCATGACCACTGTCTGCCCCAGAGCCACTGCACTGTGTCTCAGTGAATGCTGGACATGGAAACTGCCATGGCAGTGCCTGGAGGGACAGAACTGCTGCTCTGTGTCCCTTGGTGGTGACATTGCTGTGCCTCACAATTTGCCATGCTCCAGGAGAAGACATTGTTCAAGTTAGCAAACCAGTGGGGAGTTTAGCTGAGGTTGGAGGATCAGGATTTAAGGTGTGTGGAGGGTACCAGGACTTGTAATTTAAATAAATTATTCCTTTAATAATTGCAGTGGATTTATGGGAGCACATTCTAAACCTTGTAGAACATTTCCACAAAGTAGCACCTCCGGAATGTAGTGGGGCTGCACTTCACAGCTCTCAGCCCCCTCCTAGTGTCTTTGAAGTCCATCCATTTCTCACATCACTCCCTTTACCCATCTGTAGAATCTCACACTCTCATCTGTCACATCCAGCAATTTCTCATGTCATGTGCAGTATTTTCTCACACCCTCTTCTGTTAGTTTAACCTCAGGCCAGGGTCTAGTCATCTGCCTGCAGCCTTAACACATATTTATGCCTCAGCTTTTTTAAAATCAACATGTTTTTTCATAGCAGAGAAATTTTGAATTACAGTGTTAGGATAAAAAACTAGACCATTTGGACCAGGCACAGCAGAATTCTATCAGACTGCTCTTCCTCTGCTTTGTAAGATTTTTTTGTTGCAGGCCACAGAAGTACCCTGGGGTTCTAAGTCTTTAAATCACTAATGTGTTTAATGTCCCAGTCCACCTGATAGGTTGGTGGGGTTTTATTGATGTTGTGGATGTGTCATCTACAGAGTGAGACAGACTGTAGGCAGAATGGGGAAGAGTCTGGGGCAGGTGTCAAGTAATGAAAAGGGAGGGAATGGAGACAGTCGTTTTGGAAGGGTCAAAAGGAGGGTGGAGGTGAAATAGGAAGAATATATTGGAAAAAGATGGAGTAAGAGCCAACTGAAAATGCAAAGCCTCCAGAAGTACAAGATCCCTTAACAGCATGGCTTTCATTGGCACCACCTGAAAAAACTGCCAGCTGGTACCCAAGTTTCTTGATTTTGCTTTGATCAGGAGGTAATTTTTGCTATAATTGGTATTTAAAAAATGAAGGCTGAGGCAATAGCCATAAGCTATTTTTACTTCACATGAACAGCAGTCACCCCAGGATTATTAACTTCTCTGGAAGTTTGCTGCTGCAAAAAGGTGACAGCAGTGCAGGAGATTCCTGAGCAGTTTTATATTCTACTTCAGAAGACATACAAATTAAACCACAGGGAAGAACAGTTCTTACACTTTGTAGTAGCTCCAACGTAGTCTTTCAGAGGTAGAATACAAAAGTTTCGTTCTCTAACTTGGAAAATCCTTATATTTTGTATGTTAATTATGTCTCCCAGATTTCAAACAAATGTCTATAGAGATTTTTGGTTTTTATAGATTCTCATTTGAATGTAGGTTTCAAGTTTTGCCTTTCTCTGCTTTTAAGCATCTTTTTTATTCCCATGTATCTTGGAGCATAAATACGAGTGTATAAACGATGATATAATTGCATTTAAAAACCCTCTTGAAAATAAAAGTGCTAAATTAGATTGTTCAGTCTTAATTGCCACCTGCTTCACTGACATGTGGAGCTGTTTTGAAACCGTAATTGTCTCTAGATACCTGGATAGTCATGGTTCTTAAAACCAGTTCCTACACATAAGAGCATGCTTTTTCTATCTTTGCGTTCCTCTTTGCTTATTGTCTGTTTCTGTGGAGAGGATGAACCCAGGGTCCTCTGGAACAGATGATCCTCTTGTGCTTGACCTCCTAATTAATAAATTAGTTAAATAAATTAATCTCTTAGTTTACTAAGTCTCTTGCTGGCCTTCCTGTCCATCCCTGTTTGCAGTTTTTATGCTGGCATGTTTCTTAAGAATCACTCTAACAAGCATTCCCACCCAGTTACTTCCTTGCTAGAAGGGGTTTGGGATGATCAAAGCTCCTGTGAGCTGGATGATTCTCACAGTTATGAAGAACCATCTTGTGTGTGGTGTTGAGGGTCTGTGGCATATTGCTGCTCCTCCACTCTGGACTGGAGTGCATCCACACACACCTTCACCCTGCCCTGCTTTGCTTCCTGTCCAGTTCACTGCCCTTTAGGCTTCCCAGGGCATTCCTGCCACTCATCTCCACTGACTTTTTTTTAAAACCTCCTTACCAGGATTAGCAAGCTGATGTGCAGGAGCTCTTCACTCTCCAAAGAGGTGAATTCCATCCTTGACCAACAGTTTAATAGACAGACTCAGAGAAAGTCCTCCTTCATCATTCTTCTGCCAGAGGGGCAGTCACTTCCAGGGTTTGCCTCTGTGTCTCCTGGTCCTACTGCTAGTCAGAGGGACCAGGTGTAACATAACCTTTCTCTCTCTTCCTCGCCTGCTCCTGCAGTCCCTTCTCCTCAGATCTGGTCCAGGACACTTTGGTTAGGGCCTGGCTGCAGTTGTCTGTCAGGGCATGCAAGGAGCCATACAAGGAGCCTGTGCTCAGGGTGGGGTTCCTGCCTGCCTGACTCCATTTGCTGGCTTGAGCTTTTCAGAGAGCCCAGTACAGGGCTTGGACTGAGCTCTGGGACCGTGGATCCATGGAGTTTGGGGAAGTCTCCAAGGGCTTTGGGCTCTATGGGCCCAAACAGCCTGAGCCTGCTTTGCCCAGCTCTCAGGTCCCATTGTGGGTGAGTTTTCCATTTGGCTGTGGGCTCACAGATGGGACAGGCTCCAGGGCAGCTGTAAATAAAGCTGTTCCCTTACTGTGCCTTACAGTGCTCATGCAGGCCAGAACTGACCTGGTCCTGATCAGAGGCCCATGTCCTGGGAGTGGTGATGACTCCAGACATCCTGGGCATTATGAGCACCCCACAGCAGAGGAGGACACCATTTCTGGTACTGCCACACAGGTGCTATTAAAAAGGAATGTCAAGCAGCATTTCTCTGGGCTTTTTTAGCAGCTGATCACATCCATGTAATTTTTCTTCAAGGAAGTTCTTTTCTGTACCTTGAAAGGTCCTATTATCCCTTTAAACATACCTTACACATCATTAACTTTCTCTGCAGTGGTAGTCGAAAAGATCCCTAGAAGAGAGCACAATTGCTCAGAGACTCCTCATGGATATAGAGAGATAATTTCTCCTGAACAGTTGTTTTTCATGGAAGTTCTGAAAATCCAACTCCTGTGCTGCTTTTGTCTTCTATTTCAAATTTTGAAATAGGTGTGAAGGAGGAAAGAAACTTTAAAATTTGGATTTATACCTTCTGTTTTTAATGTCAGTCTATGAATGTTCTTTAAGTTTTTAAGGTGATCACTTTTTAAGTACAGACTGCATTCTGGAATACACAGTTCCAGAAATTAAGCCCTCTGGGTATGGATTTTTCTTTATGAAGTTCAATAGTTCATTTTAGTTCTTGAGCAAATTAAGGCCTTAGACTTGGTAGTGTCTTCACTTTCATAAAAGTAAATTGACACTGCAGTGAACACTACAGAGTATATTTGAGTAGATTTGTGTTTATAACCTTTTGGCTATCTGCAAATATTTTACAGCAGGAATCCACAGTTTGCCAATGTGGTGCAGTTGAGTTGCCCACCTGCAGCACAGGGGATCCAGTCCCTCTCTTCATCAGCAGTGTTCCTGCAGGACACAAGCCTTGATCCACAGGCTCCTGTGATCCCCACATTTCCTGCTGCAGCCCCCCAGACTAAAGCAGTCCCCAGCAGCTGGGAATGAGCTGCTGCCACCAGCACAGCTCAGGCACAGGGACACGAGCCACCCTTCTTCCCACGAGCTCCTCGGGCTGTGGCTCAGATGTGTTGTTCCTGTGGCAGCAGCCTGCTCCCACTGGAGCATCTCTCACACCTTCTGCATCCTTCAGCCTGCTGTCCTGCTGTGAGAGATGGAATGTAAAACCTGTGGGGATAACAGATGCAGTGTGTGCCCTGTGTCCCTGCCCTCAGAGCTAGCTCAGTGGCTGAGCCCATGCCCTGTGCACTGATTGTAACACGAGCTCTCAGCCATGGGCCTGTGGGCTCCTTCCTGAAGACAAACAGCCACACTGCCTGCACCAGCCACCTGGACATCCTACATCCTTATGTTGGATTTCATGTTGCATTCTTTATCTTTTTGTGGAGTCACTTGAAAGGGAAGCACTAACAGACATATAAGTCTGGCACATTAATTCTTTCTGTATGCAAATAGGAAGAAATTTAACAGTGTAGGTGACTGCATGTGGGTTTTGGTTTTTAGTAAATTGCAAATTGGCTTTGGTCATTTGCATAAAATTTTAAGTGTACATTAAACAAATTACAGTATTATGTTTTTTAATATTCATGTGCATTTGGTTAAAGTATTCTGACAGCTAATCTCAATGTTTTTTATTTAGCAAGGTGAAGTGAGGTTGAAGTGTTTGAAAGCTCTTCAGAGTCTGTATACCAACAGAGAGTTGTTTCCCAAACTGGAGCTGTTCACTAATAGATTCAAGGTAAGAGGAAATACAGTTTTTGGAAGGAGGACAGAAAGTAAAAGTGTCATCATCCTGTTGTGGTCTTTGAGTCATGTCTATTAAGAATAAACTCATTAGTTTGTGACAAGGCTTGTAACTGCACTACTGAAAGTGTTACTGAATGCTGAAATTAAGCCAAATCCATTTCACAGGGTTTATGTTGGAAGGTTTGTCAGACTTAGCCAGGATGATTATTTGCCTGTATGTATTATTTATAGCTTATATATTGTCCTTATTCAATCTGCCTGTACTTATTTAATTTTAGATTTATTGATTTTAAAGGATGTATACTAACACAATCTAAAATGTAGCTGAAAGTAGCAGCCTGTAATGAAAGATTGTTTGTTACACAGCTTTTCTAGCTCAATACTGGCTTGTGTTTGGAGGGACAGTCACTTGGATGTGCATCACAGTCCTCTACACAGTGAACTGGCCTTGCTGCAGAACAGGAGTTCACATTGTGCTTCCAAACCCCTTGAGCCAGATGGGCCCTTCAGGAGAGAAGTGCTGGGGGAATATTTCATGGGGGTTTTATTAGCACAAACTTTTTGTGTAATATCTGGATAAGAATGTGGCTGTTAAGTCACTTTGTGGTCTGACTGTTTTATTGTACAAGTGAACAGTCTGGAGAGATGGGTGTGGAAACACTGTCCCTGCTCCTGTTTGGATGCCTGCTGAGGAGTGTTCAGGCACTGCCACCATGTCAGCTGCTCCCTCTCCCCATGGCTTTTGCGTTCTGCAGAATACACTACTGTGGGAAAAGCTATCCCCAAGGAAAAACTCACTTATCTCATTTAAATCTTTATTAGAATGCTGATGAAAAAATTTGTTTAGAAAAGAAACAGAGCTGACTGGTTTATTTTAACTTAAATCATTATTATAATGCTGATAAAAAATTCTGTTTAGAAAAGTGGAGATTTAAATATTTATAAATACTGTGCACAAAACTTAAACTTCTCCCTGTAGATTATCTCTGTATGAAAACAGTTACTTGGATCATTATTATAATGCTGATAAAAAATTCTGTTTAGAAAAGTGGAGATTTAAATATTTATAAATACTGTGCACAAAACTTAAACTTCTCCCTGTAGATTCTCCCTCTATGAAAACAGTTTATAAAAACATGATAATCAGCCTTTTTCTACATTCACTTGGGATACAGAAAAAAGATGCTTAACCTGCAATAAGCCTAGATATTAAGGAAGGCTTTTTTTCCAAAATGATAATTATATAATAGAGCAGACTCTTTATTAATAGTCTTCTTCATTTAAGATAACAGTCTTAAAGGGCAGATTAAATAAATGTCTACCAGAAATTAACTAAGTATAGTTGACTAAGGTAGGAGATAAAACTTGATGATTTTAAGACACCACTTAAGGGCCTGCATTATTCTAATTTTATAAAGCCAGTTTCTGGCACTGTTGCAGTAAAGACAAAATTTTCTCTTATAGGAGAGAACCTGTTAAAGAGGATCAGACCTCAAAGTTATTCTCTAATGCCTCCATGAGTCTGCTTTGCTTTACCCTCACAGGACAACCAGAAAAATGGACCCTGCAACTCTACTAGTTTTCCTGTTCCCTCTGTGCAGATTTAGATTTATTTATATTTGCTGCTTCTGTAATTCCATTTTTTAAAAAACTGTCACTAAAGCTCTCGTGGGCTTTTATCTACTTCTCTTTACTAGAAAATGTGCTGGATGCTTCTTTGTCATGATCCCATAATTTGTAAGGGAAAAGACTGCTTTGAGACTGAACTCTCCCATGAACCTGCAAAACTTTCAGGACAGATGGAGACACTTTGGGCAATAGTTACTCTGTAATGTACTCCAGAAAACTACAGGGACATGAAACCTCTAAATACATCCTGCTTTTCACAGCACAGACAATTCTCTTAAAGGAAGCTAGGTTAGTTTGTGCATTGCTTCTTGGCTTGGAATGGTACAAGGAATTTTCATGTCTGTCCAAGAGGTTCAGAAGGAAGGGAGCCTTGCTAGGAATTAATCTTTCTTCTGCATCATAAAAGCTGGTTTTACTGCAGAAATCTCTATCATTATGAAATAAGACAGAGGAAAAGGTGTGCTCAAAGTCTCTGGGAGCCTAGAGAACAGATTTCTTTAACGTAATGATTAATCACTTTCAGTTTCTGCCACATCAAGAGAACAAAAAGCTGGCATGGCCCAAATGCCTGCACTTGGATTTACAGCTGTGCTGTCAGGGATGTGGCCTTTGGCACCAGGATGGAGCAAAGTTCCAAATTAATGCTTTTTGAATCTCTGATACATTAGCTAAATGTCTTGCCACCACAGACTCTACCACCACCTCTTTGAAAAGTAATTGACCTAACTGCCATTTTCAGTTCCATGGCTGCTTATTTATATTTCTTCATCAGAATTTAATCGACCTGCACAGTTCAGCTGGTGTTCAGTTCAATCCATTCAAACTGAGAGAAATCTCTCTAGAGGTCTTCTAGCTGTTTAAAGAACAAATTAATTTGATCCAGAGTGCCTTGTGCTGGGTGTTAATATTTCATCTTCTTCCAGAGAGCTGTGACAAGGATGTGATCCTTTCCCTTTTTCACAGAAAAATGCCTGTTCTTTTTAGCATTTGTGTTTCTAAGAGTAGGTGATATGCTGGATAATAAGCTTTGTCCATCAAACAAAAGTTTGTCCATCGAAGACAAGACTTTTGTTTTCCATCAAGAAGTCCTGTCTGATACAGACATTAACTGACCCCATATGGAAAAGCTGTGAATTAACTCCTCTGCAGGCAATGCCAGATCCCTCATCCCTCACCCTGTGCTGTCTCCACAGCCTGGGAGCACAAGTAGAGATTGGCTCTTCAGTCTGCCTTGTTCACAGCCTAACACAGAATGGAAAACTGATCTTCAGAGACTCTCAGAATTAGTATTTCAGCTTAAAAATCCAGGCCTGTGCCCTGTTCTGCGGCTGTACAATGGCACAGGGAATCTCTGTAAAGGCAGATAGAGCAGATAGGGGTTGGAACTTCCTCAGCCACTGAAATTACACCTTCAGAGGCACTGGAGATGTGGGTCTTGCTGGGAAGGCTCTTGGGACCTGGCTGGCAGGTGCCACCACACAGAGGTGCTGGCCCCATGGCAGAAAATGACACATCCATGCTGTTTATTTTAAGCCTGATATTTTTGGGGACCAGTCTTGTAGGATAAGGAAACCTTCTCACATTGGTTTGGTTTCAAAGTCCCAAAGGACTCCAGATTCAGAGGGCACCTCCTGCTCTGTGTACAGGAGAGGGGTTTCCCTCCCTGAGGTATCCTGGGCTGTAAGAAAACTCGGAAAGAATACATGAAATTCTACTGAGACATTTAAGATCAGGATCTCTGGCTGTTCTTTCTCATGGTGCTGTTATTGCTGTTCCTTGGCCAGGACCTTAGGAAAAGTTGACAGCAGTTTTTTTGTCTTGTTTATAACAGAGTGTCCTGTGTGGAAATTTGTTTCTTTGGGTCTCTTCATGGACTTCTCACAGTCTTTAAAATTGTTTAGCTCTACATGAAATATATTAAATTCTTCAGGAGCTTAATAGTGATTGACAGAGGCCCCTTCAGTCACAGTGACAAGAAGTGTCTCTGCAGACCTGGTTTTGTTGGGAAGTAACAACTGAGACAGCCATGATCCATTTTTTAAGTACTGATCTGAAATTTCTGTATTGAAATAAACATCAGTTGCTTGATATTTCCTTTCAGCCCTTAAATGCATGAAATAGTAGAGAAGAAAGGTGAAAACGTTTATTTTGCTCTGGTTTGTTCTGGTGGCTTTCACTGGTGTTGCCTTACACTTCCTTTGTTTCTTTTCCAGTCCCTGATTTCTATTTTTTCATATCCTAAAATGTCATAGAGTACCTACTCTTTGCTGAAGCAGGTTAAGCCAGAGAAATCAAGATTTATTTTCAGATGGCCTGATTTCTCTACAGTAACTTGCTCAGTCAAGCAAAGAGCACTGAGACATATTGCATTTTTATGGCTGGATGGAAATCCTCCCCAGATAGGAAGGACAACGTACACCAATCACAGCTATTTTTGCCAGTAAGCAAATGGAACCTAAGGAGAAAGAAACCCTTAAAAGACTTCTCATAGCTACAGGGTCCTTAGAAGTTAGAAAATTGTTAGATTTGATGGGAGAATGATGTGCTTGTCTCCATTAGAAAGAGTATGAGAAAATGCAAAATCAAACCATGGAATTCCCCACTTTCTGGGGAAGCTCTGTAGTGTAATTCTTGAGATTTGCTTCAAACCTTGAGATACAGACAGGGAAAAGGTCACAACTTTACAGGCAACCTGCAGATGCATGAATTCAGGTGTGATTTTTCTTCACATGTTTCCATATATGCAACATTCCTTCCTCTGAAATTATTTGGTTTCAGGGGAATGAAGTGGGGCAGGTTTTCTGCTGTTGTCCAACCCAAGTATGTGACTTTTCAGGAAAGACCTGTTAAATTGATCCAAGCCAGAACAGTGCTGTAGCTCCCAAGTCTCTTCCCTCCCTGTCTGGCAAACACACAAGGATAAGGATTGTTGAAGCACTTGTCCTTTTGTTACAGCTCACAGCTAAAGGATACATTAAAAGGTGGGGTAATATTGAGGGGCTCATTGTCAGCATGCAGTTGAAACCTCTTTCTCCCCAGAAGTGTTTCTTTTGTAACCTGCAGTGTTTTCCATGTGCTGGCCTTGCTGTGTTTGTGCCTGTGACTGACCTCAGTTGCCTTGCAGGACCGCATTGTGTCCATGACCCTGGACAAGGAGTACGATGTCGCTGTGGAAGCCATTCGATTGGTCACGCTCATCCTCCAGTGAGTGCTGCTCCAGCCCCTGCACCCCCTTGGAGAATTCCCTAAACCACTGCCATCTGAGTGACTTGAGTGCTTTGCTTGTGTATTGAAGTGAATGTGCTACTTTATACTCAGTATGAAGGTGAACTGAACATATAATAGGGACATGAAGCTAAGGTTAGGTATTTCATTTCATGGAAATGCAGGAGGCAAAGTGTAAGAATGTGTGGATGTTTTGGAGCCCTTAGTGCATCCATTGTCTAACAATACCAAGGGGCATTTCTACCTTTTGCCAAGGGCAGAACTGTCCTCCCAAAATGAGTGGCTGTGGGTTACACTTGCTAGAGTAACTCCAGCAGTAACACAGATCCAGAATAGGGAGAGTTGATTGATTTCCTGACACAGCTGAAAAGAGTCATGTGGAAGGACACCTGCTTCCAGGCTTTTCCATGTGGGGATGCAGTGGGTCCCCTGAGGTAAGGATCACCTCACACATCCTCCCACATGCTGATGTAGAACCAGCCTGTCCCCAGCAGCCTCGTGAGTGTGCACCTGGAGGGGCACTGCCAGGCTTTGGCATAAACATAATAATATATTTATTAAAAGCTGTATGAAAGAATGTCTAGTTTACAAGCAGATACACAGAATTTTTGCTTCATATTTTATATCCATTGGCTCCACTTTGAAGAATGTTTTTGGACATGCAGAATTTGGACAAAAGATTGCACTAGCCTTCCTTAGTAACAAAGTCTAGACTTCAGCTTTTTATTTATGAGTCACTCTGTTTTAAAGAGATTAGCACTGTAATGTTAGCAAGATATGAAATCTTGCATCTACTGTTATATTTTAAAGTAAATATAACAAATACACGATCTGAAATTACATGTAGAGCACGTCTTCCCTGTATTATTAACAATTTTTGGGAACACAATAAGTTTTAAGGTCAAAAATTACCCAGTGCACTTTTTTTGTTTGTTCCTGTTTTCCTTTTGGTTGCCCATTGAAAGCACAGGCAATGCTAAATGCATTTAGCACCAGAAGAGGCTGGGTCACCTTGAAGATCACAGGGCAATATTCTGGCAGGTAGGAACTCCAGAAAGGTGTCTGGAACAATCCTGATGGGGAGTGACCAATTAAAATGGTGTCTAGTGTGAAGCCAAATGATTTAGAGTCCTGATACATAAATGTTTCTGATGGATGCCAACTAAACAAAGATGGAGATAATATCCAGATTGTGACAGTGCTGGTATCTATATCATTTTTGCTAACATTCTGGGACAGGCTGCCCAGGGAAGTGTTCAAAAGTGGGGACATGGATTAGTGGTGAACACAGAGGGCCCAGGTTAATGGTTGGACTCAATGAGCATGGAAGTCTTTCCCAACCTAAAGGATTCTGTGATTCCAGGTTTTTAGTTTATGATGTTTGATGAATGTTTGGCATCTTGCAGTATGTGAATGGAAATTTGTGTGATGGTCTAAGGAATAAGCAGGGGAGGGTTTGTATACAATGATTCTGATCTTGTAATACTGTTTTATGTCTATATTGATAAAATGGGGGGAAGGAAATCAGAGAAACTTCCAGTCCTACAGGCCCTTTAAATACCTCTGTATTTTCAAGTTGAACCAAAGATCCTTGAGGTGCTTGTTCAACTATGTAGCATTTTGTGGGAAGTGAACCAACCTTGTAGCTGTCCTGGGTGAGCTGTGGGAGGTGAGGGGATGGAGATGAAACCTCTGCTCTGGTTCAGGTGTCATTGTGCCTCTTTCAGTGGGAGCGAGGAGGCTCTGTCCAATGAAGACTGTGAGAATGTTTATCACCTGGTGTACTCAGCACACCGGCCTGTGGCAGTAGCAGCTGGGGAATTCCTCCACAAAAAGTAAGTCAACAGTTGCCCTGGAATAAGACCAAGTTTGTGAATGCTTCCTAGAGAGGTAACATCAAAAAGCAAAGAAGCAGTGGAGTGAAATATCCCAATTTAGCAAATCAGGTATTTCATTTAAACCAGAGACTTTATTCTCTTGTTTAAACAAGATCTGAGAACTTGAAGAAACTGAATGTACATTTATAATTGCTCTGCAATTCAGATAATATTTTCCAACTCCTTCAGGGTTAAATATATAAAGACTGCACAAACTTCTGAAGTTGGTTTAGTCCTGCAGCACTTGCTGAATTCCTGGTGTGGTAAGATGCATATACTGGGCTTGTAGTCTGGGGTGAGCTACCTGGTACATCAACAGTCATAATTTCTAGCAAGTTTTAGGACAGTTTATTTCTCTGTAGTGAACCTGGGAGGTTTTTATGTAGCAGTAACTATAAAATTTGTTTCTAAAATCACTGTCTCCTCCTGAAAATATATTGCATTATGGTTACATCTTTCATGTCCTCACTATGCCAGAGGACATGAGCCAGCTTTTCCATGGATGTGAGTCACACTGCCTCAGTAACTGGGAGCAGGGCATTGCCACATCATAGGAGTTAAACTCTTCTTTTTATTGTTTGCAGTTAAAAATCTTTCAGCAGGAATTTGACTTTCTCCCCTCATGGGTTGTGACATTAGAGTTTTTTATTACATGTATAGACGATTTATATTAGAACCCAGGTTATCTAATTTTTTCATGCCAAGATACAGGTAGGAAAAAATACACAAAGATCTGTTTTTCTTTGCCAGTGTTCTAATTTTCTATGGTCTATTAAGGATTTACAACTCCATATTGTAAGTAAGCTTTCATTGGTAGATTTTTGGAATTCCAGCTTTGTGATCAAGCACTACCCGTTTCAAGAAATATATGTGCAGATTTCCATTAACAACAAGATATTGTACTAGTTACTGGAAAGGGTTAGGTTCTTATTAAAAATACACACTAAAATTCCTTTATTAATCAACATGTGACAGAATATTTTTGAAAAATGCCTCAAAGGTAAATAAGACATACCTGCACATTAGTGCACTTAGGAAAAAGACAAAACTTAATTTTGACTTCTTTTACAAGGTACTAAGCTGTGTTCTGTAAATGTGTCTCAAGGCTAACAGCATGGATACAAGATTGTCCTATTCTTAACTAATTTTGTCTTGGTTTCTGCAAAGAAGATCTCCAGTTAAATAAGTTAGAATCTATTTCAGGCATTTGAGGTGCCTGAATTTAACCTGAATTTGAGGTGCACCTAATTTAATACATTTCACTATCACTTTCTCTGTGATAATCATCAGACTCCGTGGTTAGCAAAGGAAAGCAAATAGTACAGAGGATATAAAGGATCCCAAATACTGGCTCAACCCTGAGGTGCAGATTGTAAGATACCTCAGCACCTGCAGAAATGCTCATTGCTTATCTGTTATGATAAGCAGGGGGGACAAGGTAATGTTTTTAACTAAAATATAACATTTGTGTGTAACTTGTCCTTCTCTTCAGTGAATTACAGCAATGAAATCAGAATTCTGTGTTTCATGTGTTAATCTGCTTTGTGATTTCACTGTAAAAGCCGGGAACAGCTTTCAAACTTCTCGAAGTTAAACAGACATTGCTGTAACAATAAATACACATCTGAGGTCTCTTGGAAAATTTGAGCATTGAGAGGAGTTTGGGATGGGCCATGCATCAGGGAACTCAGTGCAGAGTGTTTCACTTACCTGTAAAACCCAAAATAATGAGTAGGAGCTGGTTGTATCTTTGATGCTGCTCCTGGTACCTGAGGTTGGCTGTTTGATGGATGCCAGGTTTGTTTTTACCATGTCCCAGCCAAAGTGATACAACCTTAGCTCCCAGTGCACGGGTGCAGCAGGTGCTGCCTCCACTGCAAGACTGAATAAGTTATAAATGCAAAACTGTACAAGTGATGCAAATATTTAAAACTGTGTAAAACCTTCAGTGTAAGACGGTTTTGGAGACCTTTTTCCTGTGTGAAATTCTTCCAGCCTTGTGAGCTCAAGGACTGAAGACAAATTCATCTCTGCAGACAGGCAGAGGTTGTGGCCTCTTTCCCTTGAAAGAAATAGCTTGAGATACTTGCACTGTTTTATGAACAAATTTACTATATCCAGAATGAATTCTGATCATCTTCTTGCAGAAATGAGAATTGTTGTGATAGCCATGAGCTCCTTCTGCTTATTTTCAGGCTGTTCAGCAGACATGATCCCCAAGCTGAAGAGGCTCTAGCAAAGAGAAGGGGGCGAAATAGCCCAAATGGAAACCTTATTAGAATGTTGGTTCTTTTCTTTCTTGAAAGTGAGGTAAAAAAGTCATTTTTAACCTTTAAATGTTTTATAAAACCTGGAACTTAAATAGTGATTTATCAACACACAGTAATAAATTGTCTTTCTTTTCCTTTTTATTTTATATTTTCAGAAATACCATAAGCCTTTTTCCCTGCCCCTCTATTTCCTTGTCCATTAAGGAAATTGATCTGAAAATCTTTGTGGTTTATTTAACTCGTGCATGTCCCCACTGTACTCACACTGCATTGCTCTGCTGTGGTGGCTGCCAGGGTGCATTGCTGCACACAAATGGAAATGGTTCTTTGCTTACATAACCATGCAAGGAGAATACCTCTGGAGTTATTCTTTGTGGAGTAAAATAATTTGAATCAGGATGGGACAAAAATTGCATAATATCTCCAATTCTTATTAGAATCATAGATGAACTCAGAGTGGGAAGGACCTGAGGGTCCTTAGCTCAGAGCAGAGTCAGCTGTGAGATGAGATGAGATGAGGTCTCTCAGGGCTTTATGCAGATGCATCTTGGAAACATTGGAGGATGAAGAAAACAAGCATAGATGTGGTGACATGAAGTGTTTGATGAACACACCCAGGGTGGGATTGTGTCTATGATTTATAGAGACAGCATCTATGGGAAATTGTGTGGTACATGTAGTAGCACTAATAGAGATGGGGAATGGCAGTGGAGGGAGGAAAATTTGAGAAGATACTGTCAGGTACAGGATGTTCTTAAGATAGAGGGGGAAAGGGTCAAAATTATTAATTTGATTTGATAATAAGCAGATTGAAAGAAAGGAATGACAGAAATGTTTCTCTAGAGAAGGGAGCATAATATATTTTGGGTAAAAAGCAAAAGTAAAGCTATTACTTAAAATTGGTTATTTTAATTGTTATGAAGCCTTGAACAAGAGACTTGACTGTGAGAATGAAGAGTTGTTGAGAAGGACGGACAAAATTTTGGTACAGTGTTACTGGTTTTTAGAAACACCTCATAATCCTACAAATTAATCTGGATGAAATGTCACTACCTGTGTGGGCCTTCAATCTGACACCTGAAGGGATTTTTAGTTCCAGCTTCTTCAAAGCTTAGATTGTAAAGTTCATTGTGTTTTACAGTGTAAAACATCCCTTAGATGTGAGTGTGATGAGTTACTGAGCTCTGACCTTGTCTGTCCTTCTGAGGAGAAAAGAAACTGTGCTCCACTGCCAAAGCCAAGATCAGCAAAGTGCCTCCCATGCTGCTCCCTGAGGGTCACTTCTCTCTCAGGGCCAGTTTTTGCTATTGTTGTTTTTGAGAGTTGTTAGGAGCCAAGTAGAATATCCTGACTCCAATTTTAGTAAAGAGTTGGAGAATTGGGAGTTTGCATGTGGGTGGGATGAGTTAACTCTGCAGTCTGGGCTGCATTCAAGGGAGTGAACTTTGCCCAGCAGCAGTAACTCCGTGACATTTTGCCCAAAACTGTCAGAAACAGAGGAGGGGAATGTACTGTCACCTCCTTCTCTGTGCTCAGGGCTGTTTTCCAGCTAAGGAGTCAGTCCCTGGCAAGCACAAGTTGGGTGTTGTGCTTGTTGGAAGTAGTTGAAGATAAGTTTAGAAAACAGCAGAAGCCTATGGATTATTTTTCTCACTTTACAACAGTTGTGTTAATTCACATGAAAACATTTTTTGCAGTTGAAGTTAGTGTTAAATCTGTAACCCCTGAAATCACCAGGATTTTTGCTCCTTTTTTTTTTCTGAGCACATAGCAGCATGTATGAAAACCAACTGCTTGTTCAAATCTCATGCCTCACCATCTCTACTTTTTCTAATGCAGTGAGAAAGTGAGGGAAGGTAAGTTTACTGCTTCTGGGTCAAAAGCTGGGAGAGATTTTTCCCAAACAGGCGCTTTGTGCAAAAGAAGCTCAGTTTGCTTACTTTGTTTCTGTTAAAACATAACCCCATTGTGCTGTTGTCATTCATTTGGGAGAAAACCTTCCTGAATTAGTTTCAAACTGAATGTTTTTTCCAACTAACACAAGATACGTGCCCAGGACACTCTCTGTGGCCACATGATTATAACAGTTGAAGAACTGGTGCTTATACAAGAGCTGTACTGATGATTGCTTTGGATTTTCTAGTTGCATGAACATGCAGCCTATTTGGTGGACAGCTTGTGGGAGAGCTCTCAAGAACTGCTGAAAGACTGGGAATGTATGACAGAATTGCTCTTGGAGGAGCCAGTCCAAGGAGAAGAAGGTATTGGCTTAACCCTGTGCTTCCGTGATATTGCATAGTATTGCTAATTATTCCTTAAATACCTCTGCTACCCATAGTGAAACATCTTTTTATGTTATGGTTTGTTTGGAAAGCATATTTGAAGATTTTGGATTAATCTATTTTTAATGTGCTTTCCTTCAAAAGCAGCAATTTGTACTCTAGTTTTCTTTTTATTTGTGCTCTGGAGGGTTTCTTTTAATCAAGTGTGCTGCACTGTGGTTCCCTAATATTAAAGGGAGTTTACTCAAGTCTTAACTTCATTTTGTCTGAATGTTTAAATAACTATTTCAATAAATTAAATAGCTAATACAATTTTGAATAAACAAGCACTTCAGGTGATGCTAGTTAATATGGGGCTTTTCCAGGCAATGTGAACACAGTGAATTCTCAAGAGTAAAAACAAAGGGGATTCTTTCACCATTAGTTTCAGATTTCCTTTTGCTGATAATAGACCTGGGTGCACAAAGTACCCAGGGAGGCTGGGAGCAAAGTGTCCTGAGGTTAGTGAGTGTCATTCAAGATCATTTATAGTTCCTCAGGATTCTCCTGCTTCAGGGACCTTCACAGGGCTTAGGTGTTTGAAAAATCAATGTTCCTGGCAAGGTGTGCTCATCATGTCCATGCTTCAATGGCTGGAATTTTTGTATGCACCTGCTACAGTGAGGGTATTTATAGGGTAATTTTGTTAGGAAATTGATTCTGTTTAGCCTAGTGGGGTTTGATCCTCCAAACGTGAGCAGAAGCACTTGCCAAAGAGCAGAGAATTTATGAGGAAGCGACAGTGAGTTGTCTGTCACTGTTTTTCCTCTGTGACTCTCCCTTATTTTGTAGCTCTTCCTTATATTCCCCTTCATTGATCCTTTTCCCCAGCCTACATTTCTCTGGGCTGCTTTCACTTCTGCCATGTCCATTTTGAGAGGATGTGAATGGCAGATAAAGAGGCGGCGGGAAAGCCTGGTTCATGTGACAGTGTAGCTTGTGTGTGGTGTTGTGTGCTGCCCCGTGCTCCCCTGCTGTCCCGCTGTGTCCGTGGCGCTGCCTCCCGCAGTGACGCCCTGTTGTCCCCGCAGCGATGTCGGACCGGCAGGAGAGCGCGCTGATCGAGCTGATGGTGTGCACCATCCGCCAGGCTGCCGAGGCACACCCCCCCGTGGGCAGGGGCACCGGCAAGAGGGTGAGTGGGGCTGCAGCTCCTGCCTGCCGCCAGAGCACGGGACATGTTTGTAACACCGCTTTGGACGCTCCTGCAGTGGAGTTTTTTAATTGGTGTTTGCTGTTTCGTCTGAACACTTCTGAGAAAAATATTAGAAATTCCGTTTCTGGACACGTTTGGTTTTTTCTTTGTTTGATGGGGGTTTGCATGGGCAAGTTAAGCAGTATAAATTTTCAGCATAAAAGTATTTTTTGTTATATTTTTGAATGTTCTTTTTATCATATCCCTGCCTTATATTTGTAATGTATCGACATCATCAGCCCCTAATGTTAAACCTAGACTAGAATGGAAAGTGTAAGAGCAGAGCAGACTACGACTGTCTTCCATAAAAATGTATGTGCTGCTAATATGAACATAAAAATTACAGAAAAGTCAAAGGATCTTCATCATGAGGGTGTTTAAGCACTGGAAGAGGTACTGAGAGTTGGTGCCCTTTCCGTGCTTGGTCGTTTTTGAGACCTGACTGGACACAGCCCTGATCCTCCCAGTGTGTCCCCTGGGCTGGCTCTGCTTTGAGCAGGAGGGGTGGGACTGGGACCATTCTGAATGTGTCTGTGCTTTTAGGCATCCATCCTCTTAGGCCTCTTCCACTGAGTGCCCGAAAATTTCCAGAATTTTACATTCTGGCCAAATTGCCTCCTTAAAAGTTTATTTTATAGGGACTGTTTGAGCACCAGTGGAAGGCCATTCCTAAAGCTGGACATGCAGTTTTAAACACTTGATTCTAAGTCGCAGGGTCAGGGTAATAACAGGCTTTCAGCTGTATTTTCCATAAATACAGCATCCATGTTCCAAAGCAGTCTCAGCTTCTTAAACACATTCACTTGATTTTTGGTAGTCCCCATCTTATTTAGGATAGATGAAAATGGAATAAACCCACGTGAATGTATGGTTCTTCTTTTAGCATCCATTCTAAATAATCATAACTAGTTTGTTAAAGCCACAGATTAATAAAGATGAAATCTGGAGAGTCTTGGCATTCTCTATTGCTAAAAAAATTCAGATACTTTACTTCTTATTTTTTTATGTGCCAAAGCAGATTAGTCTCATGTCCAGAAACAGCATCCAAGGAAAAGCTCCAAGAAACCATCAGTTTGAACATGATTTATGTACTTTAATTTATAAAGCGTGTTCTTAGGAATTCCTAATTTAATAAAACATTTCAGGGTTAAGGAGGGAATCCATGAAAGCACTTACTGAAATTTACACAAGCATGTCTTATCTTTTGTTACAAAAACTGTATTGTAAGCACAACTTTTTTTTGTCTCAAGCTGCAAACCTTTCTAGCAGTCAAAGTGACCTTTAAATTAAAAAAAAAAAAATCATGTGGTATTTTGTGTTTGGAGAACCAAATTATGTCAGTATTAATTTTCCAGGTATTTTCTCTTTCCCAAGAGATCTACAGCTCAATTCACTGAAGTTCAGCAAATTGCTTAGTCTTAAGTTTTCAATGTCTGCACTTGGAGCTAAAGAAAACAGATTAGTAAAACAAATTTCACCTTCTGAAGGAGGATCAGAAGGGCCTGGAAGTCATGCTGGGGACACAGATCAATTCCCAGTGCCAGGGAACAGCTCTGTTTGGTCCCCAGAACACAGCTGGGCTGTCAGGGTTGGGATTCTGACCTGGGTTTGCACTGCTCTGAGCTTGCTGATGTTGCCTGGTGGGTGTGCAGGGGCTGAGGCTGCCCTGGAGCCACCTCTGCACCTTGCACTGTGCAAGGGTGTCTTGTCCTGGTCACTGATCCATCCCCCCCCCACTTCCACAGCTGGTTTGGGTTCCTGCTGGCACAGTGCCTGGCATCCAAGCACCTGCCTTGTGTCCAGCTGCTCCTCCTCCTTTGCAGAGCCATGCAGAAGTGACACTTGGCTTTTGCTTCTTTTCAGTTAGACCATGACTTGTGGGATGGTAACTGCAGGGATCTCTGCCTTATCCCTGGAGATTCATCCTGTCTCATGATTCACACCATGATTCTTCTCTGAGTTGAAATGGGAACAGATTTCTAATTGAGCACTCACCTTCTTGTGAGATAGTTTCTCCTCTTTCTTTAGCTTGTAACCCTTATTGTGCAGTCTGGCTGGTTGGCTGTATGTGAATCATTAGCTAACTTGAGTATTTTATTATCAGTATTTGTTCTCAAAAGTATTCTTTTCTTTCCTGAAGCCAGGAAGCCAGATCTAAGCTTTGATGAAGCGTTCTGGTTTGATTATTGTCTCTCTGGTCACTGTTCAAGGGGGTTTTGTTCTGCCAGCATTAGTGCTGCAGTACCTCACTGTGAACTTGGATGTACATTTTCACTCTCACAGGGAGAATTCCATTCCATTTAGAGAGGAGGCCATGAATCTGCTAATGAAAATCATTGCTACAGTGTGGTTTGGTTTTGGTTTTCTTAATTATACTTCAGTTTGCCCTGAGGTCTTACATTAATGCTTGGTTTAATGTGTGAAAGCCAGAGTTCAGTACACTTGGAAGCAATAGCAAAAATTCCACTGACTGGGGTTATATTTGAATTTCAGTCCTAAAAAGATGGTGTGTGGAGACAATGTCATGCTGGGTGATAATGGTGTTTTCCTTTTCAATCACAGCTGCTTAGGACACACAGTCCTCCCTCTTTAATCACTCTTCAGCCCAAATGTGTTTTGAGTTTTTTATTCCCTCCTTGTTTGATTTATTAAAAAATACACTTGCATGGGTTTTTGTTTGTTTAGAAAAGTTAATGAATGCTATATGCAGAAAATGTATTTACTGTAGTTATGTTTGATCACTTCCAGGTCTTGACAGCAAAAGAAAGAAAAACTCAGATAGATGACAGAAATAAATTGACTGAGCATTTCATTATTGCACTTCCCATGCTGCTATCAAAGGTACAGTTTTCAACAAAATAAATCTTTCACTGGGCTTTACAGCTGTCTTTAAACTTTCTCATTCTGTAGTGCAGGAGTTCATTTTTACTTCCCTGTTGTTTGTTTTGTTGCCATGATGTTCCAGTATTCTGCTGACGCCGAGAAGGTTGCAAACCTCCTGCAAATCCCTCAGTACTTTGACCTGGAAATCTACAGCACGGGCAGAATGGAAAAGGTATCGTGCCTTGGGCAGGCAGTGTGGCTGCTCTCAGGTGTGACCCCTGTTCAGCCCCACAGTGCTGTGCCTTCCTTTGGCACGTGAGCAGTGCAGCCTTGGTTGGGTGTTCTGGCAGTGGCCTTGCTCAGTGTCATTGTCCCATTGAGGGAAAAGCTGAAGTTCTTCTCTGCTCTGCAGCATCTGGATGCCTTACTGAAGCAGATTAAGTTTGTTGTGGAAAAGCATGTGGAGTCAGATGTTCTGGAAGCCTGCAGCAAAACCTACAGCATCCTCTGCAGTGAGGAATACACCATCCAGAACAGAGTTGACATAGCCCACAGCCAGCTTATTGACGAATTTGTGGATCGATTCAACCATTCTGTCGAGGATCTACTGCAGGAGGTTGGTTTTCTTAAAATTTTTGAACTGTCTAAAATATGGTAGGATAGGCTACAGAAAAACATTCTTAGCAAGCCATGGAATGATTCATCTGAAGATGCAGTGCAGCAGCAGCTATTTCATAATTATTTGGAGCCACTTCTTCCTGTGGAAAATACCTTACAGTAGCTATTAAGCCTTCACATAATTGATGGTGTAAAACAAGACTATGGGAAAATCCTGCTTCCGAAAATGTAGTTGAATACTAAAACAGTCCACATGAGGAATTAAGTAGACAAATGGGTGAAAGATGATGAAAAATGCAGAGGAAATTGTATTTACATTAATGTTTTTAGTGATTCCCATAGTCCCAGATGCATATGTAGGCAGCAAAATCAAGATTGGATTATGTTTTGAATGAAAGAGAGGATTTAAGAAAATATGTTTAATGGTATATTAAAAGAGCCCTGGAAAGAGTAAAAGATACAGGTCTGAAACCTGGAAGAATGAGAACAGCAGTAGCAAGGATTTAAAATTACAGTCCTTGTGTTACTGTTTTTAAAGTGATATTTGTTGGAATCATTTATTTTAATAAGTCTGTTTCATCATTTTAAAGACATTTTAAATTTTAAAAATTGCATACTGGTGCCTAAGCAAGTATCTGGGCTGATAATGGGAGAAACATTGATTGACAATTGCATCTGAAGGCAGGAAGATGTTTTAATTGTTAGGCTTTTAGATGGAAAAGAAATTATCAAAGTGAGATGGAGAAGAAGAATTGTTACAAGTGGGTTTCTTATTTTAGAAAATTGCTGTAAAAATTAGGGTTGGAAATACCTTATTTTCACTTGATTCACTAAGGAAATTTGCTGTTTAGTTTACAGAAAATTCTAAAATTGTGTTGTAGCATGTTCATCAGCTAGTAATTAAAGCTGGTGGCTCAGTCCTTTTTATAAAAAAAGACAGAACTCAGATTTTGGTCTTGGGAATTATTTCTGTAGCTAAAGGATAGAGGTTTGGATATTAACACAGTGATAATGCTGAATATTGTCAGATGATCTTGCTTGGGTTTTAGTGCTGTGCAGTGGCTACTTAAATATTATGGAATGTACATAGAAGTCACTAGAAATTTTGGAGACAGTTTTGATATCAGTGTGAACCCCTAAGAAGCTGCTGCTGCCTGTGCAGTAATGTACTGGGCTGAATTGCTGGGCTCTCCTCATGGGCTGCCTTTCCTTTGCAGGGAGAAGAAGCTGATGATGATGACATATACAATGTGCTCTCCACACTGAAGAGGTTAACATCTTTTCACAAGTAGGTGATGTCTTCTCTCACAAATCTGTGATGTTAATTTTGTCCTTTCAGTGAGCCTCAGCAGTGTTGGGTGTGGGGAAATGAGAAAACACGTGGCCTGACATCTGAAGTGGAGATGGAGGAGTGACTGGTGCTGTTTGTCAGTAGTGTCTGGGCTGATCTGGGTCCTTGCTCAGTTCATGCCATGACCTTTGCAGATGGGATTTGCACATGGCACCCCCTCCCTTGCATCCAGTGCTCTTACACCCCTGAGTGAATTACTGCAGGTCCTGCTCCCCTGCATGGCACAGTCAGGGCACCAGGGACACTTCTCTGCCACAAACCTGTGCTTTGGGCATCAGCTTAGGGAGCCTACAGGAAGCTGTTTCTCAGTGCCTTTGAGCTACTTCTCCTCAAAATTATAGAATTAATTAGTAGTAGCAATAATAATAATTAATAGTTTATGGTGAAAGCCTGGGAGATGCATTTTCTTCCTGCAGTTGAATGTTGGCCAAATTTCCCTGTGTGGATTGTGCAGAATCTCCCTCACCAGGCACAAATCAGCTTTTGAGGTTCCTGCTGCTCTCAGACCTGCAGGCATCCTCAGCATGTGCAGAGCAACCTGGAGAACTTCACTGGAACTGTGAATTCTGGAGCACAGCACAAAGGCCTCATCTTCCCTCTAACTGCAGGAAACATTTGCTCCTGTCAGCATGAGAGAAAGCTTCATGTGCAGGTGGCAGAGAGCCACAAATCATTTCTTTATCACAATGTGGGAGAGGACCTTCCTTCTGCCAACTCTTTCATACAGCTTGGTATTTTACAACTTTGTGATTTAATTTCTCTCTCTGTGCTTATACTTCACTTTTCCTGAATCCTGCATTGGATCACTCTCTGAAATGGTTCTGCAATCTCTACTCTTTGTTGCCATTCAAGGAGAATCCCACAAAGATCATTAAATTGTTACTAATTTCCATAGTGCACCAGGCTGACACTTGTTCAAATAAGGTTTGCAGTCTCCCTGGTAACCCACTGGAGCCATGGCTGCCTTTCCTGAGGGGAACTGGGAAAAGCTGTGCTTCACATCCAGGAGAGAAGCAAAATCTTAAGGCTTTCCTGAGTGGCTCTCATATATATTTTTTCCTTCAGGGTTCCAGGTCTCTAGAGTTAATTCACACCATAAAGAAGTCTTGTAGAATAACATACAAATCTGAGTCAGGGACATCTACTTTCACCTTCAAAAAGCCAGGAAAGAGCAAAGGATCCGAGCTGAAGAGCTGCAGAACAGCTGATGTATCATTCCTCAGCTGTATGATTCCTCAGCTGTAGTTCAATAGGAATTCCTAATATCTGGTTAGTTATTTACTACTGTAGTTCAATAGGAATTCCTAATATCTGCTTGCATGAAGAAGTCATGAGATCCTTCATTACATGTGATGTGATCTCTCTGTGATAGGAAACAATTACACCACATGAGCCAGAATTTCTGCTGAACCTTTAATGTGAGAGAGGATCTGCAATTCCAAATGCACGTGGTGTTCTGTCTCAAAGCACAGTGGCTGTGGTTTGACTCTGTCATTGGCTGTTGGCACCTGGGAGTCAAAAGAAACTAAATCAGATCTCCTAAATGGGCACTGGTTGCTGGGGCTTTGGGAAGAAACAAGTCCTGTCTTCTTCCAGTGAGAGAAACTCCAATGTACTTTCTCCATGATTTTTTTTCCCCTTGGTAATTTCTGCTGCTTCATACTTCAAGAAAAAGCAAGGTGGAAAATACATGGTAAGGCATTAGGAGAAAAGTCTTCCAGACCAAAAGGCTTCTGTACTGGCATTCCCCAAGCCTGAGTAATCCTCTTTCTGAGAGGGCCATGACAGCAAAGGCTCACAGCAGACTTTTTGATCCATCAAAATAAGGAAATCATGTATCAATACAAATTAAACTCATCACTGAAAAGATGCCTTCCACATTTTCAGAATACAATAATAAATTCTCCTGAAATCTTCTGAGTAGGCCTCCTGGAGTATCCACTTGGGGTATTATTTGCCAGAATCTCACAGATACTCAGACCATTTAAGTACATGGAGGCAATTTTTTAATTGATTCCATTGTAATTGAGTTGAACTTTCACACGTGCCACATCAGTGCTGTAGCATTTTGTATGCTGCAAAATCTCAGCATCTTCTATTTACTTCTTCAGTAAATCCGATGCAAGACACATCCCAAGCATCACCTCTGTTCCCCTGGCTGTGCCTGTTGGCTCTGCCTTGCATGGAGGACTCTGTTTCACATTTAGAAACCAGGAGCATTGCTGGTACTGTCCAGTAGTCCTCAGATATGATACAACATTTGCTTCCTTCCACCTCCACACTGACTCCACAAACCCACAGGCACTGTCATAACTCTCAGATAAAACCAGTGTGTATCAGGGTCAGTGTGATCAGTCAGGACACTTCCTAGATGGGGGAGTTGATGGTCACATCATCTCTTCCTCTTAGAGAAGCTCTTGGCTTAACATTTTTTCCACTAGTTGACCAGTGCATCCGTCAGACTGAGTTACTCAGAAGTTTGTTATATCCAGAAGTAGAAGTGATGCTAAATGAAACCTCATTAGAGAAATTAGACTGTATCAGTAGCACAGCTGTTCAAAGCCCAAGGCACAACTTCCCTCTCTTTGTGCATCTTGAAGGAGTGAAGCAGTTTGGTGGGTGGAAAGTTCACTTCTTGGAAAATTAACTTTTCTAAGCTGTTTTTTGCCACACTTTGAGAAACACTGTGAAACTGGTCCCTTTACTTCACCTGCCTCTTGTCTGGCAGAAATGTGCCCCAGCAGACAGGGCTGTCCATAAGAATTAAAAGAAACCTTGGATGAAATACTGGAACTTGTTTTCTGAAATCCATGAAGAGTCTGACATGGAAGGAACTAAGGGAAAAGTCTGCGTTGTGTGAATTTTCTTGCTGAATCTCTGTGGAGAATTGTGTGGTGTCCAAGATGCCTTTATAACTATGGTTTTGATGTCTAAGTAGCTCAAAAGAGATAAAAAGGTACCAGAATATGCCTAACTGTAATGTGGAGGCTCTGCTTTAAGAAGGTTTCCATTGAAAGGCTGTAAGTTGTACATAGAATTTTTCAGCTCTGGAAGCTGAAGAGCCCTTCCTGAGCTCAGCTGTAAGGCAGAGGGCAGGGAGCTGAGTGTGCCAGCTGTGAGGACATGGCCCCTGTGCTGGCTGCCTGATGGGGAATTTCTGAAGTGAAAAGGCAGGAATGAGACAGTATTTTCTTCCATATTCTCTGTAGGGTAATCTGTGCAGGTATCTGCCTCTGCACACCAAGGAGACTTGACAGCTTTAATTACAGTGCTGTAATTAAGGAAGTACCACTCTGTCTTTCTGGCAACCCTGTGATTTATGGAAGCAGCATCTCTGTGCTTAATATCTCCAGTCAGAGGCAGCTCTCTGGCAGCCTCTAATTTATCTATGAAACATTTTATTTCAGTACCTCAAAGACCATCTAAGTCCGCAAAATATTTTTACACTTTTTACATTTTTAGTTCCAAATTTTTTTTAAGTTTTCCTATTCTTCTCTTTGTGGATTTGAACTGGAAGTCAAGGTGCACCTTGGCTTTAATGGGGCAGCCCTGGGGTGCACAGTGCACTGTGATGGTTGTTTTCTGTGAAGCTCTTGCCAGTGACATTTGCAGGGTTAGCACGCTCCAGTGTGGGAGGTGGATCCAAAAGGAGCTGGGCATTGCCAGTCCCGAGTTCAGCCTCTGTCCCCTTTGGAACTAGGGAGTTACTCCTTCTGGCTGGGCAGGGCAGTTAATGGTTTGACCCAGGGCAGACACAGGGGTGGAGGAGTGAGCTTGGCTGGGTGATCCAGGTGCTGGGAGGAGTCAGGTACAAGAGGCTGCTGCATCCAGCTGAGACTCCCAATTCAGTCTCAATCCCTTCTTGTATGTAAGTATTTCAATCAGCAAGTTTCTGATTATTCTGAGTTGGCTTGCTCTTTTATAGACATATTACAAACTGTTTCAAATTACGTCAGTTTATTTCCACTGCAGAGAAATGTTTTCAACTTAAATTTACTTACTGAGAGAGTATTTTTGTCTTTCAGGGAACCTGATGTTTTTCAGTTTCTTCTGTATTTCTCACATCTCTATTAAAAAGCCTTTTCATGAGCTGTTGAGGTCTGTAAGGCTACAGCCTTACAGAGTATTTGTCCCTAATGTCATTTGTATTCCTCTCACTGATGAAATCAGATTGGTGGGACTGAAATGTGGAACAGTAGGATGGCAGCCACCGTCTCTATCTCATGCCCATGTGTTATCATATTGTCTCACTTCATACATTAAGGGTATTTAATATGTAGTGGTAATGTGTTTTTTTTTTTTCGAATGAGACAGTAGAAAACTATACAACTTCGCTTTGCTTAAAGCCATTTTTATTCGGTAGATATTGATAGAGCTTGGCTGCAGTTCCTGCTGCAATGCCAGGGAAGGGTTTTCTGGAGTTCTTTCAATGTTTCCAAAAGAGGAAAGATAACTTAGAGAGGGAAGCAGCAGCTATGCTTAAGTAGCCTTTATAGGTGTATGGTGTGGAGAGAGCTTATCTCCTCCCTGAAAAAATCCTGTGTAGTAAAACATTTTTCCTGGATTATCAGAAAGCCTGACGTGTGCTTTTAGCATGGAGTGAGATTCTGTGCAGCTGCTTGGTCAGCTGTGGAAACCACCAAAGCTCTCTGGGCTGGGGGTTTTGAGGAACAGAATTAATTCCTCTTGATTTCCTCTCGTTGCAGTGCTCATGATCTGACCAAATGGGATCTGTTCAGTAACTGCTACAGATTGCTGAGAACTGGAATTGAACACGGAGCTATGCCAGAACAGGTACCCTTAACAGCACCTGCACTGCATCACTGGGGTGTCTGAGGTTCTGAAGAGTCTGCTTGTACAGAAATTTAAAAGTTCCATGTGTGATTTTTGAGCTCCTTCCCTCACCTTTCTCTTCTGTAAAGTTGGGAATAGCTGATGTTCCTGACTCTGAAAAGCAGTGCATCAATCCTGATGTTTACACTGAAACTCAACATTGTAAGCCTTGGCTGCAATTAGAATTATCACAAATTATTATTGTGTATGGAAGGTAAGATGAAAGCTTATGAAAACCAGGAAACTAGAACATCCTAGTGGAGTTCTTTTAGTGAACACATCTTGGACTTTGTTCCCTCAGAATTTAGTTTTTGTTTCTCATGGATGAGCACAGGAACCATCTCATATTCTCCCATCGTTCCTGTTTAAACTGCAGAATTCCTACTTCAGCATTTAAACATGTTAAGTTTTGATTTGGTTTCAATTAGAAGCCAGTTGTTAATTCTAACTCAGTTTCATTTAGAAAAAAGAAATTCTTATGAAATTCTGAACAAGAGTTTTGTAGGAAGAGCCCTAAGAGGAGGAGGCATTGCCACACAGTGTGTGAAAGTCCTCTCTGCAGTTGCTGTTTCATGCTGGAGTTGTGCTGCCTGGAGAGACAGGGCTGGCAGATAAAGCCTGTCCATGCAGCTGCCAGCCATCATCAGTTTCTGGGTCTGTCAGTGTGTGGCTCTCCAAATGCTTCCATAAGATTTTAGGGGAAGGGTCCTGAAATCTGAGCTCTGTTCAGTATTTCTTACTGCAGGCCACCCTGAGGAGTTTGGCAGTGGTAGCACCTCCTCTGGGTTTGAGCTGTTCAGGAGACACCGTGGATGCTTTTCTGGGCACCAGGGATATGACCCTGGTCTTCTCCATGGGACAAGTTGTATTTTCTCCTTTTTTTTAGCAAATGGGCTACATGTTCATCTGCCAGTGGAACAGATTTCCATGCTGTTTAATAGTGAATCCAGGTATAGAGATATTTCAACAGGTGCTTTTGACCTGAGAGATGCAGGTGTTGGTTGTACTTCTGTCATGCTATGGTGCCCTCTCTGTACCCCAGTGCAGTTTTCTGGTGTTTCCTAGATTTACATAGTATTTTTTTGCCTCCAGTAAAAAATCTTTTGGCTGATTTCTCATTGTATCAAACCAACCAAGGGAAAACTTGATACCCTTGAAAATAAAAAGTGCTAAGAGCTGTTCCTCTATTTTCACCACAAAATGCATGATAGATTTTCCATACACTTCCTGCTGTGCCTGCTGTTAGCAGCATGCTGAGATTCTGTGTGTTCTTGTGTTACAGATTGTTGTCCAGGCACTGCAGTGTTCCCACTACTCTATTCTCTGGCAGCTGGTGAAAATCACTGAGGGCTCCCCTTCCAAAGTAAGTGGGCTTTGATCAAACAGATTTTACTGGCAGAACACAACTTACCTAGAAAGGTGTTACACCTGATTTCTTTCTAACTTCTATTCTTGCCATCGTTTGTTGTCATTTATAACATATAAAATGTTGATGTTCAGATTTGTTCTGTGTTTCAGGATCTATTTATGCATATGTCTAAGCAATGTAAATAGTTTTTATCAGGATTTTATAGCAGCTGATTATTATATTTTTATTGCTGAGGATAATTAACACTCTTTATAGTGAGTGCTGCAGTTTGCATGGCTGATAAGGAATGTTGACATGAACAGTTGTGAGCAATACTGTTGATCTGTAGACCACAGATAGCCTAATCTTGATGTGTAGTTGCTTTATTACTTTTCTAATTCACCCTTTATGTTGCAATAGAAGTGGCAGGGCCCTGGCAGTAACAATTGCTAATAAAAAGCAAATGCACACAAAGTATGGTCAGGACAAGGTGACATGTGACTTTTCCAGGACCTTTCCTTAGCTCTTTTCTCAGTCAGAGGCCAGCATCCTGTTTTTTCAGAGCTTTTGCAAAAGTAATACATCAAATTAAAATTATATGAAAACTGAAGTGATAATAAGTACTTCTCCATCAGCATCGAAAAGATAAAGATGTTATATTGAAGTGCTACTCAAATAAGCATTTTATGCATAGAAAAGTGATAAAAATGCATAGTAAATTCTCTGAGTTGTTTTAAATACTGACATTAGCATTTAAAAATAGCTATTAGAAGAAAGGAATAGTTGTTATCCCTTATTCTGGCTTTTGTTCCCATTTCCCCCTCTCACCCTCTTTCTCATTAGCATGCATGGGCTGCTGGTGCCCTGTGGAACCCAGTGCTCAGAGCACCTGGGCACTGCCTGCAACACCTTCCAGTCTTCCCCACCTGCTCTGGGGTGCTGGGTGTGCTGAGGCCTCCAGCAGCCCTGTCCTGCCTGCCCTGGGGCCAAGTGCCCAGACACAAAGGAGTGTTTGGGAAATTCTCATCACCCATCACTGCATTTCTCCATTTTTTTTAAACAAAATACAATAAATTGCTGCAGTGTAGCACAGGTGGTGCAGGGATAGCTGTCAGATGGGATGGGGAATTCTGGTAAGGTTTCCTTCAAAGAGAATTCTTTGGCTACAGTTCAGAATTGCTTGGTAATTTTTGTATCTTGCATTGATTCTGTGGTGAAGTCATACTTGACAGCCATAGGTATACACTGGCAACAGAGTCATTTTGGAATGAAGTTATTTTTTGTCTGGTGTTCAAGTGGCTTCCAAAACACAGCTCTGCCTGAGACACCTGCCCTTGTTTGGGAGCTGTCCTGGGCATGATGGCCAAGCCAGGGGACATTAATTGCTGTGTGGGGAATTCCTCATATTACACAGTTGGGCATGCTCTGGATCATGGCTCCCAACCTGATCCAGCTGTTTTGGGCTGGAGCCTCCATGTGTGTGGCAGGGAAAAGCTCAACTCTTGTGGTTTAAATCTAATTAGGATCAAGTCAGCTCATTGATTTCTTAACAGCACATAATTGTGCTGACCTACAGGCAGTGCCACACAGCTCCAGGATAACCATCAGCTCTACAGAATACAGGACCAGAATTGGGCACTCCTGTAATGTTAATGAACACCTACAAATTCCAAACTGGCCCTTCAGCTGGTCACAGGTTACTGAAATCCCCTCCCCAAGGTACACACAAAGAGCTCTTGTTTCTCCAGGCTGAATATGTAACTCATATTCAATTGCTCAAAACTGATCCTTATATTAAAGAAAAATTGTAGGTGAGCAATCCTTGCACAATGGAATAGTTTCTGATGCATTCTGGCAGACATCTGTTCTCTCATAAAAAAAGGGTCATTTTTATCAGTCATCTGGGAAGGCTCTGAAAATGGGGACGATATAGATCAATTGGTGAACAAAACACAATTTATTTTTTTTTTTTAAGAGGCATCTTAATGCTGCCAAATGGAAGGTTTATATTCATGATAAAGATCAATTGGTGAACAAAACACAACTTTTTTTTTTTTAAGAGGCATCTTAATGCTGCCAAATGGAAGGTTTATATTCAGAAAAAAAAGAGGGGCGATTAATGGCAAGTTGGGAATTAGAACAGAGCAGAACTATCTTAGGGATTCTGTAATGGCAGGGTAATGCAGTGGCACTGTGGCTGCATCATCAGAGAAACTGCTCAGGAACAGGAAGGTGAGGGAGTGCACAGACCTGGAGTGTCCATACCAGCAAATCCCACTCACTCCATTGGGAGTGATGAGAAATGGAGAGCTTTGGGAACACTCTGGCTGCTTGGGCACGCTGGCAGTCCTGTGTTGTGCTGTGAACCAGCACAGGGAGAACATATGGCCCACAAAAAGGCTCTGCAGTAAACACAGAACAACGAGAGCTCGTGGCAGGAAGCACAAGGAAAGCTGAAACCAGAACTGAGACACATGGCTGAACAGCCAGCATCAGTAAAACATGCAGCAAGGAAAACATTGCATGGGCATTGTGTAGCTTCTTGACATCTGCTTGGAGGTTGTTCTGCAGGACATTCTCTCTTCCATGTGGAAGGAAGCTGGAGGGCTGTCCTGGGGGAAGGTCTGCAGAGCATGGGCCAGGCGTCCTGCTGTGAATTCATCTCATCTCATTTAATGCTGGGTTCTTGTTTTCTTTCAGGTGATTGGTTCCTCATCACTGTAAAACTAAGGGACTCTTTTTGTGTGTGTACTTTTTGAATAGCTTATTTCTTTCACAGTTTTTTGTTGAATGTATGAAATCATCACCATTTCTTTATTTTGCTTCCTCCCAGAAACCTCTTAATAATTTTTATATACTTTCTTTTTTAATGTTTATTCCAGGAGGATTTGTTGGTATTGAGGAAAACTGTGAAATCCTTCCTGGCTGTCTGCCAGCAGTGTCTATCAAATGTCAACACTCCAGTCAAAGAACAGGTAAAGGAAATGTCTGTCTCTTATAAAAATGTGAGTGTTAAATTGTAGTAAAACTCAAGACAACACTACATCAAACTTAAAGTAAAATAATCTGTGCTCCTGTCTAAATAAATCTGAGCAAACAGCCCAGAAGAGCAGCTGTATTAACAGAATTTCCAAAGCACAGCTCATAACAAATTAACAGTAAGGAAGGATTACCTGGATGCTCAGACTCATTTCCAGCCCTTGTGACTTCAGGCAGCCAACTCAGTCACCTCAGATGAAAGACTTTTCCTGCAGACACTGAATTGAAAGATGGAAATAGGCACTTCTGGAGGGTGACTGAGACCTCAAACGGGCTGAATCCTTTGGATTTTTTCCCATTGTGTCAAAGGGTTTGTTGAAATAATTAAGTCTGTCTCTGCAGGACACAGTAGCTGGTTTGTTAGCTGAGGTTATGTGAATATGCACTGATTTATGTCAGTGACATTTGTCTACAAATGGCATTTCTATCAGACCTCCCCTGAATTAGCAGAGTATAACTAATAACTGTCCTGTGCTTTTTGCCTGTGGTATTTAAAAGATAATACTTCTTAAAAGACACTTTTATTTCTCAGAAAGATAGCTCTGCTTGGCATTTACTCTCTGTTCTTCAGGTTGCTAAATATAAACATTAAATGCTCAGAGACGTCAGTAGTTTATGTATTTCTAAAAGACTTGTGTGTCATTGGCTTCCAGCAGGTTTTACTTTAGTAATTGTTTTTTCATAGTCAGACTAATTACTCTTGGCATATTATATTAATATTGTATAATGTAAAAATATCTTCTAGCTCCATGCAAATACCTCCCTTCCAGCTCGAGCTGGACCTGACATCCTTCCTGCCTCAGGAAATGGCAAATGTTCCTTCCCATTCCTGCAGTGGGTTTGTTCTTGAGGTGTACTAACATGGGTTTGTTCTCTTCTTACCAGTGGCCACAGTGGTTTTTTCACTGATAATTGAAACTTTCTTTAGAAGCTCCTTTGCAGTTCCCAGTTGTGGGGAAGTTTTCAAGCCTCAGCCAGACAAGCCCACACCCAGGCAGGCCCAGAGAGAGGGTCCTGGGCAGAGTAGGCTGGAGACTCCAGGGACCCATTCCAGCTGACTCTTCTGTGATTTGCTTTTGTTTTCTTCCTTAAAAAGTATATTTCTTTGAATGCAGGACTGCTACTTACTGCTTTTGTTTTACTGGATTTTTTTTGAGAATTATGTGCAAATTTCATTGTCTCCCTACCATACTTGATCCTTGCTCCAGACATTCTTTCCAGACAAAGTTGATGTCCATATCAAAGGAAGGAAAAATGTATGAGGTATTTAGGGAAACAAGACTGAAACATTTCAATGTTTCCGTGAGTGTTTGAGGGAAATAAATATCCTGTGACTGAGCCCACTGCTGCCTTTATATTGGACAGAACTCAGCACCAACAGTGCATTACTCATCTGCTCTTTTTTAGAGGTCTGCATTAGGAAGAGCTTCAGTTCTGTTGAGTATCAGGGGAGTTTAGAGCAGGTGAGATCATCACTGGAATGAATCACAGCCTTTTGGATCAAAGGGAAAAAAATCCCAAATCGCAACATCTGTTCTTAAGGTCTCAACAGGACATCGTTTACAATGATTTACATCTGTTCTTGCCTGAGTAGCTCATTCAGATTTTATAACATACTCCCAGAAATAAGGGAGTTACTAGGAAGTTCAGCATTTACACATTTTACTTTGGAAATTTATAAAGTTTTCAGAACCTGAGGTTAAAAATGGAGAAGCTATGAATAAAAAGGCTTTGGAAAGGTGCTGAATGTGATCAAATTGCTGACAGCTGGCTGTGAGACACCAACAAAAACCATGTAGGGGCAAAACAGTGTTACTGCCATGCAGGAATGAGCCCTTGGAAGAAAGGAAGGTAGTGACAGCTGCCTTCTTTCCTGTCTCAGATAATGAGGGTATTATGGTAGTGAGCATAAATCATGGACAGTTGTGCCCAGGTTGGCTTTTGTCTGGATTTGAAAGCTGTGCAGACAAACTTGGTTCTTTTTTTGCAAGAGCTTTTCATGAAATTCTGCAAGAATTTCCTTGCTGTGGCTGTTTGCATTTTGGGGGGCTGGCAGTGACTCAGTTTGAATTTTCCCTCGGTGTTGTTCATGTTTTTACTTGTTTGATTTTTTTGACTGTTTATCAAAAGAGGTGTGCTCTCTTTACTACAAATTTTGCTGCAGGCCTTGGATCAGAGGTAGATTTAGAGCTCTTTTCCTAGAGAAGAAATGGAAGTTTAATATGGGTCATCTGGGACATGGAGAAGGTAATTACCACAGTTCCTGACCTAGGAACCAAAGGCACAGCATTCCAAAGCAGAGGAAACCATTATGGATTACTTTTCACAGCACATAAACAGCTGCACCTGAGAGCAGTTTAAGGAGCTGTTTCATAGTAGCAGGGGATATCTGGAAATCAGATCAATGGTACTTTGTTTTCCTTTTTTGCCTTGTCACTGCATTCATTCTCTTTTGCCTTGCAGGCTTTCATGCTGCTCTGTGATCTCCTGATGATTTTTAGTCACCAGCTGATGACAGGAGGTCGAGAAGGGCTCCAGCCTTTGGTGTTCAATCCAGACTCAGGCCTCCAGTCAGAACTTCTCAGTTTTGTCATGGATCATGTGTTTATTGACCAAGATGATGAAAATCAGAGCATGGGTATGTTTAGCTTTTTTTTCATACCAGACACAGAAGAAAGGAGAAAATAGAATTTTCTGATCAGTTTGTCCAGATGTTTTCAGAAGTATTCCTACTTTTTGCAAGGTCACTACTCTGAAGTTTCTTATATAAGTTGTGGAATATGCTTTTATTATATAATAACTATATTTAAGATTTTATCCATGTAGTTTATTTTTTATTCACAGAGTGAAGCTTGCATAGAGACTTAATATTTATGGCACTGCCACTCAGTGTTAATGCTTCTTACAACTGGGTTTTTCTTCCTGTTGTTCAGAGCCATTGATTTCACATCTGAAAGTCCAAGGCATGCAGAACTGTACTGGTGCTTCTGATTTTTCTTTTGTTAAATATTTATAGCTTAGTCACATTAATGGAGCCTCTGTGAATGTCCTGTGTTTGAGAAGTTAAGCAAGAGCATTCAGCAAGAGTTCATCGTGGTCTTTCACAGGGTATAGGAAATAAATTACTCACTTCCATGTGGATTATATCCAGGATTTCCTCAGGATTATGGAGAGCAGCCTTGGTCAGTGATGTGTCATGTTCCTAAATTTCCCTGGAAGTTTCCAAGTAGGCAGGACTCAAGACTTACCACCTTTCATTTTAGCTTCTTCTCCAACAATCCTTCTTGCTTCATGTTCAATAATTGATTTTTTTTCTAAAAGCTCCCCTTTGATAATGTTGTTTTAGAACTTAACAGTTACTTACAAACATTCTGTTGTTGATGATGCTTTCAGAGGGAGATGAAGAAGATGAAGCCAACAAAATAGAAGCTTTACATAAGAGAAGAAACCTTCTGGCTGCCTTCAGCAAGCTGATAATTTATGACATTGTGGACATGCATGCAGCAGCAGATATCTTCAAACACTATATGAAGGTACAGGCCATGCATCCTTCTGTCCTGACTGAGCCAGTCTGCAGTGTTAGGGCTTCTCCTGCCATCCCTGCCAGGACTGTGGTTACAGCCCAAACACTCCTGAAAGCTTTTTCAGCTTTATTTGATCCTGTGTGGTACTTTTTCCTTTCTAAATGACATGTGGCACTGAGCAGCAGCGAGCTCTGACCTCACCCTCTTTGTAGCACATGTGCTTTGTTTAAGGCAGCACCTAAAGCTGCTCCTGGGGTGCTGAGTATTTCCAGAGAGGCTCCACTCTGCAGAGTTTCTTACCCTGCTCCTCAGATCCATCTCTAGAATCCCCAATAAGTTGCCTGTTCCATGCCTGCTCCACTGTCAGTCTCCCAGGCTTGGTGCTTGCCATGAGGCAGCAGAGGAGGTTCTTGTCACAGGAGGTTGGTTTAAACAGGACAGCAGGAGAAAAAAGCCCTGTATGGTTGTGCTGTAAGTGGGTCTGTGGTGACTGAGGATCTTCTCACCTCTGGCTGCTTCCACAGAGCTTTTGGGCCTCAGCTCCTGCTGCCCCTGGGCATGGGAGTTCACCTGCCAGAACAGACACATCAGCAATCCTGCCTCTCACCCCTCAGCTCCTGTCCCACTGTCCCTGCAGGGGATTGCCATCACAGAGGTGACAGTCCAGGGGGAAGAACTGGAAGACAGAGCAGATCCTTTTACTCTAGACACTGTTTGAAATGTTGATGTGAAACATAAAGGGTTTAACTTGAAATTCTCCTGTTCATCAGGCACACACAGCACAATAAAATTCCCAGGACACACTGTAGCCATCAGTCAGGGTTAGTCTTGCTTAGGGGTTGTTTGCCAGAGTGGGAGTTTGAAACTGAAACTGTCACCATCCAGGTGAGTTCCCTCCCTGCTGCTCTAGGTTGGGTTTCTCCTCTCCCCACACCCCTCCTTCTCTTAAAACTGGGGGAGAGAAATTTAATTAAATTTAGTACCAAAGAAGGCAAAAGCAGTATTTTAGAGGGAATGAAAATAAGTGACTGCAAATGCAGAAACATCAATGAGGCTGAAAGAATACTGTTGCAAAAATATATATATTCTCAGCTTGGAATTTGTAATGATAATACAGCTTTTCTACCCAGATGGGCAGCACCATAGGCTGTGGCTTTCAGCAACCATTCTGTCAACATAAAGAGAAGCAGCACTCTATGCTGACCCATTCTTTACTCCACTTTTTGGCTTTACTGAATTCCTGTCCCCTCAGTGCACAAGGAGCACACACCTCTGCCTGGTGTCTGTTCACACCTGCTTCTCAAGGTCATGATGTTGCTTGGAACTGGCAGCCGTGGGTCACCTTCATCAAGTGCTTAGTTTGGAGCAGGAAATGCTCTTTTGTTTGGTATTCAACATGTTTGTTACAAAAGAAAATAAATACAGAAGTTCCTTACCTTATCACAGGGTTTGGTTTAAATTTTGGTACTGAAACACTGCCCTCACTCACACCAAAATCTGGATTCGAGCAATTGCTGCTTTTTCAAATCAAGAATTACAAGTAATCTTTCTCTTGGAAAAACTGTAAGAAATTGTATATGAGATTTGATTTAAAGTTTTTGATTTTTTTTTCACATTTGTTTTTAGTACTACAATGACTATGGAGATATCATTAAGGAAACCTTGAGCAAAACCAGGCAAATTGATAAAATCCAGTGTGCAAAGACACTCATTCTCAGTTTGCAACAGGTAAGAGCATTGATTTTTTTTGGTTAGAAATGCCTCATTGCAAAAAGCCCTGGCCAGGATTTCCTCTGATGCACTTTACAGGGAAGCAGAAATGCTGCACTTCCTTAGGACATTTTCTTCATTTTCCTGCTCCCCAGTTCAGGCTGTCACTGTCCCTTGTCTCAATAATCTCTGTCTCCATAGGCCCACACTGGCAAAGCTTGGGCAGATAAAAATGGAAGGGAGGGAGAGAAGAGCCTTGGGGGCAGTTTGGTCCAAGCTGATTCATGGCATTTGTTTATTGATCCTGAGTCAACAAGAAGAATTAGGATGACTTTTTCTTCTTAGCATTTGCTGAAGTAATGCATCTTCCTTATACTTTGTCTAAAAACTGATGAATTTTTCAAATTTCAAGCTAATTAAGTCTTCCAATACTGTTAGACATGTTTTTTCCCAGAAAAATTCACTTTACATCAACCGTAAATTACTGCCTGGTGATGAAATCTGTCAACCAACAGCACAAAGTGCACTAAATACCACTTAGGCCCTTGAAGTACCAGCTATAGCCATTGCTCAGAGAAATTACTTCTGCTAATTAGGTGCTCTCAAATGAGCTGGACCTCCCAAAATCCCTTCCTAAGGGATTTGCTGTAGCAATCTGGAAGCTGAAGAGAGATCTGTGCAAACCTGAGAAAAACAGATGTACTTCCAGAAGAATCAGGGAGTTTCAAAGCAGCCATGTCTGTAGAACTTGGAAAGGAGGGAGCAGGTGCCACAGATCAGTCAGGCTGACAAAATTCCATGAAAAAAGTAATGAGAGGAGCTCTGCAAGTGCCTCAGTGATAGGTAGCAGCCAGTGTGGATTTGTCAAGGAGGAATCCTGTCCAGTTAAGCTGCTGTCATTAATTACATGGTAACAGAGCTTGTGGAGATGAGAGAAGCAGTGGCTGTGATGGAGCCTGATTTAATATCCTCACTGGCACTGTCTGCCAGGATGCTCTCAGCAACCTGTGAGAGAGATGGGGTGTAAATGGCAGTGCCAGGAGAGGTAGAGCTGGCTGGGAAAGCACCAAGAACTTCAATACTGTGCTGGGAGGGCCTTGGAGGCAGCAGTGCTGGGCAAACAGGCACTGAGGCTACAGTGGAGGAGCTGCAGTTTGGATCCCCAAAATCAAAGCACCACCAGATCTGCTGGGTGATGGAGGTGCTTAAGAGAACAGCACGAGAATGCAAGACCTTCTTGAGGAGTTAGGAGAATGATAGATGGAATTCAGGGAGGGTGGGTGCAGAATTCCACCAAAACAACTCCACACAAGTACAAGATGGGGGACAGCTGGCAAACAGCAGAGGGACAGAAGAGTTATGTCTCAGTGACAATTATGTCTCAGTGCAAAAAGTCATCACAAAGGCCATTCTCAGATGGAGCAGGTTTAGAACCCAAGTCTTTGTCAATAAAAGTGTTTCCCAGCTCACAGATGTCAACCTCTGAACTCTCCCTGCAGCTGTTCAATGAGCTGGTTCAGGAGCAAGGGCCCAACCTGGACAGGACATCTGCCCATGTCAGTGGCATTAAGGAGCTGGCCCGGCGGTTTGCCCTCACCTTTGGCTTGGATCAGATCAAGACAAGAGAGGCTGTGGCCACACTACACAAGTGAGTGGTGGTAAATAAACTAGATTTTTACACTACTTCACATTAAAACTCTTATTCAGCACTCCCTTTCTCAGGATACATAATCTCAACAGGCCATGGAATAATTATATATTTTTTTTAATATTTTAATTGGAGGGGTCTACATGTATGTAGGTAGAAAGGAAACAAACTAGCTGCTACCTAATTATGTCTTGGAATTTATTGGCATGGTTATGTGTGTTTATCTCAGGTGAGTTGTGTCTAACAACTGAGGATGGTTCTGTGTTCCACACCACTGTGGATTCTGGAGGAACCAAGGGCTTTTATAGAAAGATTCTCTGAAAATATTTTGGAAATCTTTTCAAGTGGACTGGAAATTTTTATGCAACTGCTGCATAGAAAAGTGTGGAAAGGTTTTGCTAAATTTAAATTCTGACTTTGCCAAGCCATTAAAAGTTCAAATGCTAAGGTTTGCTGTCTCAGAGACTCAGTCCTTGAGACCAGTCAGGATGCACCAGGTGCTGTCCTCAGCCAGGCAGGAGTCAGGGGACACTTGTGCCTTGCTGGCTGAGGGAGGGGACAGTGTGCTCTTCAGTCACAGGTGACAAAGCAGAACCCAGTGTGTCCCTGCTCTGGGGACTCAGTTCTCTGCTCTGGCTGCAGAGGTTGGCTCCTGTTGGATCTGACACATTCCATGGAGCTCCTGCCCTGGGCTGCACCTGCCCAGTTCCACAGTGGGCCAGTCCCCTCTTCCAGGGACTGACCATGTGCTTACCTGAGGGGGGCCTCACAAATCCACAGGGAACTCTGCATTCCCCTTGTCCAAAAGCAGCTGTTGGCTGGTAATGGGGAATTACATTGTGATGGGACCTGAGGATACAAACAGTTTCATCACAGCTCAGATTTGGAGTAACTTGTTTGGGTTTCGGGTTGAGCTTTTTGTTTGCTTTTTTGGGTTTTGGGGTTTTTTGTTTGTTTTTTGTTGCAAACGTCTGAACTTGTTAATATTTCTGTACTGTAGAGATGGCATAGAGTTTGCCTTCAAATACCAGAATCAGAAAGGACAAGACTATCCACCTCCTAACCTTGCTTTCCTGGAAGTGCTAAGTGAATTTTCTTCCAAGCTCCTGCGACAGGACAAAAAGACTGTGTAAGTAATGCTCTGTTTTCTTCCCTGGGCTCTGTTAATCCCTGCAGTGTGGGTTTCAGCTTTCTCTTTTGAGGTTTCTGCAATCTAAGCGAGGCTGCAAAAAGTCCATGAGACATTTCACATACATACTTACTCATCCTTTTGTGTTTTAAAGTAATAAAAATAAATGGGAAAAGAAAAATCAGACCCACTCATGAGTTGAGTTTGAGACCTCCCAAAACAGTGTTTAAAATTTCTCATGGGGTTTTGAAAATAAAAAGTCCTCTTTTAGGCTAGAAGAAAAGAAATTACATGTTAGAAGTGCAAGGAATTTACAGGCTGTCACCACTGCAGAAATACGTTTCTGTCTTTATTTACATAAATTGTAAACCTATATTTGTTGTTTATTTAATATATTGGAAGAGGACTCCAGTCAAACATCAGCCAAGCACTATGTGCCCAGTGTGGAACTAAATTCACTGAATAACTTTTTGACCAGTTTAAAAGTGCAGTTGCCAGATCTGCTGATTTATGGTTATAGGTGTCTTTCCAGTCAATTCTGTGACCTCACTGAGCGTTAGTCAAGATCAACTGGAATGACCTCAATATGGACTCTTTTGTCAGACCTTGCTGTGAAGGTTTGACAGATGTTTTTCTGTGAAGACATTTCTTTTGAAGGACTTTTCTGTTGGGGTTAACAACTGTGAACATTACAGCTTTATCTGTGCAGTAAGAAATGCAGCTTGGTTAATTTTGTATAATTTTTAATGTGTACACACTGGAACCAATTTCACTTTTTCATTGTATCAGTAATTTCTCAAGTCAGCAAACACTGTAGGACAAGTAGTTAAAGGAGCTAGGGAATGGGATGATCCAGGTAGGCTGTCTTGGCACTCCATCTGTGCATCTGCTCTCCATGGTTAAATCCTTGTCAGCCTCTATCCTCTTCAGGACAGGACTTAAGGATAAGAGGATTTTATGGCTTGTCTTCTTAGCTGGGCTGTAGGTTCTCCTACATGGTGGTGTGAGTGCCACTGGCCTGTTTCCTGTTGAATTTAGTGAAGTTTAGCCTTTCAGCAGTCATCCCTTCCACCAGTTTCCAGTGTCTGACATTTAAAGTTACATCATGCTGCCCCTGACAGCTCCTGTTAACCTGAGCCTTTGAGGGAAATTCAGTTCTTTGGGACATCCTGTTCCTCCACCTTCCATGTTGCCATTTAAATTCTTTCTCAAAGGTTTCCCTGCCCACATAGACAACCAGTGGCTGCTCCTGCAGGAGTGTAAAGATTGCTGTGCTGAAATATCTATACCCGAGCTATTGGCCTCAGCTGAATCTGATGATCATGAAAAGAAATAGGTCCTTTAGGGCCTGATTTGTCTGATCTGTCCCAGCCTGCTGTGTTGGGATAAGTTCAGCCCTTCCCAGACCCCACAGGCTGTGGTGACCATGAGAAGGGTCAGCACAATTTGCTGACATGTAAGGATTCTGTGGAGTGACTCCACTCCTGCCCAGAGTGCTCCACTGACAGGACAGGAGTGGGATTTGCCCTTTTTTGTAGCTCCTCCAGCCCACAGGGACCTCTCCCCCACCACAGGGGCTGCCTGTGTGCAGGAAGGTCCATGACCACCATCTGCTGGAGAAGTCCCATGTTCAGGATCCCTTCCGTGCCTCCCTGCCCAGAGGCCCTCCCCAGCTCAGCAATGGACTCCTGTCTGCAGCCAGCAGTGCTCTGGAGCCCTCACACATGGCTGCCTGGCTGCCCAGGTTCTCCAGCTTGGCTTCCCTGCCTCAACCCCCAGATCATCCCCCCAGGGCCTGCAGGTGCCAGGGCACTGCTGCACAACACCTTCCTGGCAGGGTCCAGCACACTGCTGCTCCCCAGGGCTTCTGCTTCCTTCTGCTGGGCTGCTGGCTTTTTCCCCTGGGGCTAGAAAAGGGAGAAGCTTCCAGTTTGGGAGTGAAGCAGCCACACTGATTTAATTTAGTTTTCCTAGCCTGTTAATCTGGCTGCTCGTTTTATGAGTAACCTTCAGAATGGTGATAGCCATTTTTGGATTTATTCAAATCTATGGATTTCACATAAAACTGTTCATGTAAGGTGCCAGACTCACACACTCATACAGCTGGAGAAAAAGAATTTGTACTAACACTCTGTTACAAACCCATTAAGGCAGATACAGGCAGGGAAATCCTGAGGAACTAATGTAGGACAGAATAGAGGAGATTGTCCTTGGAGGCACTTATTTCCATTTATTTCTCTCAAAGACACAGTTGGCTTAGACTGGACATTGACCAGTGGGTGTCATGGTGTTCTCACGTCTGGAAATTCAGAGTTGATAAGAACTGCCAGTGTGAAGCTCCTCCAAAATGCTGAGCAGAAGATGTCTCAAGTTTGGCATCCAGGCAGTAAAGAGCTCCCAAGTGGTGTTATTTTCCTCCTCCACTCTTTGGCCATAAATATGCAATTCTCTAAATACAAACTGGAGGCAGAAAACTTCTTACTTTCCAAGACTTTTTTGCAGGTAGATTCTCTAAAGCCATGAAGCACTCGAGTGGCACAGTTGGGTACCATAAAATAGAGAATACACAAAGAATTTCCCATTACTGCCAGGTTTGGGAGTTAATATACACATGAAAAAGGGAAGGAGGAAGCACTGACAATATTCAATAAAAAAGTAGACAGGAACCTGCTGTTTCTTGAACAAAGTTACACCGTTCATGGAATCAAAAAACTGATGTGATTGTCACCCTTGCGTGAGCAGTGTGGCTCCTGGGCCTGTTCTGGAGTTGGGCTGTAACAGCTCTGAGCTGCCATGAGCTAACAGAGGAAACCCCTGCCTTTCCACGTGGAATGTGTGGAGTTGACTCCCACTGCTGGCAACCTGGCAAGGTGGTATTAAAGGAAATTGTGACTGAGGGATGCAGGAAGTGATGCTGAAGTACCTGAGTTCTCTTACCAAAGTTCTGAATGTTTGGCACTGCAGCCAGACTCATTACAATCACATTTATTTAGATTTGCATGTTAATTTTAGAGATTACTTCTGATTCCATAATTAAATAATCAGTGGAAAAAGAAAACAGTTCCTGTGCCCTCCAGACCAGGAGGGAGTTGTTGATTCCTCCTTTCAGTTAATACAGGTGCACTGAACTTTTCATGGCAGTGGACCAGGTGTTCAAATTTTTTATGGAAAAATAAATGCCTGCATTTGACCAACCCATTTCTCCTGTTGCAGGATGCCAAAGGACATCCTGCATCCACTGCCCGTTGCAGCAGTGGCTCTCATGCAGCCTGGCTGCTGACACAGTGGCCGTACCCAGGTGTCTGTGGGGAGATTGCTGCACCTCTGTACCCCTGTGTTTCCTTTCCAGGCACACGTACTTGGAGAAGTTCCTGACAGAGCAGATGATGGAGAGGAGAGAGGACGTGTGGCTGCCGCTGATCTCGTACCGGAACTCGCTGGTGACGGGCGGCGAGGACGACAGGATGTCGGTGAACAGCGGCAGCAGCAGCAGCAAGGCCTCCTCCGTCAGGAACAAGAAGGGCCGGCCCCCCCTCCACAAAAAGAGAGTGGAAGGTTAGTGAGGCACAGGCCTTGGGCATTCTGGGCACTCAGGAGAGGGGGCTCTACCAGCTCATCCAGAAATACGTGATGCGTTCTGGATGTGGCAGAACCATGGCATCTGTGCTGGTTCTGTCAGGCCTGGATGTGTCTTTAGGGGAAATACCACCACAACCCCCTGGTCTTGTTTGTCTTGACCAAAATTGGCAGTCAGAACTGTTAAAAGCTGTTACTGCTGCTGGAAGAGGTGTTTGTGAAGTTGCCTGCTCTTTCTCACTCCCGGAATGCTGGATTTCTGCCTGTGGTTCCCTCTGGGGAGTTGTTAATTCTCAGGGATTTGGAGCAGAAATTCTGATAACAGATCTCTGTTGTTACAGGGCCATTGGGAACACTAAAAAGACACCATTTTTGTTTAAAATAGCACTGATATCTAGTGTTGTCTGCATTTACTCTTTCTGGGACCTCAGATGTGTTCATCAGGAATCTGGCTGTGATGGCAAATTTCTTACAAGGCTGCATCTGTTCCTGGTCAAACTGTGTGCTGTACTGTGGACTTTTGTGAATACTAATTTGCTGTTCCACTATACAGTAGATGTGAGTGGGATCTTAAACTTCAGGGGCTTTTCTAAGTTCAGTATCTATGGCAGTAATCCCTCAGTAAGGAATCTAGTTGCCATTTGCCTGAATATACAGCAATTTCCCAAAATACTCCTCAAAAGTTTGCCCATACAGCCAGCTCCATTCTCCACTGCAGCTCATGGTGAGCAGTCCCTGCACCAAGTCCTTCTCAGAGCCAGCCCAAAGTGTAGGTACATAAAATACTGGCTCCTTTCATCAGGCACTCTTTTTCTTCTTTCAGGATACCAATATTTTCAGAGTTCAACTACTTCTTTCCTCTTGTTGCCATTTTCATTCTATTCTGCCGTATTTTACCAATATCTTTTTTTTTTTTTTACCCTGGGAGGTGTAGTAGTATCTTTGCCTCCCAGTAAGGCAAATCTCAGGCTTAAAATGTAGTTTTTAGGTTTTGCTTATCTCATACTCTTTTGTGTCACCCTCTTTCAGTGATCAGTAGAAGGGAGAATTGACTTCCAACACTTTGTATTTGAGAATCTCTTTTTTTGTTTGTTGGTTTCTTTAATTTCCACTCTGAAGGATCTAATAGGAGAAAGATTACTGCAGAAATTACTGTGGCATCAAAGAACCATACCTAGTCCCCTCTAGTTCCTTTCTCACCTAAATCCAGCATGGACTGGCTTGGAGAACATTCCCTGTTTCCTCTGAGAGGAAATGTGCTCTGTGACATTCCTTCACAATGCCTTAAGGAAATCAATAGGTTAAAAAAATTCCTAACAGAAAAATGATTGAAAAGTAAAATTGAGAATAAATAGGCAGCTTTTTAGACATCATTTATGCCTAAAGGGTAGTAAAAGGCAATGGAAGAGTGAAGAGATCTATGGAGATCCCCATCTACTTTTCTCACCACACATTTCCTGTTGGTAAATCTGTGATCTTGTCATCTCTGTTGTCATCTCCTGTCTTTCACTCCAGCAACTGAATTTTTTCCTACGTGTCTCTGGCTGCACCCTTCCTGCTCTAACCCATTCTCAAGTCCTCCCTCTTCCCTCCTCTCTGCTTTGCTACCTTCCCAACATAAGCACAGGATCCCACCTAGACCTTCAGTCATATTCAGCTCATTTTTATTGCTGAGTGTCCCCTCCCTGCTCCAGTCCAGTGGTTCTGACAGTTCTAAAGATCTGGAGTGACCAGATTTTGGGGTTTGTGCTCCACCTTGTCTTAGTGTTTAACTGTATCCAGGTTGCTGTAGGTGCATGAGTCTCCAATTGTAAACTCAGGAATTGGGAATTGCCCTGCTTGTTTATGTTCAAGAAACTCAGCAGCTGAGGCCATGCTGCAGTATGACTTTGTTTGCAATGGGGTTTGTGTTTGTTCCCTTTAAATTGTTGTTATTGCTGAGAATAGAGGGTAGTAATACTTAGAAGAACAGAAGCTAAAGTTAGAACTGAAAATCTTACCATTCCAAGCGTTTATCCAGGTGATCCCTTCGTGCCTACTTGTTTGAATGCTGCCCTGCATGTGGTCAGAAATTAGCAGTGATTTCAGTGTTCTCTCTCTAGATGAGAGCCTGGAAGGCTCCTGGCTGAACAGGAATGAGAACATCCATACTCCAGGGACACTGCAGACACCTCAGCTCACCTCCACTGTCCTGAGAGAGAACACCAGACAAATGGGAGAGCAGATCCAGGAGCACGAGTCGGAGCAGGGATCTGAACAGGATTTTTTACACAAGTAAGTCTTGGGATTTCAGCATCAAGTACAGTCAGCCAGGCAAAGGAATTGCTTCTGGTTTATGGTGACATTGTTAGCCTGTGGCTCCAGAGATGCAGCGTTGATTTGCAAAGCCACCTGGAAATGCCTTGACTACAGCTCAGCAATACTTGGATTGTCTTCAGGTCCCAGAAGAATATGTTGTAATTGAATAATAGTAGAAATTCCTTATGTTAGAACTGTCTCATAGCATAGCCATGCAGTTCTGGTCAAATCATCCTAGTGCTTGTGTCCCAGGCTGGGTGGAACTGTTTCTTTGGAAGACCTGTAGATACTCTCTTTTCTTTCCCCCTGCCTGATATCAGAGTTAAGGTTTTCCAGACACCCTGACTGATATTTTCTAAATTCCCAGCTGCTGAGCTAGTAATTCCTGATTTGAGGTAATTGCCCTAAATTATATATTCTTTTTGTCCCTTTGCTCCCATTTTATCACCTCCATTTGGAGGGAAAACTTTGGTTATTTTCTGTCAGTGGGTGTTGCCAGCAGGTGAGCACAGGCTGGCTGTGGCTCAGGGGCTGGGTGGTGGCATCAGCAGTGCAGCCTGGAAGGTATTTACACATGGGTGAGGTACTGGCCCTTAAGTTGATCAGGGTATTTGTGTAAAAATAATTTGTTTTTCACATTGTTGTGCGACATTTTTGTCAGTTACTGATTTGGATCCATTCTTGCTCATATTTTGCCTCATCTGACACAGTGAAGTATTATTTAATAATAACAAACTTTAGAGGTGCTCCCGCTCCAGGTGCCCACTCCTAATGAAGGAGCAATGTCAGTGTTTCCATACCTGCTTTTATTGCAACAGTTAATTGATTTTTTTGTGCACATATAGTGGGAGGAGACAGACTGTGGAAGGGAATCCAGCAGATTTGTACAGTGATGGATGGGAGTTAATTATCCTAATCTGAAGCATGGCCAGGCACAGAACTTGGAGATAGAAACTGCCCCAGAAGAGGCAGCTCAGAACTGTTCCTGCTGTTGATCCTAACTCGCTCCCTGTGTCAGTCCCCAGATGCAGATCTCGTGGCTGGGCCAGCAGAAGCTGGAGGATCTCAATCGGAAGGACAGGACAGGAATGAACTACATGAAAGGCAGAAGTGGCGTAAGGCACGCAGTGTAAGTGCTCCCAGGCTGCTGCCCTCAGCACAGCCATGTGCAGGACACCACAGGGAAATGCCACCTTTCCTGCTGCTTGCCAGGGGTTTCTGTGCCATTTCACCCTTGTGGTGAAGGCACAGGGACAGTTTGTAGTGCTGGGATGGATCCAGCACTGCCATTCTCAGACAGCAGGCCCAGTGACAGGGTGCAGTTCCCCATTCCTCAGAGGGGTTCCATGGTTTGTGTGCTGTGTAATTCCCTGTGAACTCTGCCCATGAGCCTGTTCCTGTGTCTGTGCTCTCCATCCTTTTTTGCCAAGGTGTCTCCCTGTGCAGTAATGGCGAGAACACACGTGGGTGAACACTGGGGCACCACATGCTCTGTGCTGATCCCACTGAGTCCTTCAGCAGGGGGCTGGAATCCTTACAGCCTTTGGAACTGGGCTTGAAGGCACTGCTGGAGTCACAGGGCTTTACAGTGATCCTGGCAGTGTCACTCCTCCTTGGTGAAAGGGCAGGCAAACACAAGGAGTTACTGCCCTGTTCTTGTGGGACAGCTTCAATTACTGGTCATTGTACTGTCCATTGTGCTGGACTTGCTGCTTCAGCCTGGGCCAGGGTTTGGGGAGGGGGTTTATGTGCCATTTTCCTCTGTTTGCTATTCCAGAGAGCCTGTTGGCTTTACCCTCAGCATCAGGGTTTGAGTGAAGGCATTAAATGATAGGATTTGAGCATTCTTTTTAATTACAAAGATGAGGGCTGGGAAGTTTTTGTGTGGGAAATGACTCTCTCTCTGTTTAATCAGACGAGGTCTAATGGAAGATGACGCTGAGCCCATCTTTGAAGATGTAATGATGTCCTCACGAGGCCAGCTAGAAGACATGAATGAAGAATTTGAGGACACAATGGTCATTGATCTGGTCAGTAAATCTTACCAATGGCAAGTTTAAAACAGCTAAAAGCTAATTTAAAAGGAATTTTAGAAGTGTAAAGAAAAATTTCCAAGATTTTGAGTCTGGCCTCTAGTTGAATGGAAATGATGTGAGCATTTCCCACAGCCTCCAGCTGCAGGCTTGAGCCCAGTGGGTTTGTTCCACAGCCACACAAGGAGCACTGCTTAGTGCTCCTTCTTCCCAAGGTTGTGTTCTTGGGCAGCTTCTGGCAGCAGCACCATCACACACCTCGGACTTGTCAGCCCACGAGGATCAGGTTATGGGTTACAGGCTGTGCTGACCTGGCTCTTCATTGCAGCCACGATGTGTCAGACTGGCACAGCCAAAGGGGTCCCTCTCTTTCCCTTTCCTGGTTAGTTTGATTTTGAGGAGGTGGGCTGGGCAGGGGATCCTCACTCGAGGTCTCAGCAGGTTACAGCCAGAGTCCTGCTGGCACAGCAGGAGGGAGCGCAGGCACTGTTGTGTGGGTGGGAGCTCCTTAAACAGGAATTGCTCCCAAACAGGTCCCATCATCAAGGGCAGCCTCAGTTCTGCACTGACTGGTGGGAGAAGTTCCTTGCAGCACTTGCAGCCTTAACTGGCCTCCCCTCTGGAATGACTCCTCCCTTGTAAAATGGGATAAAGGAGCAGTTAACTTTACACAACTCACCATTTTTATGCCTTTGTTTCTCCCTTCACATCCAAAAGCCCTAGGTTATATTAGGACTGGGCTACAGTGTATTGGGAAAGGTGGCTGCATACTGAGGTTACTGCCAGCACTCATGTAATTACCAAGGAAAGGAAGGAATTGATCAAGCCAGTGAGGCTCACGCCTACTCTTGAGCTTCTGGGGAAGGACACCACCAAGGGTTTAAGCCTCAGAAATATTTCAATATCTTCCATACCCTTTTGTTGGCAAATCCATTTTTGACTATGTCAGAGCTCATTTAACTATGAACTTAAAAGCATAAAGAGCGTTAAGAGGGAGTTTCTGTGCAGTGTGGCCTACAGTCCCAAAACAGAAACATCCTTAAGTCAGCAAGAACCTTGGGCAAGTCCTTAACTACGAGCACAGAGTTAGAATGAGAGTCCATCAGCTTTTACCCATTGTTTCAATAATGAAGAGTGGAGGGAGCGCTGTCCCGTGTGGCACTGGGGGAAGGTGGGGCAGCAGAGGTGGCCTGGGGCAGGCAGAGGTGGCCTGGGGCAGCAGAGGTGGCTCCCTGTGCCCCTGTGTTCCAACTCCCGTGTGTTGCAGCCGCCGTCGCGGAACCGGCGCGAGCGCGCGGAGCTGCGGCCGGACTTCTTCGACTCGGCGGCGATCATCGAGGACGATTCAGTAAGGCCTGGCTCCTTGTGCTTGCTTTGAGTCTGCTCTTGTCACACCCCCCCTAACCGCTGTCTTTTCCCCCCTTCTCCAGGGATTTGGCATGCCCATGTTCTGAAGTCTGGCGAAGACCTTTTACAAACTTGGAACTCTATTGTTTAGAGCTAGAGGCCTATATACTGTGATAGCTTGTATGAAAACCACATTTTTGATGTGATACGGTTTGATTTTTAACCAAATGATTGAGGTCAACCCCTTGGTGTAGTGACGGAGAGAAGAGGAGCTTCTTAATGACACACGGGAATGTTGGCCAATCCAGTCACCTCAGAAGGGCTGACCTAAAAAATCATTTGTATCCCTGTTCTTGACTGTCCTAATACGGATTTTTTTTTTTTCTGGATGAGGAGGAAGTTTTAAATTGTTAAGACAGCTGTCAAAATAAACACTGTTCTACATATGTTTTCTGAAAACAACATTGAGTGAAAACAGAACTTTTTTAACTTTATTTTTCTGCTGTACAATTTAAAACAGTTTTAACATTTGCCTTTTTATGTTTTCAAAGCTAGCCATTTTTATTAAACCTATGCCTATCAGCCACTGACTAGCAAGGCTGCTGTGAGCAGGTCGTTCTGGCTACGGAAAAGTGTTTTGGAACACACTGGATTTGATTAACATTATGGTACGCTTATGTCCTCTCATAGGCATGGAGAAGAACACTCTCAGAGAAGAGGTTAGAATTCTAATGACGTGCATCTCTGCCAAAAAATTTCAGATTCTGATATGATAAACCCAGATTTTATACTCTTGAGAAGATTTATTTTTATTTATAATGGGACATAAAGTAAGAGATGTCCATGAAGCCACTTTTCCAACAGATGCTGTGTAACATTCATTTTATATAGCACATGGGGACACAAAACCAGTAAATTTTCTATTGGTACTTGCTCTGTGCATTTTTAGCAACTTATACCAGCAAATAAAGTATTCTCAGTAAAACACACAAATGGTTCTCAAGTAATCACTTTGCTGTTTTTACTACCTACTTCAAGCCTGCCAACACAAGGTACATAAACAGCAACTTTCCTATTTAAAAAAAAAAAATAGTTCAAGGGTGGGGAAAAGGATCACTTTAGCATACTAAAAGTAATTTTAACTGTACCATAAAACAGAGTCTACTTTCCATGCCGTAAATACCCTTTTCCGCTATTTTTGTAAATTAATTTTGCCAGTTAGAAGTACTGTATGTGCTGCATAGAAATTTGTGCTTAGATGGTGAAGTTCTTAAGCTTACAATGGACTACAGCTACATTTTCAGTGTTAACTGTGCATATTGAGAGTAATTCTTTGGAAAAAAAATATGATTTTTCAAAAAAGCTAAAAACATCAAAAAAAATCCAAAAAACCCCAAAACATTCTCAGCTAATTCATTGTACTAAGATATTTTTCAATGTCTTCAATAATTTGGAATTTCATTATGCTTCAATTTTATGACTCGATGTAGTAGCTGCTCCTTACCCAGCCTGGCCTGGCACCAGCAGTGCTGGCCCTGCACAGCTCCACATCTCCAACAATTGGCCCCAAAACCTTCATCTTTCTGCACTCAGCAGCAGTTGGGATACAAAGCAGACTGACCCACTTGGAGCACAGCAGTTTCAGAGGTGCTTTAGTTTTAGCAACTGCAGAATAATCCCAGAGCTTTTTTCTGTTTCAAGCTTACTGGACACCAGCCCAACCCCTCAGTGCCCAGCACGGGCAGGGAAAGAGCCCAAACTGGCCCAGCCCAGCACCTCACCCAGCTGGGCTTGGCTCTCACAACGTGCAGTTCTCAGACACGGTTGCCAAAAATGTTTGACCAGGTAATTCAGCCATTCCTTACTGTGGGTTGGGGATGTATTGATCCCACGAAGTAGCTGGAACTTTATAAACCCCATTACCTCCCTCTGTGCACCCCCACGGCCTGGGGGCAGGAATGGCTGCAGGACCTGTCCCAGGATCACTCTGTGAGCATGGTGGCACAACAGATGCTGCCCAGTTTGAGTCAGAGTCTCAGACAAACCTTGTGCTTCACAGTCCTCTGTGTGGAAAACTGATTCCTAATTTAACATTGTAGAATACTGTATAACAAACATTTATTATCATGGTACCTGCAATGGGTCTCCAGTTCAGTTTGCAGTCAATAGGTTTTTGTATTATGAGTGTCTCCTTGATTGGTTTTGCTAGTAATTCTGTAAATTGTACATTTACAATATGAGGTTTTTTTTTTCCTTTTGTACAATTTAAAACTGATGCTTCACCTTTCATTTAATAAACTATTCAAAATCATGAGTATGATGAGCACCCTCTTCACTATAGTTTTCTTTTAAGTGCTTGTTTGGACCATCACATTTTGTCATCCCCTTTAGTAGTAGGAATTCAAGGAATTATTAAAGGCAAAACTGACAGGTAGCTTTCATGTAGTCCAGGCTTCACAACCAGACCTGTACCCCCTCCCTTACCCACTCAGCCTCAAGAGTGATGGAAATCCTCTCTGGGCTTCTCTCTCCCCTCCACCATGGTGTGGTTTGGCTGGGGGTGGGTGGGTAGTGGGGTGGGGAATGTGGGATTGCTGTAAATCTGGGAAGGCCCCACACCAGATGCAAGAGCTGCACTGCTAAAACTTACAACTTCTTGAAATGCCACAAGGTTTGAGAAGAATTTCTCTCTTCTGCCCTGTGTCTGAAGTGACCTGGCGTCTGTAGGAAGAAACTGCCATGGGAAAGGCTTCAAAGTTCTAACAACCAGCTGGGCTAAATGAAGTTTCACAGATTCCTGAAACAAAACGTCCATGTTACTCCCATGTCTCAGGGAGCAAGGTGCTATTTTTGTCCAATCCATGAGCTATTTCAGCTCTGTAGTGCTAAGGAAAACTGACTGCTTTATCACCTGGCCCACTTCCTAAGGAAAAATCACTGGAGTCATAAAAAGGAACAAGATGCAGCAGCTGAGGCACAGGGATGATTCAGAGTCTCAACTACTCCCAAGACAGAGCCTGAAAGCTCAGTTTCCAACTGCCTGTAAGTTATGGCAACTCCTGCTGCACTGAGGAACACAGTAAGTAACTTGCCCTGCTGCTAAGTAAGGGCTACACATTATTTAAGAGATTTTATTTTGTACCTCTTATTTTTTTAGGTGACTGGACTTCAAGGAAATTCTCAGAAGCCTGATCAGAGCAGCTTTCGAGCCCGTTTCCAGCTTGTCCTGGTAGAGCAACTGCCTGCTTGGAAATGGAGAGGATCTAAAAGCCCAATTCTTGCGCTGCCAAGGGATGGGAGAGAGGATGGAGTCTGTAGCAATACTGAGGGTAGGAAACAACTAACACAGCTGTACTTTCCTCTTTATCACAAGTGGGTTTTTCATGGATTGTCTCCCTCTGACACTGGGCAAGCTGAAGAAGCTGTGTATGTATTCCTTCACCTATCACAGCTTCTGCCTCTAAACCTGCTTTACCTTTGGAAAATCTTCTTGGGCATTATAAACCCTTACAGTTAACTAGGAACTGCCACCATAGCCATACCACCCACCACAGTAACATTTGAATTTACCTTCCCCTGTTGCTGCAGCCATGTGCAGACATGTGTCACAGTCAGAACAGCCAGTGTGTCTGTAATCTGAAGGTGCTGCCTTCCATGCATCCAAAAACCTGGGGAGCTGGAACTCCTCCTTGAAATGCTCCTTTTATATTGTGCTTTTAGATGATGTTTAGCTGTTGCTTTCCCCCCCCACCAGGTAGAGGCTCCAAGCTCTACAGCTCTACTCACTGCACTTTGCTGGGAAGAGAAGCTGCCTGGGACACAGCCCTCCCACCTCTGCTCCTCAAGCTCGTGCTGGGCAGTGAGCAGCAGCAGCTGCAGTGCAGGTAGGGAGGCTCTGTCACACAACAAATGTCAGTTCCTCACAGCAGCCAGGTGATTACAGCAGCAGCACTGAATGTGACAGAGGCTGTTCCTCACTGCCTTGGGGCTGGAGGGAAGTTGCAGCTTCTACTGGGCAGGTGAGCACAGGCCCAGAGCTGATCAGAGTAACACCCCCTGCAGTGGTTCCTGGTGAGGCTGGCAAATAATATTAGCAAAAGGAGGCTGGAAGGGCCTCCTGGAGGTCTCTGTTCCAGCCTCTGCCGAGGAGAAGGGTTTGCATGTCCCACCAAAACTGCCCTTTTTTGTCTGCTGCTCTTAAGAGTGGACTGGCTGTGCCTCCCCTGTGCCACCCACCTGTCCTGGGGCTCTGAGAGCCAGCTGCTGCAGCCAGCAGGGCACAGCTGCCAGGGGCCAGACTAACAGAGGAACAGAACTGAGTCTGGGATCAGCAGGGCCTGGTCTCCAGGGCACTGAAACCCAAGCTCAGCATTTCCTCTCTGAGTCAGTGGTGGAGTCAGGAAGTGGAGTCAGACTCCAAAGTCTGTGGGCAGTGGAATACCCTTGAACTCCACAGGGGTCCAACTTCCCAGCAGTGGGAGGTGGCTCAGGCAGGACAGAGCCACCTCCAGGGCCTGTGGAATGAGGGAGCCAAGGAATGTTCAACCTTAAGCCATTAGTAACAGCTCACCTGCAGCAGGCAGGGCAGAGTGTGTTAAGTATTAAACACAAAGAAAGGGTTTACAGAGAGTCTGGTCAGACCCCCAAATTAAATACATACTATGATTTATTGATGATTATTGGCAAAAATCAAAATTAAAATAACTATTTCTATTGCCAAGCAGACCTCCATTAACCAGACAGTTAACCAGAACTTGTATTCAGAATGTCTCCCAGCACGGGCAGCCCCTGCTCACCCTCACAGTGGGATGTTGGCATGTTTCTTCCAAGGACTGGACTGGGATTTACTGGCCAGTACATCAAGGTCATGGCAGATGCGTGTGCGGGTGGTCGAAGGCTGGATGATGTCATCAACAAACCCTGCAAAAGATTAAAACAAAAAAAAAAACCTCAACCTGACCAACCATGAAGTGTTTGCCTCCCAGCCTTCTGTATCTAGGCTAACCAATCAGTTAGCAAAATCAAAACAATGGCTGGAATAAATAAGTTCACAAGTTATAAATTAACTACATTTAAAATAGACTGAGAAGGAAACATTCCTGAGTCAATTTTAAAATTCTGAATATAACTTGACTTTTAGAGCACAGTTACTGCTCCAAAACTGGAAGTAGAAACAGTGGAAAAACTTGCTCCTCAAAGTTCTGGAGAACATAGCTGGCCCTACTCTCTTCAGGCCACTGCTTTGCATCTAGGGCTACATAACAGATTGTCAAAGCACCTCTTCTATAAAGGAAAAGGCTGGATTTTGAGACACCTACACAATTGAAAATGCACTTTGCAGAGCAGTCCCTGCTTTGCACCAGGCTCTTTGCAGCTGAAGATGTGTCCTGTGTCCAGATGCTGTCCACACGCACAGGCTGTGGTTAAGCATCACCTTTCTAACTCAGACACAACTATCTTACCTAAATAACTTAATTGTTAGCAAAAGTTTTACTCAATAGCACAACTTCATCTCCATGCAATGGCAAACCAAATTGAAGACAGTGTGGGAGACAACCATACCTCTTATGGCAGCAGGGAAGGGGTTTGCAAACTTATCCACATACTCTTCCTCTGCATTTGCCTCCTTTCCTCTGAAGATGATCTGGACAGCACCCTGGGAACAGGAGGGCTCAGTCAGTGACAGTCCCTCAGGCCATGCCCTCCAGATGAGGGCATGGGACATCCCCCCTGCCCAGAGCACCAGGACAGCCCCTGGTGCTGGCATGGCACTGGTGCTGCTGGCAGGGCACTGCTGCACCAGTGACAAGGGCCTGGACTCACCTTGGCTCCCATCACGGCCACCTCAGCTGTGGGCCAGGCGTAATTCACATCTCCCCGCAAGTGCTTGGAGCTCATCACGTCGTAGGCACCCCCGTAGGCCTGTGACACAAACCAGGGCACCACTCCAGGAGTGGCCCTGCAGCAGCAACAGCCTGCATTGCTCCTGCAGCTTTTTCTAGGCCAGAGACAAGCAGCTGGGGCTTTTATCTGAAGGAGAGCGTGAGCATCTCCACTTTGTGGCAGCAATCTCCTGGGAACAGACACCACTTCAACTAGAGCCCCAAAAGAGCAAGGAAGGGGGCTGCTGAGCAAGCCCATTCTGCAAGGCAGGCAGGGAGGGGTCCGTGTGTATCCAGACCAGCAGGCCTCAACTTGCACCCTGCACATGCACACAAACCAGCCAGGCAGTGTGCTTCTGGAATTTCCTGGCCAGGGAATGCAGCACTCAGGCTCTGCAGTGCTCCACTCTGAAACTGGAAATGCTCCAGACAGCAGTGATGAACAGATACTGCAGGACTGCAGAGCAAACTGCAGTGCAGTCCCTGTCAGGGCAGTACTGAACAGTGCAGCAAGGCTGAAGGATTGACAAGTACTGCATGGAAATACTTGGAACAATCAGAGAAGGCAAAGGAGCAGAAAGTTCTTTTTGATTTTTGCCATGATAAGCCAAAAGAGTATCAGAAAAACAAGCAGGAGGGGCAGAGCAGCAAGGAGAAGGCTAAAGTTGTAAGATGTCAGCCCCAGAGCTTATAGCAGTAGGGTGTCAGGTACCTTATGGAGAAAGGAAGATGAGGTAGAGCATAGCAGAAGTCTGGGGAGGAAAAGAAGCCACATGAGTGTTCAGCATGAAGACACAGCAGAAGACAGATGCAGCCAGTGCTGGGTTTGCAGAGGGAGGCTCAGGATGCAAGATGGGAGAAAGCAGAATTGCTGCAAACAGATGGCATCTCCTGAGTGAGACAGGCTGGGTGACATGGAATAAGTACTTGAGTGAAGGCATTCCAGAGAAAAAGGGAGCAGAAACTGGAAGTTCCAGAGGGGTACAGAGACAAGAGGAAGGAAGGAACTAAGGCAGTGGTCTGGAAATAGAAGTGGCCTCTCATAATGTTATACAAAGAGGTGTTACCAAAGAGACAGAGATGCGACAATGATAGAAAGCACCACTGGGACAGACACACAAAGCCTGGTTTAACTAAAATTGCCACTAGTTCAAAGAGGAACTCTGGAAGACCTCCATGGAATTTGCCAGCTTACCTTTCTAGTGATGACAGTGATCTTGGGCACAGTTGCCTCTGCAAAGGCAAACAGCAGCTTGGCACCGTGACGAATAATCCCACCGTACTCCTGAGCCGTGCCTGCCAAGGACAGGGAAGTGCTTCACTCCAGGGAATTCACACAACCCCTCATCTGTCACCAGGAGCAAACCAGGAATTGGAATGCTGAATAGTCACGTTCTGATGCTTTGAGAACTGCAGAGGGCTCAAGGTAAACCATGGTTTATACACCACCACAGCCATATTAATACCCTGGAGAAGATCATGCCGGGCACTGTTCTCTGCAAGATACTGGGCACCTCAAAAATCAGAGCAGCAGCTGTTTGTATGGAAGGTCACAGAAGCAAAGCTCAGCAGATGGGACCTTCCTAGGAACAAATTACAGTAAAGCATCTTCAAGACTCCAGATGTGACCAGCAGTAGGAAACAGCTGAGAGTCACTTCTCCAGAAACCTCATCTTCCAAGCCCTCTCTTTTAGGAAAAGCAGAAAGCAGCTTGGCTGCTCTACCATACTGAGGACCTACCCTAGTTGTCCTTCAAGGCAGCTCAGCACGATGGACCTTAAAAGACAGAGCATGAATTCCACGGCAGGTGCTTCTGGAGAATGATCACAGGCAGCAAACAGGAATGCAAGCCATCCACATGACAGGATACTCAACACCCTTCTGTCCCAAAGACGGGCTCACCTGATTGGACTTGGAATCGGCAATCCCCTGTAATTTATTTTTAGGACTGTGGATTTTAGACCACTGGATATAACTCTTCAATAACTTCCTAGCAGTTTATTCACCTCCTGACTTTAGCTTTTAGGACATGGAAATGGGTTTTCTATGGATTTTTTTTTTTAATCTAAGTGAAACTTCTTTTGTGAGATTGAAGATCTTACTTGCTAGTGTGCTTGCTGGCTTAACATTACTGTTTCCCCTCAGGCATCAGTTGAGTGTCTGAAAATTTCTGCCAACACTTACAAATGTCTGCTCTCAGCTGCAATTTCACTTCTGATTCTTGCCTTTCCCTGCAGCTGGTGGGACCTGCCAAGCCCACAGACCCTTCCTGCAGTAAAGATCAGAACAGCCAGGGAGATTCATCCCCAAGGAGCAGCCTGAGCCCAGCTGGGACACCCAGCCCAGTCCCAGGAGCTGGGGAGCACTCCCAGACCCTGTTTCTAATCCACCCTTAGAACAGAGCAGCCATTAATGCTTCCAGTGTAAGACCATGCAGGTATCTGAAGTATTTACACTGCCACCCTTGACCAATTAACATAAACTCTTTTTTGGTCACAGATTCAGTCCCAACCTTGTTCTAAATATGTATTTTTATCCAGTTACAGGTTATGAACACCTTCAATGTCATCTCTGTGCACCCTGTGAAAAATGGGGCTACTCAAGTGTTTGGGTCACTGATGCTGGGAGAGGTTTTGTAAACTGCTGTGAGCCAATGTGACATGTGCTTTCTCCTTCTGTACTAGACAGGGAGATGGGATGAGGATGCCACCCTCAGAATTTGTTACTTAATCTGAGATTTCTAATGCTGATGGGCTAATCTTGCCAAATCCCTTAAAACACAACAGTTTTTGGATCATAATCAAACCTCAGGTCTCATCTCTTCAGGTTTGTCTTTTTTATTTTTCTTCTGTTTAGCTGCTTTCAAGCTGACATTTTATTGTGCAGTATCAAGTCACTACTTTGAATTAGCTGTATGGAAATAGTTCTTGATTCAGAGTAACTGCTCAAATCTGGGTTGCTGGAGTGTCTGCTTACACCAAGCCACTGCCTGGTTCGTACCAGAGGAGGTGGCTGAGCCTACACTGGGGAGAAAGGAGAGGAACTCCTGGTGAAAATGAGCCAACTCCATTGTGTTAAAGCAGGAATTGGAATGCTGAATAGTCACATTCTGATGCTTTGAGAACTGCAGAGGGCTCAAGGTAAACCATGGTTTATACAATAGTATTAACATTAGATTTGACTGTACAACATTTAGAGTCCTCTCTCAACCTGTTTTGTAATGGGTCATTTTAATATTACCTGCTCAGAGAGCCTGTGCTGAAAGCAGGCTCATCACAGCCCTTTCCTCACTGATGTACCTCCAAACACAGGCATTTTCCACTGAGAAGAGTCTTGGAGCATCAAAGAAGCTTTAAGAAGCCAGACCATGAGGCAAGCACATTGTCCTTTACCCTACCTTTATCTTGGAGTTTTACATCACTGGAACCCAGGAGCTGGAAGCTGGTTTTCTCTATCTTTTCTGTCTTTCTGGTTTTCTCCCCACCTTCTAACTCTTTTCTTACAGAATGTGACATTGAATGGGTTTAAGTGTTTTCTATGTTCAGTGGTCTAAGTCTGTGTTGTGATAAGTGATGTTATGTTGCATTTACTCTTTTGCTACTGTTCCTTAATTTTCTATAATTTTTCAGTGAACTTCAGAGGGTTTTATCTCTTGAGACTGTTTGGTTGGATTTTCTCCTTTGTGTCTACCCAGAGCAAAAGAACCTTGGTTTAGCCCTAGTTCTGAGTGACAGGGCTGTAACAGCCCCTCTGGGCAGCAGGTGGAGGAGGCAGGTTTTCCTGCTGCAGCAGAGCCTTAAGAGCAACCCGTGCCAGGATCAGCTGAGGGACTGCAGCAGATGAGGGTGGAACATCCTCAAGTGGCCCTGGGTGCCACTGCTCCCTTCCCAGAGCCAGCAGTGCCAGCTCTCCCTCCATCCTGTCCTGCCTCCCCTGGCCCAGCACAGCCTGTGCAGGGCCTGCTGCTGCCACCCTGCCCAGCAAGAGCTGTGGAGAGCAAACATCTAAAAACACAGCTCAGCATTTACCTCGGTTCACCACAGCCATCAGTGTCTCTTCACACCACTTACAACAGGGCAGCATCTCCAGGGAATGCAGGTTTTTTCCTTGCACAGGTCACAGCTTTTGGCAGTAGGACAGAGCTTCCAGTGCAGGGCATCCCCAAGCCTGGCCCTGGCAAACTGGCATCCCAGTGTCTCTGCCAGGCTGCTGGAGACTGCAGTATTACCTGACTGTGTGTCTCTCTCCTCAAGGAACTCCAGCAAAGCCTTGTGACTCCTGGACACACTGGTTAGTTAGGCACTATTTCATTTTCCTACAATTTTTTTGCATGTTTCACTATCCTTTTGTGATGACTACTGTACTTAGAATACAGAGTTTCTGTCCCAAAGAGTGGGATTTTAAAACCTGGTTTAAGTCTACTGCAGCAGAAGTCTTCTCAGAGTTCTGAAGATGGGTTTTTAGCACCAACACCACCATGCACACATGAGCTCTAAGGGTAAGGCATACCTGGCAGAAACCCAGGAACATCCACAAACGTGATCAGGGGGATGTTGAAGGCATCACAGAACCGAACAAAGCGGGCTCCTTTCACAGAAGAATTTATGTCTAAGCACCCTGAGGTTAAGAACACAGAAAAAGGGGTTAGCAACTCCAGGGATCTGCAGCAATTCAAGGCAACTCAAAATCACACTGTTTTAGCTGTAGTGTCTTCTTAAAACAAAGGAAAAGCTCATCTGTAGATAATGTGGAGATAATCTGCCATGAAGCATTCCTGGCTTAGGACTAAGATCACAGAACCAGCTACACTCAAAGGCTCATTTCATTTTTCTGACCCCTGTGTGCAAAGACTTTATATCCCAAAACATAACAGTTTAATTATATACATGTAATTTAAAATATTTTTTCTGTAACCTTCTCTTCATTAGTATTTTTCAGATAGTCATATTGAAAGGTTACAGAGTTCCCTATTAAAAACCCCAAACATTAAACAGTCCAATAATATTTTGAGAAAGATCAGCACTTCTAGTGGAGACACTGCAAAGTGTTTCTGTTCTGTTTCAGTGCCATTTAGAATTACAATATGCACAATTATATTAAAACAAAACACATTTTGTATCAAAGCTTCTATATGAAACATTAAAAAGAGCTGTTAAAATTTAAAATGCTAAATGAAGGTTAAATTTATATTAAAACCTTCTGTCTAGTATATCTTGATGGTCATATCTTGTGGAGATGAAAAAAATGAAACACTATACTGGGTTGTCTGATTTTCCCAAACAAATAGATACACGAAATAAAAACAAGGAGTAAACCAGAACATTGTGATTGGGGAAGGTCACTTCAGAAATTACTGAGTAAGAAGAGAAAGCAAAACCCCGGACAGTTAAGAAGGGTGATCTTAGCTAGAGCTTCATGTTGTACCTTCACATCCATGTGAGGTCAAGAGCTCCACACCTGTACATCTGAAAGCTTTGCACTGTTCAGCTACAGTGAGATAACCAAGTCCCCTCACCCTACAGATGAGTTTTCGGGATTTTACTGCCATGGAAGGAAGTGTGCATTTTCCATGCTATGATTACCCCAGTTAAGTGCAGGCTGCTACCAAATGAATGGTGCTCTTCTCCCTGCCCCCCCACCTTGTGTGCACCTGCTGCTGCTCCTCTTGGGCTGGATACAGCTCTGATTTAATCACCTGGGAGCAAGATCACCTTGTTAGCCACTTAAGAAATGATTTGCAGTTCGTTTCACAGCTCACAGCTGCGTTACAGCAAGGTTCAAGACAAAGCAAGCAGTGGAAAAACACAGAATGAGTGGAGGAGCACACAGCACAACAGCTCTGACCATACACAGCATGCAGAGAAGGAGACAGAGGCAAGGCACTGTTAAGAGTCTCACATTGGATTCTGACCTGAGGCTACTTTGGGCTGGTTGCCCACGATCCCAACCGTCCGTCCGTTCATCCTGGCAAACCCAACCACGATGTTCCTGGCATAGGCCGGCATGATCTCAAAGAATTCCCTCTCATCCACAATCTGCAAAGGAGAGGCAGGCAGAGCCCATATGAGGCCAAACAGGTGCATAAGTAGACAGGCAAACACAAACTCGGTTACCTTAGTATTGCAACTTTTAAAACAGTTCAGAACTTGCAGAATTTTGAAGGAAAGAGAGGGAGGAACCTTCCAGTCTTTACAACGTTCGTTGCAAGAATTAACTAGTCCTACAAAAACTATCAAAACTGTCAGTTAAGTGTTCCATCAAGGAACACCTTTATGACTGAAGGGAGCCTTTCTTCCTGGCTTAGAACAGAATGCAAATCACATGTTAAGAACTTCTTTCTCACATCTTAATTAGCAACAGGCTTACAGACCGATTTCCAGTGATAAAACGGTACTTCCTGGAGCTCAGAAGCTCCCCGTGACACGTTTGATGCAATCTCTCTCTCTTGGCAAGCTCAGAGCCCTTTCCTGGGGCAGCCAGCACAGCCCTGCTGCCACAGGGTCAGTGCTGGGTGTGCCCCAGGGAATGCAGTGCCCAGCCAGCATCCATCTGGAACCACACACCGTGTGGCTGCACTTCCCTCGGGCTGGAGCTCAGCGTATGCCCTGCCAAGGGACAGCCCTGGTGCATAAGGCACGATCAGAACTCAGCACGTTCCAGGAGATCAGAATTATCCATGGTGCAGTAGCGACACCTACACATGGCTGCCTGGGCTTCCAGCAGGATTCCCCAGTTCCATCTGTTTATGGCAGCTGTTCCCATACACGCTGCAGTGTGCCAGTCATTTCATTAGCCTCAGTCTTAGAAAAGTTGTGAAAAATGTGAACAGTGTAAAAGTGGTGTTATTTCTTTCCTTAATACTTCCCAAAATCTGTGGGAAGGCTTGAGGGTTTTATCCTAATTCACCTAATGATTTTTATTACATGCCACCTTTTAAATTTCATTATACACAGTGCTGAAAATCACAGTGGAAAAATCCAGGGATTAAAAAATACCCTGAGCTTACTTTTGCCACTAAAATGAGTCTAAATGCAGCCAGTTGCAAACTTTGTAATTTCAAAAAAATAGACATGTATTTTCTTGTACTGCTTATGTACATAACTATCTTTTAGTGTAAACAGGGAAGGGTAAATCTCTGCATTCTGGGTACTTTATTACTTTTATACAGAAGTGCCAGAATCCAAGACAGAAGCACCAAGGTTCAGGGAGGGGCCAAGTAACAGATCTCAGGGGGGATTCTGACCCCAAAAAGAACTAAATTCCAGCATCCTTCATCTGTATACATACATATGTATACAGCATAAAATGTATCCTGAAAACAAATCTTAGGATTCTGTTAAAATATTTTTCCCCTGTATTTTTTGTTGCCCATTCACAGCTACTACACAGGTAGAAGTAGTGACTTATAAAGACTGAAATAAGTAAGTAACAGTATCTATACCTTCAGTGCCATTCTACTGGTTTCTGTCAATCATTTAGACCCAGACTGTAATAAATGCATCTTTAATCTGAACACTGCCAGACTTACGGAGTGTATGATATCCAGCATATCATAGGCTTTGGCTGACTCACTCGGGACAATGGTGTCCAGCTCTGGAACCGGGCGGTCACTGTGGAGAGCAGGTAAGTGTGAGCAACAACGTTTAAAGACCAAATGCAAGACCAAAAACTCAAGTAAACATTTCCACCTCTCAGAAACCTCCTTAAATATGGAGAAAGGAAGAGATTGTTTTTAATCTCTGGCAGCCTGAGCAGCCTCCTCCTGGCGGAGACCCCTGTTCCGCAGCCGGCTGTGCTTAGGGAGCCGGAGCAGCGCGGCCCGGAGGCGGCCGGGCTGCAGGGGGCACTGCCGGCTCACGGGACAGACGGGTGTGGCTGATGCCTTAAGTTCTAGCTTGCATATTTTTCGGATTCTCTACTGCCTTAGTGTGTGACTCTGAACTTCATATTAAGCGTTAGTAAATTCTCTTCACAGGGTAACAGACAAAACAATCCTTTTCCAGCTTGAGAAACAAGGACAACTGTTACAGCTCAGGCCCAAAAAGCATAAACAACAGCAAATTGAGGAGAGCAAACCAGGAGATGGGACTTCATAAGCCGTAACTGGACAATTGACCCCAATATGTAAATGGACCAAAACTTATCAAAGCGTGAAAACTCATGACCAATTGTCCATCTTGGCCAGAGCCACAGCCAGGCTCTTGTACTCCCCAAAGTGTATCCCTTTAAAGCCTTTTAATGAATACCTGTTTTATTCCTTTAACTCTGTCTAGCCTCTGCTCTGGGTCAGCCTCTCAAGGCACCGTGGGGACACAGCTGAGAGGCTGCCGGGCTGCAGGGGACACGGGGACAGCAGTGGCAGAGCCCAGTCCCTACAGCTGGCCAGGCAGAGCCCCTCTCCCGGGGTGGCCCGAGGCTCCCTGGCACACAGCAGGACCTCACCCTGCACCCTCACCTGCCCTGCCCATGCTGGCACCCGGGGCTCTGAACACACTGAGCTGCAGGAAACCTTTCCATGCTCATTTCCCCTGCCCCAAACAACAGAGAGTGGGGAAAACATACAAGAAAACATATCCACACTGTGTCTTCCCTTCAGAGGCTGTGTTTAAAGACTCTTTCCTGTTTCTCCACTTACAGTGACACATTTTCACATGGAGTTTTCCTGTAACAGAGATCCTGCCATGCCATCAGCAGTGACAGGATCAGTTCCCCAGCTTTGATCACATTACCCTCATTAGGGATCCATTCAGCAGTGGCACCCACTGGGTCTGAGGATTCAGTGTGGGGGTGTCAATTTTTATGAGTCACCACTAAGAAGGTTTCAGGGAGTATTCTATTTGTGCTATTCCATAAAAATAGTGATCTCTGTAACAAATGGTGTTTCTGTGGGAGTTCTTACTGAATTAATATTTTAACAATGCAATGACTTAGTACATTTTGAATAAGACAACACAAGGCTCTAGACACAAAATTCAAAACTGAAGAAGGTGATGTGCAGTTTGACAAAATCAGACAAAAGTTTAAAGTGCAGCCCCATGGCTTGTCTCTGTGCTCCCTCAGACACAGGGGACAAGGCAGGCACAGCCCTTTGCAGGGAAGGGAAGAGACACAGCTATTTATAGAACAAACCTGACAGCAACACTTCAAGTGCTTTTTCCATACAAATACAAATACTGCATACAAACACTTCCATAAAATGATATAATGGAACCTTAATCTGAAGAAGTTAAACTTGTTTTAACATACTAAACCCTAAGATAAAAATTATTCTGAATTTTCTTGAGTGTAAAGTAGATACAGATGTGCTCCAAGCTCTGTCCTGTGACACCCAAAGGACAGAAGTGAATAAATTACTGCTCCCATAAATTCACAGTGCTGAAGGAAATTTTAACAGCATTAAAATAGCCATCAGCAAAATGAAGACATTATCCAGGATACCACATTTGAAAATCTCCTTCAAACATTTAGACACAGGACATCTGGAGCTTGCTGCTGCACTCACTGGGCTTCACGGGTGTTTCTCACAGCTCCCACTTAGTGGCACAGAAGTGCTGCTCATTGTCAAAGCCTGTGACAGCTGGAGACACCCTCACCAGGTGGACACTGGCTTTCACTCAATGCAGAACTGAACCTGCACTTGGTTACCAACAGCTGGCAATAACCTCCTCCAGAAGTGTGCAGAGACACAGAGAGAGGTAAAATCCCACCATGCCATACAGCAAATGCCATGCATCAGACACCTCCCAAAGGCCAGGGACATCTCACCAGGGACAGCTGGGTACTGCAAGAAACTTGTAAGTCCTTGGAACCCAGGCCACTGACAACACACACTCACCAACACAAGCTTCAGCAGCCAAGGCTAGCATTTTTCAACACCAAAAAACTTACCTAAACAGAGGGAAAAACAAACCAACCAAACAACCCCCAACAGCCCCAGGACTTCACAATAAAAGCACAAGTAGTTTACATTTAATTTGCATCATTTATGGAAATTTTTGGTGTGGTGAAAACAATGCAATAAGAAAGCAATTACTCTAGAGGAACAGACTGGGACTGGAGCAGCTGTAAGGATCAAACACATCAATCCCAAGCAGAAGGAATCCATTAAGATGTCAGTTTGTCCAGATGAAATAATACCAATCTGTACATTAGGAACATAAATGGGAGAACTATTGGAGATGCTGCTATAAAACCAGATAAATTTAACAAACAGATCTGCCTTCACATGTACAAAGGCTACTAAACTGAAGGTCTTAGTACAAATTGCATTTATTATATCTCATGCCTAGTAAAAGATTAGTTCTTTTTTTTTTTAAGGAACACAAATCTCTTATACTTTAGTAGCTACAACCTCACTGACCACTTCTCACAAATAAACTGCCTGTTATAAAGTACATTGATTTAAAAAATGGACTGTTGTTTCTGTAGTGAAAATTAAAATACCAAAATCAAGTCTGTAGAGATCAATTATCCCAGTACAACTTGTTGAATGCTTATAAAGATCATGATAACCTCAAAGATAATCCCCCAAACTCAGCAAATAATACAAGAGATTTGCTTTGGTTTTGTCACTAACAAACCTGAGCAGTCAAGAATAGAACAGAACCAGATTGGGACAGTTTAATGAACTCCTGAAGATCAACACCTACCTCAGAAAAATGAAGGACTAGTAATTAATTGACCTGTCTGGCTATTCTCTAAAAGAAAATGGCAAATTTATTTTTTAAAAAGTGAGAAATGTATCTCAGGGACCAGCACAGTGATTTGTAAAATCAATCCAAAAGCACCTCCCCAAACAAACTGAAACATAGACATTGAAAAGCACAGTGGGAGATAAAGAGAAAATAACCTTCCAGACTCACATGTTAAAATCAACACACATGAAGAGCCCCAAGACACATCACACACATGTGAGGAGCTGAAAGGAACATGTTCAGGCACCACTCCCATGCAGGGGAGTGCAACAGCCTCTTGAGGGTTCCTAGGGAAAGGGCTGAATTTCGAGTGCAGCTGGAGCTTGGGTCCAAATGCTTTTACTCCACTGACATTCTCTGCCTCCCAGCCCTACCGAGGCTCTCTGCTCAGTGTCCCATGCTGTCTCTCTAGCTGTCTCTCAGCTCCTGGAAAAATTCCCTGATAAAAGTCCAGACAGTTGCCATTTTTCCCCTCTTGAAATGGCTCAAGTTCTTCCTGGATTAAGTTGCCAACTCCACACAATGACATAACACACAAAGCTTTCTGCCTCCTTGTTGCCTGCCCACCTCTAACGAGCAGAACTCGTCCAACAGACAAAGCTGACAGAGCAGAGCAAGTTCTCCCCACTGCCACTCACTGCTATTTCCTACCTCTCTCGCTTGTTCCAAGGGACTGGGCAGCCCACCTGGACAGAGATTGCTTTTCCCACATTCTGCTCACAGCCTGGACAACTGCCCTTTCAGAAAACAGAATTAAACCTAACAGTGAACACACACATGTTGGAACACTTCCCATATTCACATATCAGAATGTAGACTTATCTGCTAAGATCCCAGGCACAGAACAGCCATGTCTCTGTGCCCCTTAAGCCAGAGAAGCCATGAAATGCATGCTCAGAGAGCACTGAGCTCAGCCAGGCTCCCTTACCTGGGATCATGGCACTCGCAGACTGGAGCTGGGTCCCGGTTGCTCGGGGGTAAATAATTAAAGAACTCTCGGAGGTTCAGCAGAGCATCGATGTCATTCTCAAAGGCTCTGTGTGCAACTCCTGCACAGACACAGCAAAGCAGGTGTGGAAATCATTGTGCAAGCCTTCCTTTCCAAATAGATACCAATGAAGATAGAAACAAGCAACAGCAAGACTCTTTAAACTTGAGCTGTTAACAATCAGGAGTCTTAAGCCACCAAATCTCACCAGCTAAAAATATCTAGAAAACATGTACTATGTCAGACTTCCTCCAGAACAGATCTGGATTGCTGACCTCATATTTAAAATAATGTGAAATGTGCAGTGGTTTATCAGCTGGCACAGCCCTACCTGGACTCCAGCCTTCTGGAACTCTGATCAGGTTACTGTGCTGCACCCAAGTGTTGGACTACAAGTGCTTTTATAAAAGGGCTGGATCTGGGCAGCATCTGTGTGTGTGGTTTTGGTTCATCACCAGCTCGGTCCACACAGAATTTGAGATCCTAAGTCATTTGAGTCTTGAGAAGATTCATGACTCACAGACATTTTCACAGAGGGGAAAAGAGGGAAGAAGTGCTTCAGCCCACACTGCCATTTAGTTTATAGTTAATCAGTTCAATCAGTCACATTAGTGAGCAAACAAAGGACTGTTGAGAATCTTTCAACCCATGCAAATGTCTGGACAACAAACAAAAAAACCCCACCCAGGCTGACTTCACTAAGCCCTACTCCCTGACAGTGTTCCCACTTCCAGCATATTTTGTGGGTTTTCTACTTTCTCTTCCAAATCCCAGAACTCTCCCACATTCCCACTCTCCTTTCATTGTGTTCTGTTACTAAACAGGAGCTGCAGGAAAGCAGATGCAGAGTCAGATCCTGTGCTTAGGCAGAGCTTTGTCCCTTAGACTCATCTGGATTGGCCAACGGGCTGTTTAGCCAGAACTAATTCATTTACTCTGAGCACAATTAGCATGTCCAGCAAAGCCCCCAGCTCTCACCAGACACTGCAGTGTGTGTCTTTGCACCCCCGAGCTGCTCCTGGGTGACATCTTCATTGGTGACAGACTTCACCACGTCAGGCCCGGTGATGAACAGGTAGGATGTGTCCTGAGGGAAGGGGAAAAGCAGAAACACTGAATGCCAGTGCCAAGATGCAAAAGCACCTAAGGAACAGCCACAGCCTCTTGAAACTTCCCTTAAAATAAGAAGAGGGACACATTTCTTTAAAAGGCTGCATTGCATTAAAAATCCACTGAAAATGCAATTGTCCACAAGTTATCTGGGAACGTTTTTCTCAACTTTTCATACAAAATAAAAATCCAAAGCAGGAGATCATCTTGGAAAACACCCATTTCCATATGATCACTTAGTGTGTGATCAATGTCACCAGCAGCAGCTCAGGACAAACCCTTACCTTCACCATGAATGTGAAATCAGTTAAGGCAGGAGAATACACGGCTCCACCAGCACAAGGACCCATGATGAGGGAGATTTGGGGAATGACACCAGAACACAAAACATTTCTCTGAAATAGGGAAAAAAAATGGTTTACCAAAGAAGTGTGTCTTTAAATCTGTGCCCAGATTATGGCAGAATTCACCATGACGAACAGGACTGTTTTATCTACTGGCAGACAATTACCTGGACAGAATCTCTTGATGCAAATTGAACCAAAATGAGTTTCTTATTTCTGTTCCCGTACAGCTGATTCCCTATACCATGCAATGACTGCAAAGGAGATAACACGAGCCACCTCAACAGATGCTGCCAGGGCAAAAACTGCACTGAACCTGCAGTGGGAAGGAGTGGATGTCCCTGATATTTGAATGTGTAGGTACACTGTGTTCAGAGGTAGAAGTAAGCTTACTGACCAGCTGGGGGAGGGATTATTTTTAAAATCAGGTTTCTGCACTGGCTAGAATTTTACACAAAGGTGAATGGTTGCTGTCCAACATGGATGGTGTGTTGTTCAAAAAACCACTTACACTGCTTGTTGCTCAAGTGGGTCACAACAACTTCTGTAACTGTTCCTCCCAGACTGTACCACCCCAAAACCTGTCAGCACCTGACTAACCTGACATCCCACCTGCTTTCCTACTGAAGGGACAGTGTCCTGTATGTGCAATTTGATGCAAAGTATTTTAGCAGCATAAAAAGGAATGTAATTTCTATGAAAAAATGAGCAGTAGTGCACCTTGGGGAAAAATTCTTGTATTAACCCCAAAAATCCTCTAGGACATAAAACTTTCACCAGAGCAATCACCAGTGGACATCCATTCTCACTACACATTGGATCACAGAGCTTTACAGAGCTCAGCATGACCCTTGTTTAAGACATGGGTACATTTCCCCAAACCCAAGAAAGGAACCAAGGTCTGAGTCTGTTTTACCCATTGGATGAAACAGAACAATAACCTTAACATTTACTTACAAACACCCACTTGCATGTTTTGTCCACCTTTGAGGATGCCAAACTCCCTGTCCATCCAGCAGCCTACTCACCAAAAATATGTCTGCATAGCCTGCCAAGGACTCCACTCCCTCCTGGATGCGGGCTCCTCCAGAGTCATTCAGCCCAATCACGGGTGCTCCAACCATGGCAGCTTGATCCATGATCTAGTGATGAACACAAACTCCTCAGTACTGACCCAGCTGAACCCCAAAAATATCTGCATTCCCAGCTGGGCATCTCCACACTCAGCACTGGATTTGGCTAATGAATATGAGTGACACGGTCCCAGGAAAGGGGCCTGTGCAGCTGAGGGCTCCCCCTGTTCATCAGGGGCCTCAACTGCACCTCAAACACCCCCTCAGATATGTCTCATCTGCTCCTCAAAGTTTGTTGCAGTGGTGGCTGTGGAATCTCTTTAAGCTGTATATTCTAATACTTGATTACCCTTTTTAGAACTTCTTTAGGAGGACTAAATTACATCTTTCCTCCAGAAATTTAAACATTACATTTGTCTTGATACACAGCAGTGAGGGAGAGAAATTAGCTATTCTTGGCCTTTACTTTTGTGAATATTCAAGTACCTCAAATCTCTTTTCAGCCTTCATATTCCTCTTCATGTTTCTAGGCTAAGCACCATCAATTCAGTCCCACATGCTGTTTTCTAGGGCTCTGATAATTTTGGTTACTTGCCTCAAGATCATACACAATGCTATAACAGAGCCTTAAGTAGGAGGACTGAATTCCTTACATTCCTTGCACAAAATATTCCTGATTATTGAATTCCAGTAAAATGTCTGCCATTTCCATAAACTTCAGCACTGGCACATTATGTTCTGTTTTAACATCAAGATCTGTTTTAGTTCCTAAATAATTTTTGTAAAACATCAGTTAATCCCTATTTTGAATTTTGAAGTTGCTTTTCCCTGCCCTTTCAATCATTGTAATAAAATTATTTCAGACAATCTTTAACTTGCTAAGTGATTTACAATTCCAGTCCCATCTTTCAGAGTGCTTGTAGCATCAATCTTGAATTTTATATTGCCTAGAAACACAGAAACTACACTTGGTGCCACTTAGGTCAGTGGTGTCTCAGAGGACCCAAAACTCCAGCCCAAACGGGAGCTGGTGGTAACTACTTCTGTACAGTCCTAGAATTCACTGACATGTTCTGCTGTTTTCCAGGGACCTGGAATATTTATGGATTTTTTTTCCCAAGGCTCTTCCAAGTTCTTCCTAAAACACTGACAAAGACTGAACCCCAAAGCAACTGATGCCCCTAGAGCCTTCCAGCTTTGCATCTCACCAAGAACAGCACCAACCAGGAAGGACACATATTTTTTTCTAGTTCTGTGATCAGACCCTGCTGCTGTAGAAAGAAGAGATGAAAGAAAACCCACCAGAAAGCATCCCATCATTCCAGTGCCATTCCATCCCTCCCCAGTACAGACACCACAAAGCTCCAGTATGAAAGGGTAATTCCTTTCCAATATCAAGACCTGCTAAAACCAAATAGTTGTTATTGAGCCCAAAGTCTTCATGTTTCCTAGTTTTATACCCACACACTCCTGAGGAGCCTATGGCAAAGAGTAGTTATTTCCACAGCATAAAAGGCCTTGTGCACCAAAAATCTTGTTTCTGATTTCACAGCAAGAAAATTCAGGAAGGTTTCCCAGTTCACACCACTCAACACTCATCCATGAAAGAGTTCTTGTCTCCCCAGTCCTGGGATTCAAAAACTCTTCTCACAAGACAAGCAGACAAACAGGAATAAATAGCCACAAGTGTCTGATAAGAGAAACTCTCAGGGTCAAGGTGACCTCAAAGTTGTAAAACTGTTTATCTTCAGGCTGTTTACTTGTTACATTTGCTTTCTTTTAAAATGTTACACCCTTTCACAGCACACTGGTTAGAGGAAAAAGTTTCTCCGAATTCATTCCTCTTCTCTCCAGTGGACAATGAGTAGTTAATTTATATTTGTACTTGGCAAGTCTCTCATCCTTTGCAGTAGAGTAGAAGACATAACTTCATGTAACAAAGTCTGTATAACCTGGAAAAGCTCACTCAAACTCAGAAAATTTCCAGAGGCACCACTCTCAGGCATGGCCCATGTCAGAGTCCACTGAAGTCGTCACCAAACATTTTCTCCAAAGTCATTATCACAACAGACTAAAAAAAAAGAATGCTGACAATTTTTTTTTGTTTTCTTCTGTGCCATATTACCTTGCAGATCTTCTGGGCATGAACTCCAGATAAACTGCCTCCAAATACAGTAAAATCCTGAAAGTAAAACAAATTTTCAGGTTAGGGAAATAATAATTTCAGTAAAATGTTGTCAATTATTGCTAGAAAAAAAAACATAATCCTACAGTGGTCTATATTTGGATGCTGCTTCAAAACAACTGACTCCCTCAGTGCAGCCTGCAGAGGATGCCAGCTCAACACAAGCATCTAGGAGGAAATACAAACCTGGACACACATCACCATTCTAGAGTTATGTCCAAGGGGTGCTGCAGGGACTGTGTCAGCCAAAATCTCTAACAGGCCCTGGGACTGATCCAGAAGAAAAAGAGGATATTGACACCTCCTGGCACAACCAGAGCCAGCTCCTGGGGAGTTTCTCTGCTGCATTCCCACCCAGTCTTACTCCCAAAGAAGCCCCCAAAACTGTGTGGACAGAGACAGCATGGCTATGACTAACATTTGAACCAAAAAGGTTCAGCATCTCAGGAGGCAGCTCAGTTTGGAGGGGAAAAGGTCTTTAAATATAAAAAGGGAGGGATGTATCATGAAGGGGCACTCTTAAATTCTACTAATACAAAAACTGCCCCCTACTTGTGTTCTGAAATGAAGGTTTGTGTTTGGCTCCTCTCCACGTGCTCAGGCCCATGTATCAGTGACTCTCCTTGGAAGGAGCACACATCCAAGACAAAAAAGGCAGAGTGTACGCCTTGCTCCAAGGTAACACAGCAACAGCCACTTTGGCCATGACAGCAAATGGAACAAAGGCTACTTTGTGGCCCAGAACAGAGCAGCACTTAGTAATGATCTGAAAGAAAGCCTTTCTTTCACAGTGAATGACCAAGATAAGTCTCTACCTAAGATGTTTCCTCTGAAATACTTTTATTTTAATATAAAAAATATATTTTGACATAAAAAGTATATTTTATGTATTTATATGCTATCTATCACAAGCCTTTTTGCTTCTGGTCTGAGGGTGCCCTGCTTCCTCCCACAGGTACATTGCTACATGGCCACACTGAGCTATTGTGAACGTATCCTTTGAAATAAGTTCACACTACTTAAAAACAAGTAAAACTTTACCTGACTGAAAACATAAGCTAGTCTCCCATTAATCCGTCCACGGCCAGTCACCACACTGTCACCAGGATACTGCATTAAAAACAGATAGATTAATTGAAAATAAGAGATAGAAAAATCAAAGCAACTATGATGTCAACTAAAATTTCCACAAACTCCAACTAAAACAAAGCAAAGACTGATTTCTTGGGAGGTTTCATCTTCCATGTCTGCAGTGGGGGCTCCACAAAGATTTTACCCAGCTGTGAAAAGGAAAACTTAGAGGTAATATCACATATTCTTTATGTATTAAAGATCAGTGAACTTAGCAGTTTCTCTTCAAATTTAGAATATCTGAAATTAAGACAAATCATGCTCTCAGAGATAGAATAGGATGTACCTTTTATCAGGACTAGCTGATGTTTTTGAAATAATTGACATAGTGCACAAACCTCTGAGGTGTTGATACGGGACAAAAACCAATCCTGGACAGGTCCAAAAATATAATTACAGTCACCTCAAATACTTGAACTTGACCTGTCCCACTTTTCACCCTGTAAATAAGGGAAGAAAGAACCAAGGAAATGAAGCCTGTGAGTCTTAAAATGTGCTTAATCTATATTGCATCACTTTCTAGTAAAGAAAATATATAGAAGTCTTTCAAGACAACATTAGGAAAGGAACTTTTTTACTGACAGCCCAGAAAGGGAATTTCAGGCACTGAAGTGCTTTTTGTTGTTTGGTATTAAAATTAAAAAAATAAAAAGGAAGGAAAACAGGGAAGTGTGTGCTGCAGGGCCCGCTCTAAGGACCACATAGGGCAGGTGATCTGCTGTCAGGAAGGTCACACTTGTCTGGTGCCTTTTTTCAGGCTGCACACACAGCACTGCTCTCAGCCCCTGGCACACAGAACAGCAGCACACACCTGTACTTCAGCCACTGCCATGTGAAGGTGACTCCCAAAAGCCCCAGCAGCCTACAGAGCAGCCTGGATGTAAGCACAAGTCCTACCCTACCCTCAGAAAGTTCCAGGCACTCTGAGAAATTCAATGCTAAACTAATATTCCAGCTCAGTGGCCACAGTTAGGTCATCTGTTGTGAAACTGTGCTCTGTAAACACAATCTGCAGCTCACTGAAGGGTGAATTCTGAAGCACAAGGGAAAAAATTAACCCTCTTGTCACACTCAGGACTCTGCTGCTCCTCCTCCTATTTTCAGAAACAGCAATTTCTTATCAGCAGTGTGATGTGTGATATATGCAGCATGGAGTAACTCGATGAGAGGCAACTCGGGCAGTTATTTGAGTTTGCTGGGGAACAGAGTAAAAAAAATAGAGGAAAAAAGATGATTGCTCTGCTATCCCCTGAGAGGGGAGGAGGTCTAACACAACATCCTTCCCAGCACCAAGTGTCATCAGCCTCTGTCTGACTCAACAAACAAATCCTTCACCTTTGCCATTCCCAGCACCCCTGCTGTTCCTTCCCTCACCCACAGGCTGACGACAATTGCTGGCTGCAATCCTACAACCTGAAGGACTGAAACCCAATGAACTGGTTAAAGAACAGCACAAACAGGAGTTATGGTCACTGTGTGCAGCACAGGGCACACACAGAGCAGCTCCTCACACCAACAGCCCACAGCAAACAGCCTCTGGCTACTGCAACACTGACAGTGACCAGGCACATCAGCACTGGCACTGACATGCCAGCAGCTCACTGGTCCCTTCTGCCAAACCACAGCAGAACACTCTCCCCAAGCAGAACATGAGCAGGCACCAGTTATCATGAGAGACCCTGGGGAGCCACGGATTTTCCCTGTGTGTGGAACTCCCTGTACCAGGCTGGTTTAGGACACACGGCCACATGTCCAGAAAGTGCCTGAGCAAGCAGGGTGCAAATGGCTAACAAAGCAGGGCAAATGCTGGGACTTCCAAACATCCAGTCAGATCGTAAAGCCCTCGAGGATTTTATGACTGTAGTTTGGCAGGCATAAATATAGATCTGAGTTGCTTCATCCAATAACTCTAATCCTACCTGTAGGGAAGCAGGAGTATCTACCTTGATTTTCTCCTCGTATCTGATCTGATTGACAAAATTGCACCAACAAAGCTCTGCAGCCTCCTCTACTGTTTAAAATGCAAATCTAAGACAATTCCCAGGAAGGTATGTGAACCAAACAGGTGACCTTATAAAAAAGATATCAAGTTTAGACAACAAAAAACTCTGTAAACTGGAAATTTGGAAACTCCGTTAAATGGAAACTAAGAGTAATAAGAGCAAATTTACAAAACAAAATTATACATAAAAAGAAAACAAATAGTAAAAATCTCATGTGAACAGAAGAACCCATTTCCAACCAGTGGGCTGGCTGCACAGAGGATGCTGAAACAAGAGTTACATGAAATAAAACTACCTTATTCTTACTAGAGTCCATCCCAAAGTCAGTACATCTGTGTTCCACAAACATGTCATATTCATCAAAACTGTCAGGGTCCAACAGCAGCAGAATTCGTTCCCTTGCTGTCAGCTTTCCCTGAAACAGAGCAAGCAACAATTAACAGAGCCATCAGGTGATTCTGGCTGTTTGCTGACCCCCAGCAGATGCAGTTTAATCAAGCAAAACCTCACCTGATCTGCTACACAGGGTCCATTAAGCAACTGCAGGCCCCCAAAGCTGGAAAGAGTCTATGCAGTAATTATCCTCAAAAACAAATCTAATGCAAGCCAGACTCTGAAAAGAAGGCTGACTGTGGGAGCAGCACTACCACAGGAGAAAGGAAACAAACTCAGAGACTTTTCAACAGGATATAAATGCATCACAGCTACTTTTGCCTACACATTTAAATGCTGCTATTAAGGTCTTTTTTCTATTCTTAACTAGGGAACTCTTCCACAGCTAGACCAGTCAACAACAACTCAGGGTTCAATTCACCACACTCAAATTTGATTATTTGATTGCAGTAAATAAGAGGGAAGTGTGATAGCCTGCAGGGATCTTCTTACAAAATCCTTCTGGCTTTTTCCCTGCTGTACACTCTTATGGACAAAAGTAGGGTAAGGGCCAAGAACAGAATCAGATGAACACATATACATGCCTGTTGCTCAGTATAATGTAGTAAAAAATTACTGCAAAGTTCTTTATATCATGACCCACCAAACAAATCTGTTCTTTCTAACCATGGTAAGCATCTGTCTGCAAAGGGCAGGGCACCTGGGGTGTCTCCTTTAGGGGATGAGGTGACCCTGCATCAACATGACATTGTAACACAGCTCAGCTTCTACCAAACATCTGACTGGTAGGCTAAAATGCTCATGAAAAGCAGCAAATGCAGGGAAGCCTAATGTAAGCCAAAGTTTTAGTTTATATAAAACATAAGCTGTTTGAGGCCCTAGACATGCAGAAGTGTTTATATATTGGTGTGTCAGTGTCCTGAATGTAACTCAGCAAGACTGAACTCTCTTCAGGTGCTGTATAACTGGGGAGGAACACTGCTGACAGGCAGAGTGATCACTGAGGGAGCCTTCATGGGAATCTCCTTGATGCCTACAAACCACCCTGCACCACACTGAAAAGGTCTCCCAGCAAGAAGCAATAAACAGAAACAGGAAACCTCTGCTGTCACCCCCACCAGCACTGCCTACATTCTGAACGACAGAGGCAGGAGTCTAAAAACCCACCTGTTGTCATCCCTCCCACCTGTCTTTTCCTCTGACTTATTTCCACTCTTCTAACTCTTTGCTCTCATCACAGAGATCAGCTTAAATTTGCCACAGCGGTGTAAAGAGAAAGCTGTTGCTCAGAAGTGTTAAGCAACCTAGAACTGATTTACCATTGACAGGCAGAAGTTGCAACTTCTGTCTACACTACCTGTCATACGTACTGCAGCCAACCTCGGTGACCACTCTGAGGTAAAGGAATTAGTAAAGGAATTGTTCTTTTTTCAACCCAGAGTAACAGTCTTAAGCGCAGCTTGAGGACACCTTCCCGCAAAGGGGCGCCTGCAGGTGCCACGCGAACCGCGAGTCCCCAGCGGAGCCGCGCCGTGCACGGCCTGCCCTCCCCGGCCAGCGTGCGCCCGGCGGCAGCGGGACGGGGCTTTGTCCCCGCCGGCCACCTCTGCTGGGCTCACCCGCTTGTGCTGGGCGTCGATGCGGGCCTGGCCGCCGCCGAGCAGCGCGGCGCGGCGCTTCTCCTCGATGCGCTGGGGCACGGGGGCCGAGCGGGCCCCCGAGGCGGCGCGGCCCCGGCACAGCCCCGCCGCCCGGGCGGCCCGGCTGTGGCAGGGGCGGTGCGGGGAGCACGGCTCCGCCAGGCCCAGGCAGGGCCGCTGCCAGCACCGGGCCCGGCGCAGGCCGCTGCCTGAGCCCAGGCCCCGCTCCGCCGCCCGGGCGGCCCGGCTGTGGCAGGGGCGGTGCGGGGAGCACGGCTCCGCCAGGCCCAGGCAGGGCCGCTGCCAGCACCGGGCCCGGCGCAGGCCGCTGCCTGAGCCCAGCCCTCCGTGGCCAGATTGTTCGTCGCTGTTGTCTGTGCGCAGAGACCAGCGGGGAAATGCATCAGCTTTTCCCCCGTTCCTGCGTGGCGGAGAGATTTCTGGCGCTTCAGAAGCGGGGAAGGCAAGCAGAGGTGTCAGCTCGCAAGATTAGCTGTCCTCGTTTCAAATGCCAGAAAGTATTTATTAGGAAAACAGTCCCTGTGACACACCGGCACCCTGAAGCCTCCTATGAAGAGGCACAGTGTCTCTTTTCACGGCACACTTTCGGACGGATGAGGCAAATCGAGACCCCGTAAGAAGGGAGTGGGTCAGGATGTGCGGGGAATACGCAGCGAGTGCCCGAGCTGCAGTGTATCCGCAATCCAGAGATCTGATGTCATCGCCTCCCAGGCAGTTCTCCAGTGTGCAGGCGCAGCCATCTGTGCAGCAGATCATTTGTTACCCCTGCAGGCCACCTCCGACACCGACCACCAACAAACCAGCGGCCAGTTCCCAGTAGGGCGAGGTGAGTGTTGCCCTGAGTGTGCACATACCGCACGTGAAATGCACGAGCATGGCCCTGTAGATACCACAAGTCTGAGGAATCTCCAAGAATGGAAATTCTTGGCTTACATAGCATCTACAAGCTGTTGTACGATAATTCATTTTGAAAGGGCTCTCAGGCTCCAGTCCAGCGTCCTGCTCAGAACAGACTCAGCACTGAATTCATACCATTTTGTCAGCTGCCTCTTAAAAGTCTGCAAGGACAGAGGCTGGCACACCTTTCTCAGTCTGAGTTCCAGTGCCTGACTGGCTCCATGGGGAACTGATTCACCCCAACCCATTCTACTCAGTAGCAACCTGCCTTGTTTCAGTTTAGGACAGCTGCCTCTTGTCCTCTGCCTGTGCACTTCAGCCAGGAGGGGTTAGTGAGGTGACGGCCACAGGCTCTCCAGTACCAGCAAGCAGCTGCTAGGGATGTCCCCAGTGTCCACTCCAGGCTAACAAAGATAAAGCCCAGTCCCCCAGCCTCTCCTCCTGAGGCAAGTGCCATCATGCTGCCCCTCCTCACCACGATGTGCTAGCCGAGACACAGCTGTATAGCAAGAGATCCTGTCAGAAATCTCGCCCAGGGTAAGACACCTGACATACACTGCTCTTCCCTCATCCACAGAACCTCTCACTTTGTCACCAGAAGGCACTGAGGTTGGTCACACAGTTTATTCCTGGTTAATCTGTGCTAGCTATTCCCAATCACCTTCTCCATGTGACCACAAAAGGCAGCCAAGAACACTTGTCCCAGGCCAAATTGAGGGGAATCACCTGACAGTCCCAGGCTTTTTGTAGATGGGAGTAACCCCAGGCTTTTCCCAGCCATCAGGGTTCTCCCTGATCTTTCAAAGATAACGGTGGCATCACTGCCAACTCTCTCCGCCCACTTGGGTCATGCTGTCTGGTCCCCCAGAATGTGTCAAACTGTCTCAATAGCTGCTGATTCAATCACCTCCACTACAGGAGCTCCCTTGAGCCCTGCCTGCAGGCACAAAGGCCTGGGGAGATCTTGGCAGTGAAGATCAGGACAAGAAAGGCACCAAGTACCTCAGCCCACACATTCGGAGCAGGAGGCTGTTTCAGCCCCCAGCCAGAGCAGCAGCAGGATGCCAGCTGCATTCCTGACCTATCTGTGAGATAGCTGCTCCTTGACAGCAGCCAAACAGGCATTTCACCCTCCCCACTCAGGAAGTTTCTCTGGTCACAAAACAGCCCAGGCAGAAATCAGACCACAGATATTTGAAGCAAAAGTCTCCACTATCCCCCTCAGGTGGGTTCAGCGTCACTCAGGCTGCCTGCAATAGCTTCTTAATTAAGAATACACTCAAAAGAACAACTCTGCAACTTTAGAAATTAAAATAACCACTATTCTGAACACGGGTCACATGCAAAAGAGATTGGGAATCTGCATTCTGGGAACAAAGGGGTTTCAAAAAGCCCCCATCCTGGAAGACAAGGCTGGCATGGCAAGGGGAGCCAGCAGAGGCAAAAGGGCATTCTTTGGATAGTTGAAGTTCTGCCCGATAGAAGAGTAGCAGGGGAGACAGAATTGTCAGGAATTGCAGGTTACATGTTAAAAAACAGAGTGAAGAGGCTAAAAAGTACTTTTAGTAGCAACTTGCTGGAAGTATAAAAACTAGTAAATTCTTTTTCAAATACTTGAGAAGAAGGAAGTACACCAGAGATTCTGGCAATAAAACAACCCAAGATTAAAGGGATTGTTCAGACTATCCAACAGAAAAAAAAAATATTATTTTTGGTTTGTTTTATCCAAATTCAGTGTAAAGGACCTTGAGAATATTTCTGAGCTAAAAAGCCTGTTTTTCTTGGGTTTTTACTAGAATGTTTACTGAGTACACTGAAGGTCCTATTTCACCCCCAAAGAGTAGAAGGTTAAGTTATAGAACAAATCTTTCAGGACCAAACTGTTTTCAGCTCAGTGTTATAAGGTCCTTCAGAGATAACTTGCTTAAATTTAAAGTCTCTTGCTAAAAACTTCTAAGACAGGTGGTTAGTGCAATGCCAATTTTTAAGACAGGCATTAAGGGACCTTTAAACTTTAAACCTGTAAATCCAATATGAATTATGAAGCGAAATACCAAGAAGTCCACCAACCCACAAAAGCCAGCATTAGCAAACACATAAACAGGACATACTGGGGAGCAGTTGGCAGAGATTTTGTATAGAGATTCCTGCCATGCACATCTAGTGGCTTTATTTAGTGAAATCAAACATATAAAACAGAGCTCCTGTTCATATAAGAACTCAGATTTTCAGAGGCCTTTGAGAATGTCCCTGATTAGGAGCTCTTGAAACTAAGCTGTCATTAGATTAAAAGGAATTCACCTCACAGAGCTCAGAGAGAAATGTAATTCAAGTGGATGTTAAGATGCGCTGGGGAGAACCAAACCCCAAGAATACATGTCTGTACACAAAAGGAACAAGTTCACTGTAACCCAGCAAAAACATCAGCTCCATTTTCAATAACAGCCAAAGAGTCAAAAGGTCCTGGACACACTAATGGAGAAGGAATCTACCTAGGAATACAAAATGAAAGGAGCTGCTAGTCTCCCTGTAGGTCCCCAAGACACAAATTGCTGGAAGACTATGCTAGGAAAATATCACTATATGCTTACAGTATTATTACTGTTCCCTACATATTTGTCACTGCCTGCTTTTGGAAGTGGGATACTAAACTAGTTCTGACAGTCATTCATACAGTCCAATATTGTTAGAATGGTCAAGCTAGAGATTGTCACAAGGATGTATCAGAAACTGAAAATTCTCCAGGCAGTTTCTCAAGAAGTCCCCACAATGCAAATCAGTGGAAGTATTTTGAGGCCAAATCCAGTTACAAGAGAACTTTAAACCATGAGAATGCAGTCTTCTGATATTCAATTTTTCCATATTCAGTCAAATAGTAATTTGTGCTTGGTTTTGTTAAACAGAAGTGGGGAATAAAACCCAGTTCCATTACCAATTTGTATTCCTGTAGGGAACCACCCGAGGTCAAAGTCAGCTGTTTAAATCAGAGGGGTAACTCAGGTGTGTAAGAGGCACATTCTTGCTGTATGTATGGTAGGATAATCCCTAAACCCAAATTAAACTGGAGTACTTGCAGAGTTGAACCAGTATTTCTGCATTAGCAGTTTGGCTCAGAATCAGCTCAACTATTTAGTGCTAATCCCAGATCATCTCTATTTGCTCTGGGCTGTTCCAAAGTGAGAGTCCTGTTCTGACAAAACTCCTGCACTCCTGGAAGCACAGGTTTAGACCAGACTCATATCCCACATCAGAGATGAGCTGGGCACTCACCAAAGAAGCAGATCTCCTCCAAAACTGGATTTGTATATACTAAGGCCAGAATTGACTGCTGTGATTACATCAGACATGCTGTACAATGTGAGATTGTCTCAGCAAGATATTCTATGAATTGCATATTTTAATCAGCTATCAAGTACTTGTATCACATTGTTAAAAGAAGAACTTTGTATTCTTTATTTGATACAGTGAAATAATCAGTCTGTATTGGTTTCTTAAAAAAGCCTGTCAGAACACCTCAGAGTGAAGATGAACAATGTCTGTCACTACAAAGGACCTATTGAAAGATGTAGTTGTAGCCTTACAGCTTCAGAATAAGGAAAAGCACCACGGGGATTAACCATCTCTTTGTCATCAGGCACAAGACTTCTCCCCACAGGACACCAGAAATGCTCTGGTCAAAAAGAGGTGCACAGAGGACATAGGGATCTGAGAAGTCACCTTCAGGAAGTCACAGTAATACTTATTTGTCTGGATTGGGAACAAGGCAGTTAAGGAAACAAGTAAAGCCTGTGTTTTCCAGCAGCTCTCCTGTCCCACTTACAGGTAAGCCCCAAAAGAGAAGGGCCAGAGTATCCCTGCTTAAGTCATAACAGTAAAACAAACCACCAAGCTATTTTTTTTTTTAAAGAGAGGCTCCCTGTGTGAGTTTCCATAGTACTTCTCAACCTCACAGCTCAGAGGGCAGTAGGGAAGAGCACAATGCTCTTGGAAGTAAAAGTGAACAGCCAGCTCAATTATGCCAATTCATTAATGCAAATGCAGAACTTACTCACATGCCCCTCCCAAACCTGAGCTGGCAAACAGGTGTAAGAGCTACAGCACGAGTAGAGTGCTACTTCACCTGGACTGACAGAGCACAGGATCCTCCTGGCACACAGAAACCAACAAGAACCCCCAGCCTCAACAAGCAACAGCTGTATTTGGATTTACAACTCTAGATCCAGACAACAACTTTAATTTCTTTGTTTAGCAACATCAGAAACACATTAACAGCTTCAGTGAGGAAGTGGACTGCTGTGAGCTCTATCAATGCCCTCCTTTTGTGCTTCTGACGTGTATTGGGAATCTGTGTTGTGACACTTTTGAAAGGTAAGCTAAACAGATTTTTTTTTCATTAGCTGCAATATAAAGTTCACTCACATGCTTCATGTAAGGACAACTATAAGGCAAAAAGAACTGAAAAAGAGGGATTTGATTTCACCTGACAGAACTTCAGAGTTGCACAGGTGTACATACCTCTTCACTACTGCTTATACAATTTAATAAAAACAGGAGGAATTTGATTACCAAAGATGTAATATTAAATGCAAAATGCACCTACTTGATGCTGATTCAAATAAAACAATTATTAGGCCAGACATGCTCACACAGCTGGAGAAAAGCTATTGCAGCTACACCCACCAGCCTGGTTCAAATTGGGGGAGGGCTGGGAGAACTGAAAGAGAAAGCTGTGCTGAACAATAAATGCTGGAGGAGATGCCCTACAAATTCATCCTATGAAAATTCCCTTCAAATATATCCCCCAAACAAAATAAATGAATGGTGGGGGACTGGCTTGTGGAGAACAATAAGCAAACCCCTTAACAATAGTGACATAGTGGGTGGGGCTTGTACTGAGATCCCAAGGACCTTAAAATTGTTGGGGAATATTCCTTCTCAGGTCCTTGTGAATTCAAACCACAAATAAATTCCTGTTTATTTGCTGGGTGTTTCTGAAAGCAGTAGATAGTTTAAAAATACCAAAGAACACCAAAAAACAAAACTCCACACACAGTTACAAAGAACTGGTGGGTCTAACAGGCACGGCAATGAAACTGTACAGCACTGACTATTCCAGTGTCCAACAACAGATAAGAAATGTTCTGGCTTAGAACAAGGAATTCCTCCTACCAGTAAAGATACAAACTGTACTGCACTATTCCAGGTCTCAAGAATGATAATGGAGATTCTCAGCCTTTTTTGTTTTGTTTCATTCCCTCAAAAAAAAAAAAAAAAAAAAAAAAAAAACACCAAAAAAAAAAAGCACCACTGCTTGGAAAAAACAGACCCAAATAAAAAAGCAGAAATTTCCTTTATCATATGTAGAGGTGAACTTGAATGAAAAGGCCATTGCAACCACTTCTCTAATCAAATAAAAAGGGTGTCCCTGGTGTTGTAGGTGTGAACTCAAAACAAAACCAGCAATTCTCAGAGAGGGATGTTGGTAAGAGATTAGTAAGCAGCTGGAATATGTTTCTAAAAAGCATGGCCACTATGGAATAACGTAAAAGAATACTTTTGAAGACTGAGGAGAAAACTTGTTATAGTGGTGAAGTCTATGGTTTGTTCATGAATATAAAAGGGAGGCAAAAGCAATGGACTGGGAGTTCCACTATGCTCTGCTTTACCAGGATTCCAAAGACATGTCATGTTTGGACACCCCCTGAAATATCTGGGAGTTACAAAACTAAAAGGACAATCCTATGAGACAAATTCAAGGCAATTAAAAAGGCACAAACAGGGAATTGGTGCAGCCAGTTCTGCAGGAGCAGTCTCTGCAGCTGTGTGTCGCTGGGATGATAACCAGGGTGAGCAGGTACTTATGGGTCACCTAACAAAAGGCACAGGCTTTGCAGAGCTGTGACAGCCATCCCAAACTCCTCTGACTGCCTTCTGGCAAAAGTCAGCCTGTGGGGGGATGCTTTTTGTTCCTTTCTTCTGCAGTCACTGTGATTACCTGTTTGTTTTGTTAATTCATTAATAGCATCAGCCCAGAAAACTGTGTTGTTGGAAGTGTTACAATCCCTCTGGTCTTAGCCTGCCTCTCCTGGTGATACTCAGAAGGCAGTGACACAGAAGGAAGCCTACATCAAGTCAAACAAGCAAGCCATTAGAAACAAGCTTGCCATTGGCAGCCTGCTGAGGGAAAAAGCAAACTCCCTAACAAAACAACAGCAAAGCCCCACCATTTTATTCACATCCAAGTTTTCAGAGGCAGTGTATGTGCTGACCTGTATTTTTTTTCCTACTCAGTGATACCTTTCCCTTAAAAATGCAGTGCTGCAGGAATCAGACACTTTAGGATGCACCACTTCCACAGCACAGGGAACTTAACACAGGGAGCTACCTGAACACTGCATGTTTTTTATTATGCATACATATATTACAAAGGACTGTTCACTGAGATCTAAATGTTTACTCTGATCAAGTGCTGTAGGGAAGAAACAAAAACTATCACCCAAGGACCTGGGCCATGAACACAGGTATCTGTGTTTGGCAGAGTTAATAGGCAGTATTCTAACCTAATCTGAACAAGGAGTCTAGTTTTTCCCAAACATAGAGCATTGACAGAAACTGGAAAATGAAATAACATTCCTATTCCACCCTTATTCTCCAGTGAAAGGGGATTTACTCAATGCCTTATTGAGTGTTTCAGTGCTTGTTCAAAGTTAAGCACCTACGACTGGGCAGGGAGGGAGACTGGTCCCACAGGGCTGTTGGCACGAGGGAGCAGCAGAGGTGGCTGCAGCAGGGGAAAGGTGAGCCAGGGAGGTGAGAGCAAGGCAGGCAGGGCAGTGCTACCAACTACAAGAAGAGTACCTGAGTGAGGAGAGCAGAGCAGGGCCAGCAGCAGCAAGAAGGGTGAGCCCCTGAGCAGCAGCCATCTGCAGCAAGGAGCAGGTCCAAGGGCAAAGCAGGCAGCCAGCAGGGCAGAGGGAGCCAGGGATCAGCAAAAGGCCAGCTCTCGTGCTTGAGAGAAGCTCCTGAGGCACAGCAGAGAAGGTTCCAGTGGAGCTTTTCCCCACCTGGCTGTTTCTGGTGGGGTCACACAGGTGCAGCACATCAGGGCTGAGCCAGCCCCTGGGGCAGGGAGGCTGCAGAGCTGGGAGGGGCACTCAGCCCCCCACAGTTACTGTCACCCCACAAACAGCTGAGGCCCTAACCCACCCTCCTGGGACAGCAGCACTCCTCCTGCAGGACAGTGATGCTGACAGACTGGAACAAATGATCAACAGAGGCAAGAAAAATTATATCTGCTGCTTGGACTGCACTGTTAGGAATTAACTCAAGGGTCTGGATAGAAAAAAGTGAAATTCAGCAGATCAGCCAGCAATAATGGGAGAAAGAAAAGCACTATGGCTTTCCTCTGGTCTGAAAGGTATGACCTAGTCACTCTTGCTACTCTTGCAGTTTCATATTCTATTATTGCCATAATTTTCAAGAGTAATACTTCTTTGTAGTTCTAGAGAGTTTATATTATCTGTCTTGCCAGGATTGCAATTGTTCTGAGGTGAAATCCAGAGCTACTCATTTAGTTCCATTAGTGAGAAAAATGCAGGTTAATGTTGTGGATGGGGATACTGAGGTTTGGCCCTGGAACCCTACAGCTGTCAACTGCTGAATCCCAGGCTGTGCCTGATACCTCAAAGGAGTGTATCCCAGAAATTAACAAGACTGGTAAAACTCTGGGTGTTGGGTGTCAAGTAAGTTCCTTGCCTAAGAGCCAGAGCAGCATGAGAGGGAGCTGGGAGGGGCTGACAATGTTCAGGACACAGTGTGTTCAGAGTTTGGCAGAGGATGTGACACAGGGAGGTGTGCATGAGAATGTGGACACGGTGGGAATTTTCTGGATGTTATTTCAGTCTGTTGGCTTGGTTCAGCACAGAAGGTGTTCCTGGCAGTAAGCTGAAGAAGGAATTGGGCATTTTACAAGCAATGTAACAGCAGGCTGGGGGTGAGAATGAAGATGCTGTGCCTTGGAGTGAAGTCAGGTTGGGGATTCAATGTGTGCAAGGAGTTACAGTCCAGAGATGGCTACTGAGTGTTTGCTGGAGGCAGAAGGGCATGCTGGATGTGTGTGGTGACATGGAGATGCACCCACATGGGCTGCACCTGGGCTCTGTGGGAACAGTGCTAACGGGGGAATGAGCTGCTTGGTGAGGACCACAAGTGCTAAGTGAGTATTTGGAGTCAAGACCCAAATTCCTGTATTTTGTGTTGTACACTTATTTTATGTTGGGCTGGAAAGATTGGGGGCATTCATGAAGTGAACACGGAACTAAAGATACAGGTGGAACTCCTTGATTAGTTTCACATGGGAAACCCTTAAGTGAACACAGACGGCAAAGTGGGGAAAAAGGAGAAGCTCTGTCAGGCAGTTCGCCAAAAGGCCAGACACAGAAGCACGGAGAGGGCTGCCTGATGGTGCTGGCAGTGTTGCAACACAGGATGTGGAAGGCTGTGAAATGGCCTTGGTGCTTACGTACGAAATAAAACAAGTAATCTCTACAAAAGTCCTGCCTGTGCCTATATCTTGTCATACCTGCCCTCAGCCTGTGCATCCACTGCTGTGCTGTACGTGCGGTCTCCAGCAGGAACGCTTTAGACAGACTTCTGTCCACAGAGCCGTGTGAGGGAGGCGGGCGGTGTCCTGAGGGCTCTGTGCGCTCCGCAGCTCCCGCGCCACCGCTCCCAAGAGCTGCCGGGCCCCACAGGCCCCCGGGCTCGCTCCGTGCCGGCGGAGGGGGCCGGTGTGTCAGCCGGGAGCGCGAGGTACTGAGAGGCCTGGCCGCAGGCTCCAGCACGGCCCGGGGCCAGAGGCGGGGCCGCTTCCTCAGCCGGAGCGGAGGCGCTCGCCATGACAGGGGCGGGACGCGGCGCCCGCGCCCGGCCGCCGTGAGGGGGGAAGCGGGGGCGCGCGGGGCCG